GGCGCTTCGTCGAGGCCGACGTGGACCTGGAGCTCTACCGCGTCGACGTCGCGAAGCTGCCCTTCCAGACCGGGTCCCTCGACGCCGTCCACGCGGGCGCCGCGCTCCACTGCTGGGTCGAGCTCGAGGCGGGCTTGGCGGAGATCGCGCGCGCGCTCAAGCCCGGCGGCCGGGCCTTCTTCACGACCTTCCTCGTCGGCGCCATGGGCACGAACCGCGTCCCGGAGCAGGTCCGCCGCCAGGGCTACCGCTTCTTCACCGTCGAGGAGCTCGAGACCCTCATGGCCGACGCGGGCTTCGGCGACGTCGACGTGCGCCGCGAGGACCCGGCCTGCGCCGTCATCAAGTGCACCATGCCCGAGGAGGACGCGTAACATAACTGCCGGCGGGATATGTTAGCCGCCGCTTCAAATTAGGTCATGATCACGCCGCCGCCTTCACCGCGGTTCAATAGCGGTTCATGATCGCGCGCGCGTCGATGGCCCGCAGCGCCGCGGAGATGGCCGCGCCGGCGCCGCCGCGCGCCTCGCCGTCGCCGCGGAGGCCCCGCAACGCCTCGCCTGTAGGCACACGAAACCACAGAGCTACAGCGCCACGTCGCCGGGACCGCTGCTGTCCTCAGGGACGATGAGCGGGTCCGGCGTCGACGCGGCGGGGCTGAACCAGCGCGGCTCCTGCTGGGCTGGCGACGAGATGCGCTCGTGCACGTCGAAGTATTCCCGGCGCGGGTCGTCGTGTCGTGACGCGACGGGCGCGAGCTGTAGCTCTCCGGCGGAGTACTGCCGAGTTTCGACTGCCGCTGGCTTGGCCAGCAAGCGGCGCGCCGCGACGACGCAGCATCCGTGCGGCCGGCAGCAGCAGCGCGTCGCGAAGATCCGTGCGAGGTCGAACGCGGTGATCACAAAATTGATCACGCCCGTGACCTCGAGGCGCTCGCCGCGGTACACGGACGCGACGACGAGCGCTAGCTCCAGGACCTCGCGGACGACGAGCGCCGCGAACGACACGCGCGCGATCTCCTTGCTCGGGAAGCCGTCGGCGGCCGCGATCCGGTTCGCGTTGTTCGTCTCGAGCGACCACGGCAGCAAGGGCATCAATTCCATTTCAAAGGGCACGAGGAGCTCGAAGCACGTGTGGACGTAGTACGCCTTGGCGTGCTCGTCCGCGTCGAGGTAGTAGCGGTCGCGGACGCACCTCGCGTAGTAGTAGGCAGAGCCGCCGACTGAGCCGCCGAGGAGCGCCGTCGCAGTCGCCGCCAGCGGCGTCCGGCCGCTCAGGTAGAGCTCGTGGAGAAAGAGGAAGCTCGAGCTCCACGAGAGCAGCGAGAGTGTGAGAATCAGCCGCTTCTGCCGCTCTCCCAGGAAGAGGCCCGCGCCGCCCTGGGCCACCTCGCCCGCGTCGGACGTGATGAGGTTGTAGATCGTGGCAACCATGAGGAGAATTGAGTAGGCCACAAGATACCACTTGGCGCGCTTTCGCTTGACCATCTTCTCGAGGGCCTCCTCCGAGAAGAGCGGCGCCGCGCTCGTGGGGCGCGGCGTCGACGCGGGCGACGGGGCGGGGGAGGTCGTCGGCGGTAGCGTCGGCGTGGGCGCCGGTGCTGCCGTCGGCGCGGCCGTCGGCTCGTACGTGCAGGCGGCGACTTCGTTGAGATTGATCTCTCGATCTTCGCCCGGGAGCACAAGAGTCAAATACCGGCCATGGGCGCCACAGTGTACGAGCAAGGGGTCGACCTCCCGTTGGTTCGGCGCAGTCGCGTTGGCGCAAAGTGTGGCCGAGGATGAGAGCACATCGCGGGCACCAGAGCTCGGCAAAGACGCCGAAGTCTCGCCAACCCAGATCTCGAAGAAGTCGAGGCGGTCCCAACAGCAGTTTGCGCGATTGAATACGTATACTTCATCAACGCCGTACGATGCCCCGAAGTCGATCTGAAGCCACGCGTCCGTACCTTCGTTCGAGTGGCACCCGCCACCATAGCAGCTTTCGTGTGACGAATAGCTGTTATCGATGCAAAGCTCCGCTCCACAGCCCCAACCGATCGTGCTCATGGATGCGGAAACCCGCGGAATCTTTCGGCAACCCGCGTTGATTGGCAACCGCTCCAGTGTGGGGGCCGCGGTCGGCGGGAGACAGCTCGACGCGAACGTGATACCGCAATCTGCGACCGAGCAGCTACCGCCGATGCCGGGATCGGAAAACGAGAAGCACCAGCCGAGGTCCTGGTCGAAGGTAGTCGCTCCGTCGAACATGTTGACCATGCTCGTGACGGACGACGTGTCCCAGGCGCCGATGTCTTGGTCGAACGCGGGATTCGTCCGGAACATGTTGACCATGCTCGTGACGGACGACGTGTCCCAGCCGCCGAGGTCCTGGTCGAAGGCGGAGGCCCGGTAGAACATCCCGCTCATGCCCGTCACGGCCGACGTGTCCCAGGCGCCGATGTCCTGGTCGAAGGCGTCAGCGTCGTTGAACATGCGGCTCATGTCCGTCACGGCCGACGTGTCCCAGGCGCCGATGTCCTGGTCGAAGGCGTTAGCGCTCAAGAACATGCTGAACATGCTCGTCACGGACGACGTGTCCCAGGCGCCGATGTCCTGGTCGAAGACGTTAGCGTTGTAGAACATGGCTCTCATGTCCGTCACGGCCGACGTGTCCCAGGCGCCGATGTCCTGGTCGAAGGCCCAAGCACCGGAGAACATGGAGCTCATGTCCGTCACGGACGACGTGTTCCAGCCGCCGATGTTCTTGTTGAAGTTGTCAGCACGGACAAACATCGAACTCATGTCTGTCACGGACGACGTGTCCCAGGCGCCGATGTCGTCGTTGAACGTGGTGTAACGTGGATGAATAGAGAAGAGCCCCGACATGTCCGTCACGGCCGACGTGTCCCACGTCGAGATGTGGCCGTACGTCGTCGTCGCCGCGCTCGAATTCGCGAGCCATGCGTCGACGGCGGTCTCGAGCTCGCTCTTGTCCGCGAAGCTGTACGAGCAGGTCGACGAGAACGTGACGCCGCAGTCGGCGACCGTGCACCCGGCAGATGAGGCGAAGCCCGAAGTCGAGACACTGCACGAGAGGGACCAGCCGAGGTCCTGGTCGAAGGCGGAGGCGCCTTCGAACATGCTGTCCGTGCTCGTCACAGACGACGTGTCCCAGGCGCCGATGTCCTGGTTGAAGGCGTCATTGATGCGGAACATCTCGCTCATGCTCGTCACGGACGCCGTGTTCCAGGCGCCGATGTCCTGGTCGAAGGCGCCAGCGCTGCGAAACATCCAGCCCATGTCCGTCACGGACGACGTGTCCCAGGCGCCGATGTCCTGGTTGAAGACGTAAGCATTGGCGAACATCCCGTTCAAGTCCGCGACGGACGCCGTGTCCCAGCCGCCGATGTCCTGGTTGAAGGCGTAAGCATAGGCGATCATCCAGCTCATATCCGTCACGGACGACGTGTCCCAGCCGCCGATGTCCTGGTTGAAGGCGTAAGCGAAGGAGAACATGAAGTTCATGTCCGTCACGGCCGACGTGTCCCAGGCGCTGATGTCGTCGTCGAAGGACTGCGCGTTCATGTTGTAATGCGTGCAACCAGCGTAGGCACAAAAGAGCTCCGACATGTCCGTCACGGTCGACGTGTCCCAGGTCGAGACGTGCCCGTACGTCGTAGTCGCCGCGCTCGAATCCGCGAGCCATGCGTCGACGGCGGTCTCGAGGTCGGCCTTGTCCGCGAAGCTGTACGAGGTCTGGAGCCGCCTCTTCTTCGGCGCGCCGCCGTCCGCGGCGCGCTCGGCGGGCCGCTCGAAGGACGACGTCTCGAAGACGCCCGCCCGCCGCTCGTTCCGCGCCTCGCGCGCGTCCCGCAGCCCCGAGACCCCGCCCGAGATCGTCAGGAGCACGAGGCAGCAGCACATGATGCGATAGCATGACCCAACCATACTGGACCAGAGATTTCTGACCCGCTCGGCGTCACGGGAGGTCAAAGGAGCTCGCGCGCCGCGCCCCGCGGAGCAGATCTCCGGCTGCCCCCCGCGGCGCGCAACCCGCGCCGGCTTAAAGGAAGGCTGGCACCACTCCTGCGTCGAGGAGTGCTGTAAAAAAAACGCGGAGGTTGAACGGCAAGTTACAGCATAATTCCGGGTGTCGTCGCCCCGGCGCGTGATGGCTTTGTTCGCAGAGCTGCCGCGCATGACGCCACCGGTGCTGCCCGGCGCGTGGGCAGCGATGGCTCAGGGCGCCTCCCTACTTGCGATCTCCTACGCGAACGTCGTGCGCCACGACGCGTCCAGGATTCCGCCCGTGCCGGGCGTGCCCAAGAGCGCCTTCCTCACGGTGCACACGCTCGCCTGGGAGCTCGCCCACGCGAGCAGCTCGCTTTTGGCGACGCTCGGCCTCGCCCCCGCCTGGCTGGCGTCCTTCGCGCACGGCTGCGACGCCTTTGTGTGCGGCCTCGGCGGTCTGCTGTTCTGCGCGTACTACGGGCTCGTCCACGGCGAGATCGCGAGCGAGGCTGAGGCGCGCGGGACGCCGTCCTACCTTTTCGACAACCACATCATCCACGCGCCCACGATGCTCGTGCCCGTCGTCGTCGCGGCGGCCAAGGACCCGCGCGCGCTCGCCGCGAGGCCGGGGACCGCGGCCGTCGTCGCCGCGGCCGCGGCCTACGGCGCGGCCTACGCGGCCCACGCGACGGCCTGCGCGGCGCGGTCCGCGCGGGCGCCCTACGCCTTCATGCGCCGCCTCGACGGCCCGGCGAAGCGCGTCGGCCTCTGGGGCGGCGGCGTGCTCTTCGCCGCGGTCCCCGCCGCGCTCGCCGCCGCGCGCCTCGTCGACCGCCTCGCCGCGCGATAGTACGACGCTTTCGCTGGCGCGACCTGTGTCGCTTCCGGATGCGATGCTCTCTTCCATCTTAGTCCGTCGGCCCGCGGGCGCGCCTCGGGACGAGACGCTCGCGGCGCGGCGCGACGAGCGCGCTCGCGGCGCTCCGCGACGCTCGCGGCGCTCCGCGCCTAGAGCGGCTGGCAGGTGTACTCCTGCGTCTCGACGGAGGAGATGCCCTCGATGGCCTTGAGCTTCGCGAGGATCTCGGGCGCGGGCGCGTAGTCCGCGGCCTTCCACGCGTCGTGGTCGGCGCAGGGCTGGTTGACGACGATCTTGAAGTCGTGGCAGCCGCCGCACATGACGCGCGTCACCTCGGCGCCGGGCAGCGCCTTGAGCGCCGGCAGGTACTCCTGCAGCAGCGCCTCCGCGGCCTTGAGGCTCGCCGAGTTCGCCGGGCCGCCGGACTCGTCGCCGGCGTACTTGCAGCGGAGCTCGTAGGCGACCTTGTCGAAGGACACGCCGCAGGGCTCGATGGTCGGCATGGTGCGGTAGCGGTGCTTTGCAAAGTAGTCGACTAGTGCTGATGCGGACTACGGTGGGGAGAGCGGCGAAATCCAGAGCTTGCTGCACGTCGTCGTCAACTTGCCTTCAAGGACGCACCGGAATCCGCTCCGCTTACTTCCGAGAATTACGTGTTTTGGGGGGGGGCGTCATCATGCTTGGCGGGGCTCGAGGGCGAGCGCGGCGTAGGCGCCCGGCGACGCCGGGCAGCCCGCGTCCGAGTCCGCGGAGAGCGTGAGCGCGCCGGGGTAGGCGTCGACGCAGGCGTCGATGCACTCGTGGCAGCCGTCGGCGCCCGACGCGGCGCCGCCGCGCGTGTAGTCGTAGTCCGGCGTGAGGCAGGACTTGAAGAGGTCCGGCGTGTTGAAGAGCGTCGCGAGGACGGGCTGCGCGCAGGACCGGCGCTCGTCGGGTCCGAGGTCGAGGTCCGGGTCGTCGATCGCGTAGAAGCGGTCGACGACGCAGGCCTCGGAGCAGCTGAAGACGCCGCTGTAGGCCAGGTCCTTGCCGCGCATGGCCGCGTCCTCGTAGGTGCAGGTCTTCTTGAAGTGGTACGCGCAGTCGCCGCCGGCCGCGCAGGCGTCGCGCATCTCGTCGTAGCCGTCGACGGCGGGCCGGAGCGCCGCCAGATGGTCGTAGGTGAAGGTCGGGTCGAGGTGGTTGCTGTGGAGGCCGCCGTACTGGCCCCGGTCCGTGAGGAGCATGCCGCCCCAGGGCTTGCCGCCCGTGTGGAAGCCCGCCTTGGCCTGGAGGAGCGCGGGGAAGAGCGTCGCGCCGTCCGGGTAGCAGAGCGCGTCGCCCGAGGTTTCCTGAACCTTGAGCTCGAGCACCTGGCTGCCGTCCTTGACGCGCTGCTTCGACGCGGGCGCCTGCTTCTCGACGGCGCCCGACCGCGTCCGCAGATCCTTCTTCGCCTCCTGGACCGCCTCGAGGCCCCCGGAGAGGGCGGCGACGTAGACCGACGCGTCGTTGCGGCTGAGGCCGCCCTCGATCGGGATCTCGCCCGTCATGGACGCGCCCGCGACGCCCGGCGCGTCCGCGGAGGCCTTGCCCGCCGCGGCCTCGATGCTCTCGAGCGTGTCGCCGGGCTGGCGCGTGCGGTCGAAGTTCCCGGCGAAGAGGCCGGAGAAGTCCTCGTCGCAGTGCTCGAAGCGCAGGTGGTGGAAGACGAGGTTGTCCGCGCCCGCGTTCCGCGGGTCCGCGGCGTCGACGACGGCCTCGTTCGTCTTCGCGGCCGACGCGACGGTGCGGTCGACGTCGACGTAGAACGTCGAGTAGCGGAAGTGGCCCGCGCAGCAGTCCTCCGGGTCCTCGACCGTGCCCTGGCCGTCGCTGAAGCAGTCGCCGATCGCGGGGATGCACGCGTCCGAGGAGCCGTCGACGGTCGCCCAGTCGTCCTCGTAGGAGAACGCGGGCATGAGCCGCTTGATCTGGTAGTAGCGCGCGAGCGTCGGGTGCACGAGAAAGAAGGACGGGTCCGTCGTGCCCGAGGCCTCGAGGTGCTCGCCCTTGAGGAACGTCGACGCGCAGACCGCGGCGCCGACGGCCGCGAAGCCCTCCGCGTCGAGCGCGGGCACGCTGTGGTCGCTCGGGCACTTGTAGTTGGACATGGACCAGAGGCCGATCTCCGCGAGGCGGGACGTCGGCAGCGCGTCGCAGTCGAGCTGGCAGGCCCGCAGGTCCTCGGACGTCGACACGGCCATCGGGTCGCACGCGGGCTTCATCTCGCTAAAGTAGTTGCGCCAGAGGTGGCGCTCGGCGACGGTCTGGTAGCAGGACGCCGCGCTGGACCCGACGGCGTCGTAGGCGTCGAGCATGGCCTGCGTCGACTCGACGTCTAAAATCGTGCCGCCGAGGACCTGGTGCACGTTCGCGTGCACGGTCATGTCCTCCAGGTGCGTCATGAAGTCGACGGCCGTCGCGTTGGGCAGCAGGAAGTCGTACAAATTCGTGCACGTCGGCCACGACTTCGCCGGCGACAGGCCCGCGTCGACGTCGTCCGCGTCGTACTTGAAGTTGACGCGCGTCACGTAGGGGCTCGGGTTGTTGTTCCACGGCGACCGGAGGAAGCCGTAGGAGTTGAGCGGGTAGGAGACCCCGCTCACGTCGTCGTAGCGCTTCACCGTCGCGTAGGCCCAGCGGCCGTCGCGGATGGCCCAGGCCTCGAAGCCCCGGCGGAAGAACTCGTCCGTGCTCAGGCCGTAGTGGGGGCCGACGACGACGGGCGCCTCCGCGTAGTTGAGGCTCCCGAACCAGTCCGCCGTCCACAGCGGCGTGTCCAGGGGCGACGAGATGACGCGGTCCTCGACGAGCTTCGACTCGATGGTCCAGTCCCAGTAGGGCGTCGAGATCGACGCGTCGACGGACTGGAGCGAGTCCAGGACCATCTCGTCGAGGCGGAGGTGCTGGGCTAAGAAGCCCGCGCCGTTGTGGAAGTGGTCGTTGTCGCGCAGGGCGCTGTTCGTCGCGTGGAGCGCCAGGAGCTCGTCGGAGCTCACGAAGCGCGCGTCGTACTTTTTCCGGCCCTCGTCGCCGTCGACGGTCCACATCAACGCGAGCGCGTCGAGCCACGTCGTCCGGTCGGCCTCGCTGAGGTCCCGGAGCTCGCGGCGCACGTAGCGCACGGCGACCGTGCCGCCGCCGGAGGCGGCGACGACGCCGTCGACGCTCACGGACGTGACGCGGAGCGCGTAGTCGCCGACGGCGACGAGGACGAGGCCCTCGGCGCGCGGGCCGTAGTGGGTCGACACCTCGCGGTCCGGCGCCTCCAGGCTCCAGGCCACGGTCTCCTGGGCCCGGTGGTCCACGGTCAGGGCCAGGGAGAAGGGCCTGAGGCAGTCGACGACCTGGAAGTCCGCGCCCTGCCACGGGTACTCGCGCGCGATGGCCCCGAGCCGCGCGGTGTACTCGTTCGCCGCCTCCCAGGCCAGGGCCGGCCGCGCCGCGAAGGCGGTCTGGGCGCGCGCCGGCGCCGGCGCGTCGCGGGCGCCCGCCAGGGCGACGACGGCGAGGGCGCAGAGGGCGCCGGCGGCGTAGCGCCGCGTTCTCGCGTGGGACGGCGCCGCGGCCGGCGACTGCGCGCCGTAGTCGGCGATGGGGCGCGAATCGTCGGCGAGCAGCGACGCCGCCTCCTCGCCGGCGGTGAACATGGCCGCGACGACGACCACGGCGCCGACGAGCTGTGTTCGAGTCGATGATGGGCAGCCCGATGGAATCCCTCCGAATTCGGATGTTTGACGGCATTCTAATGATTTCAGGTCGGGGTTTACTTCAAGTGACTTGGTCAACGAGCCAAAGGTCCAGAGGCAGCACCGAAGTCAGCACCGACTTACCCAGAGTATCTCTTATCGGCCGACGGTGACGCACGGATCGGACGCCGCCCGTGCCCCCCGCGACCGGTCCGACCCACGTCCGCACGCTTAGTCGCTCGGGATCGAGTCCGCCGGGTCGCCGTCGTCCTCGCCCGGCGGCGCGGACGCGAAGCGGTCCTCGTAGGGCTCGGGGACGGCGTCGTCGGCGTCGATCTGCGCGTCGGCCTTGACGAAGACGCGGAGCTCGCGGAGGAGCGGGTTCGTGCCCCGCGACACGCGGATCGTGTCGTCGCAGTAGGTCGTGTCGAAGAGGCCGCCGCCGAGGGCCGTCGCCGCGAGCGCCGCGTTGGCCGCGCGGACGGGCTCGGGCACGTCGACCTCGCTGAACGTGGGCAGGAAGGTCGCGAAGAGCGGGCTCGCGGACTCGTCGAGGTCGCTGAGCGTGCGCTCGACGCGCTCGAGCGCGATCTTGAGGCGGTTCGTGCCCGCGGCGCGCCGCGGCCCGCCGTCGGAGCCGTCGCCCTCGACCGTGAACGCGTGGTCGAGCTCGAGGCGCACGGACGCCTTGGCGAGGGCCGCGATGGGCCCGCCGACGAGCGGCAGTTTCTCGAGGAGCTCGCCGCCGGGCACGTCGTCGCCGACCGGCCAGGGGTTGAGCGTCACGCAGTTGACGACGCGGCGGTTCATGACGTCGATGCGCTGGACGACGTCGCGGCCCGCGAGCCGCCCCGCGGCCGACGGCGCCCAGTCCGGCGGCGGCGGCGGCGCGTTGTTCGTGTACTTGAGCGTCCACTCGCCGTCGATGAGCATGAGGTCGCGGGGGAACGACGGCAGGTCGTCCTTGGACGCCGCCTTCTCGAGGTTCGCCACGGCCTCCTCGATGGACGACTGGCCGGCGACGGACGCCGTGAAGCGCTCGGGCACGGGGATCTCGCGGGCCAGCACCTGCAGCAGGTTCGTGCGCGCCGAGGCCGTGGGCCGCGCGCTCAGCGCCGCGGCGCCGGCCGCGAGGCAGGCGATCGCGACGAGCCGGAGCATGGCTGTCGCAGCGCTCGATGCTCGAGCGGTGGCGCTCTCGACGGTGCTCGCGGTGGCGCTCTCGCAGGTGCTCCTCGAAGTGGAGATCCTGGCCGCCAGCGCAGGCGAGCGCGCCGCGATGGCCGCCAGTGGCGGCCTACCCTCGAGGCCTCGGCACTAGTGCTCGGTCACGCGAGCGCTCCTTACGCGACGCCCACGCGCCACCGGTCGCCGTAGGCGCGCCAGAGTTTTGGCCAGACGTCGGCGGCGCACTCGTCCCAGGGGAGGACGCCGGGCACGGGCCGGGCCCTGCCGCGGAGCGCGCCGCGGACGACGCGCCAGATGTCGCCGTCGTCGGCCTCGGTCCGCGCCGCGAGGCGCCGCGCGACGGCCCGCGGCACGAGGCTCGCCTGGACGTCGCGGCCGGGACCGCCGAAGACGCTCTTCCGGAACTGCGCGAAGGCCGCCCGCTCCGCGTCGTCGGGCGGCGCCGCGGCCGCGGGCGCGAGGTCGAAACGCTTTCGCCGCGGCGCGTCCGCGGCCGCCGCCGCGTCGCGCCGCCGCCGCCGCTCCCAGGGCGTCGCGCGCTTCGGCGACGGCGGCGGCGCGTCCCGGCGGCCCGCGACGCAGGACCCGTAGGCCTCGGCGAACTCGGCGAAGGTCACGACGGGCCACGACGCGGCGATCGCGCGCCGCGCGAGCGCGTACCAGCGCAGCGTCGCGCACTTTCGCGCGGCGCGGCGCGCGAACGCGTTCGCCGCCGCGTCGCCCCACATCCGCGGATCCCGGTCGAGCGCCGCGGACACGGCCGTCGGCGCCGCGAGCTCCCGGAGGACCGCCCGCTCGCCGGCGCCCGCGAGCGCGCCGCGGCGGCCGCCCGCGACGTCCGCGGCGAGCTCCGACACCGACGGGCCGTTGCGCAGGAGCACCGCGAGCGCGCGCGTCGCCTCGACGACGGACGCGAGGGGCTCGGCGCCGCGCGCGGGCGACGCGTCGCGCGCGGGCGAGGCGGCGTCTCGCGCGCGCGCCGTCGCTTCGTCCGCCGTCGCGTCGAGGGGCCACGCGACGCCGCGCGCGAGGAGCTCGCGGCGCCGCGCGCGGAGGAAGCCCGCGCGCGGATTCTCCTCGTCCTTGGACTCGTCGCCCTTGGACTCGTCCTTCGACTCGTCCTTGGACTCGGCGGCGGCGCGGCGGCGGCGCCGCCGCCGGGGCGCGGCGAAGAACGACGGCGCGCGCCGCGCGTCGCGCCGCGGCTCGTCCTTGGATTCGCCGCCGTCGCTCGCGTCGTCGTCGTCGTCGCGGGGCTCGTGCCAGCGGCACTCGCGCCAGGGCCGGTCCGCGTGCGCGCGCGCGGCGGCTCGGACGTCGCGCGCCCAGGACGCGCGCTTGTCGCCCGCGGAATGCTCCGATCGCGACAGGAAGTGGCGCCGCAACAGGCGCCACTCGTCCTCGTCCACGTCGCACAGCGCGCCGCGGGGCGCGGCGGCCGGCGGGTCCGCGGCCTCGCCGACGACCTCGGGGTGGCGCGACGCGGACGACGCGAGGCGCGCGCGGCAGCGCGCGCCGGCGCAGACGAGCTCCTTGTTCCGGAGCGCGGCCTCGACGGCCGCGGCGGCCGCGTTCGACGACCAGACGCTCAGGATCACGCTCGCGTAGGCCGTCGGCGCGCAGGCGACGCGCGTCGTCCCCAGCGGCGCGAGCAGGGCCGCGGCCTGCGACGCCAGCGACGATGCGACGGCGTCGCCGTCGGCGTCGCCGAGGATGGAGACGGCGAAGGTCAGCGCCGTCTCCGTCGACGTCCACGGCTCGAGCATCGCGACGGGCTGCCCTTACATCGGCAAACGGATGTTCAAGATAGGTACTTCTTTGGCTTCACTTGGGCAGCCCACGCGATGGTGCCGTGATTTTGTTGGCCATGGGCGCGGCCCGCCGGCGCAGCAGCGCGCTGCAAAAGAACATCATCCTATCGATGCTCGTCGCCGGCGTCTTCGTGCTCATGTGCCTGACGCACACGCATCTCGACCTCGACACGCCGGCGCGAGCGGCGCCGGCCGACGCCGCGCCACGCGCTGCGCCCGCGCCGCCCGCCGTCGTGGCAGCGCCGAGAGCCGCCGCAGCTGCAGCGGCTCCGGCAGCGCCTCGAGCCGCCCCAGCGCCCAGAGCCGCAACGCCACCGGTCGTCGCCGCGCCGCCGCCCGTCGTCGCCGCGACGCCTCGAGCCGCCGCGGCGCCCGGAGTCGCGATGCCGCACCCGGGCTGCGTGCCGTCGGTCGCCGTCGTGCCGCCCGCGGCGCCGCGGCGCCACATCGTGCCGCCGCCCGCCGGGCCGACGGCCCTGGTCTGCTGCGCGACGACCAAGGGCCCGCTGTCCGTCGCCGTGCGGCCGCGGTGGGCGCCGCGCGGCGCGACGCGCTTCGTGGACATGGTCCGGTCGGGCCACTTCGACGACGGCGTGCCCATGATGCGCTGCCTCGCGAACTTTCTGTGCCAGTTCGGCCTCAGCGCGAACGCGTCGCGGAACCGGTGGCGGCCGTTCCCGGACGACCCGCCGTGGCTCCCGCACGGGCCCGACTACCGCGCGGACGCCTTCGGCAACCAGCGCTTCAAGACGGGCTACGTGGCCTACGCGGGCGCGGGCAAGGACTCGCGCGCGCAGCAGCTCATCGTCGGGAACCACGACGACTGCTGCCTCGCGGGCGGCCAGCCCTGGGAGACGCCCTTCGGGGAGCTCGTCGGCGCCGCGTCGTTCGACACGCTCGCGCGCATCTACACGGGCTACGGCGAGAGCGGGCCGTCGCAGGGCCACCTGCGCGCCGAGGGCTGGACGCGCGACGACCCGGGCCGCTTCCCGCTCCTCGACCACATCTCGTCCTGCGCGGTCGTCGACGACGCGACGACGGCCTCGGACTGGCGGCCGTATCCGGGCAACTACCGCCACGCGACGTTCCGCGGCCGCGCGAGCGTCGCGGCGTACGTCGTCGAGGGCGCGCCGCCGTAAAAAAACCGGTTTACGAGACGGGCGCGATGGCGCCGCAGGGCGGCCAGGGTTGGACCGTCCCGATCTTCGCCGCGCCGGAGACGGCGGCGCACTCCCAGTCGCCCGTGCCGACGTGTACGTCCTCGAGGTAGACGCCGGCGATGGGCGCGCCGTCCTGGCCCGTGAGGCGCACGGCGTGCTGGGAGCAGGCCGCGTCGCGCGCGTCGATGCGCACGAAGGACACGTTCGCCGTCGCCGGCAGCGTCGCGTTCCAGGAGGCCGGGCACGACGGGTTCGGCGACTTGTAGTGGCCGTCGACGAGGATCGCGTCCTCCAAGGCCGCGCCGTCGGCGGTCATGTCCTCGAAGCGCACGTTGCGCACGTAGCCGCCTCGCGTCGGGCCCGTCTTGACGTGCGCGATGCCGTTGGCCTTGCCCAGGATGTTGACGCGCTGCACGAGCACGTCCTCGACGCCGCCGGACATCTCCGAGCCGATCGCGATGCCCGCCTTGGAGCCCGTGCAGTTGACGTCGCGGATCGTGATGTTCCTCGACGGCTTCCCGTAGGCGACGCCGAAGCAGTCCCAGCCGGACTTGATGGCGACGCAGTCGTCGCCGCCGACGTACGTGCTGTGTTCGACGAGCACGTCGCGCGCGCTGTCGGGGTCCCAGCCGTCGGTGTTGGGAGAGTTGTCCTTGGCGGAGATGTGGACGTTCCGCACGTGGACGCGCTCGCTGTCGTAAAAGTGGTTGTTCCAGAAGGGCGAGTCGCGCATGGACAGGTCGTAGATGCGGATGTCCTTCGAGTACATGAACTCGATGAGGTGCCCGCGCGTGACCGTCATCGAGTGGACCTGGTCCCACCAATACTGGCCGTTGCCGTCGAGGACGCTCGTGGGCCCCTCGCCCTGGATCGTGACGTCCTCGACGTGCTCGCCGTGGACGAGGGACGTGTAGCGCGGGCCCGGGTGGTCGCGGCCCTGGCCGTAGGACGGCGCGCCGGGAATCAGCGGCCACCGGGCCGCGTCCGCGACGCCGGCGACGGTCGCGTTCGCGGCGATGCGCAGCGTCGTGTGCGACGTCAGATTGATCGGCGCGATGAGGCAGCGCGCGCCGGGCGGGACCAGGATCGTCGTGTGCGCGTGGGCTCCGGCGTGGGCGAGCGCCGCCTCGAAGGCCGCCGTGTCCTCCGTCGCACCGTCGCAGCGGGCGCCGTAGCTGGCGACGGAGATGGTCTCTTTGGCGGTAGTGACGGCGGCGCGGGCGCCGTAGCTGGTCTCGGGTTTCGTGGCGGTGGTGACGGCGGCGCGGGCGCCGTAGCTGGCGACGGAGATGGTCTCCTTGGCGCTGGTGACGGCGGCGGTGGCCAGGAGAAGGAGCATTGAGTTCGGACCAAGGGCGTGAACCATGCCACGAGCCTCCCAAGCGTCAAGACCCAGGATGTTGCACGGCACGATCTGCTTGGCACGGCACGATCTGCTTGGCTGCTCGCGAGGAGACAATGCTCGAGCCCGACGTCGACGACGGGCCGACGGGCCCCGCGGCGGACCTGCTCCGGCGCAAGGTCAAGGAGACGCTCGAGCTCGACCTCGACGCGCCGGAGCTGCACGACGCGCTCGAGGTCGTGAGCGAGTTCTGGCAGGGCAACACGGCGGAGAACCGGCGGAACCTGCGGAGCGACCTCGAGCGGCGCACGGTGGAGCAGGCCGAGGCCTTCGTGGCGCACTACCGTCCCCTGCGCGACGCGCTCGCCGGGAGCGAGGCCATGGCCGCGGAGCTCGAGGCGCACGTCGCGGCGACGGCGAGGGAGCTGCGGGACCGCGAGGCCGAGAACCGGCGCGTCGTCGCGGCGCACGACGCCCTCGTCGCGGAGCGCGACGCGCTCGCCGCGAAGCGCGAGGCGACGGTCGCGTTCCTCGCGCGGTTCCAGCTCGGCGAGCGCGAGCGCGACGCGCTCGCGGCCGGCGACTTCGCGCGGGCCGAGGACGCCGACGACTTCTTCGCCGCGCTGGCGCGCGCGGCCGGCGCGCTCGCGGACCTCGACCGCGCGCTCGCGGACGGCTCGCGGTGCTTCGCGGACGCCGTCGGCTGCGGCGAAACCGTGCGGCCGTCGGACGGCGTCGGCGCGGAGCTCCGGGACCTGCTCCGGGAGGCGACGGACGGGGCGCACGAGCGCCTGCTGGCCTTCGCGCTCCGCGCGCTCGGCGGCGACGCCACGACGGCCGCGGACGCGGCCGCCGCGGCCGCGGCGTGCGAGGCGGTCGCGCAGGACCCGGGGCAGGAAAAGGGTGATTCAACGTCGCTTCAACGTGAGTGTTCCGCGCGCGCGCGTTCCGGAAACAGCACCCACGCTTCGAGAGCGCTCCGAGAGATGATCGCTCGTCCAAAAATCAGCCGAAACGAGCGGAAAACGACCGAGATAGGAGCCTTTGAAGTTGGGAATTTCGCACCCTTTTGCTGCCCAGGCAAGACCCGCGGAGCGCTCCGCGGCGCGCGCTCGAGGCGCTCCGGCGATCGCCGGCCCTCGACGCGCGGTGCCGCGACGCCTGCGCGCCCGCGCGGCGCGAGCTCTGCAAGGCGCGGCTCCGCGACGCGCTCGGCGCCGCGTCGCCCGGCGGCGACCCGGAGCGCTACGCGGCGGACCGCGCGGACACCGACCGCCGGTTCGGAACGCTCGAGCTCGGTCGCATCGGAGTCGATTCGGCCGATGTTTGGACGGATCGATCGCTCTCGTCGAGTGCTCGACGGAGCGCCGAAGAGTCCGGTCCACCCCGTTCGCCGAAGAGTCCGGTCCACCCCGTTCGCCGACGCTCGCGGTGACGTCGGGTCGACGTTTCGATTCCCACGCAGGCGGCGGACGTGCTCGCGTGGACGCACCAGGCCCTGGCGTCCGAGGGCGAGGTGCTCCGGGGCCTCTTCTTCTCCGACGCCGCCGGCGGCGACGGCGAGGCGGCGCTTCTAGCGGCCGTCGTCGAGGGCCTGGGCGAGCCGCTCGCCGCGCGGCTCCGGTCCGCGGTCGCCGCGCTCGGCGGCGACGTCGCGCGCGTCCACGGCGTCGCGCGGCTGCTGGCGTTCTACGCGGCCACGTTCCGCGGGCGGCTCGGCGGCGACGCGCTGCCGGCGGCCGTCGCCGCCGTCGCCGACGAGGCGCGAACGGCGGCCGAAGCGGGGGCGAAGGCGCTCGGCGACGAGGTCCGCGCGTCCGACGTCCGGCGCTTCGGGCCGCGCGGCGACGCGGCGGCGCCCGCGGCGGCCGCGCTGCGCGCCGCGGGCGCCGTCCTCCGCGCGGACGCGGCGCGGCCCGACGGCGGCGACGACGGCGACTCCGCGGGCACGCTCCTCGCGCTCGTCCTCGACCCGGTGCTGCAGTCCGTCGACGCGGCGCTGGACGCCGCGCCGCTCCGCGAGTTCGCGGGGCCGGCGACCGGCGCGGCGGCGGACGCCGTCGGCGCCGAGCCGCGCGGCGGCGCGCCGGGGTCGGCGGTGGACGCCGCCGCCTGGGCCGTCGACGCCTTCGGCTTCTGCGCGGCCGAGCTCGAGGCGCTGCCGCGGGGCGACGTCGTCGACGCGTACGCGGCGCGCTTCGCGCGGCGCGCGGCGGCCGCGCTCGCCACGCCCCCAGCAGGTGCGCGTGCTCCTGGACGTCGAGGGGTGAGGGCGTAATACGCGCCTAGACGCGCGCAGCAACCCTGTAATTTTTCGACCTGTCCTCACTTCCCGCAAAGTTTTCAGAAGTGAGCCAACGACCTTCGGGCGCGGAGGCGGGACCCGACGACAACCCAGCGCCGACGCCGCGCGCGGCGGCGCAAGAATCGAACACGCAGACGTACGACTTCACGTGAGAGCAATCGAGTGCGTGCGCGCTTCGTCGCGCACTCGCCGAGCGCACACGACCATCGAAACATCGGTTCGATGTGACGGAGCTCGAGAGGTTTCGACGTTCGGTCGGGCGTCCGGGCGCGAGCGCGTCGCTCCCGCCGCGCGTCCGAGAGCGACGCCCGCGTCTCATCGCCGACCGTCCGCTCGCAGGCGACCGACCGCCATTTGCAAGAGCGAGGCCGTGCCACATCCGCCGGGCATCGCGACCCCCTACCTTCGTCAGATGTGCCCATCGCCCTGCCTCGCGCCCGCCCCGATGACGAGCCCCGACGGCATGAAAGATGACTGCTTCGAGCCCGACTGCGGCTTGCGCGGCTACAAGTTCCTGAGCTACCGCCTCGCGCGGGAGGCCGTGCTCCGCGACCGGCCGGGCGTCGTCGCCAAGGACGGGTCGAAAACGCCCTACGGCGTCTTCGCCGACTTTGGCTTCCACGGCGCGTCGTGGCTCGGCCGCCGCCGCGAGACGCGTCCGCTCGTGCGCTATGGCCTCGGCCAGCGTCGAGCGACAGGAGTGTTTTTTCGCGTGAATTTCGCCTGAAGATGTGAATCCGACCCCGTCGCGCTTGGTAGGCCTCGGCATCGACCTTTATTTTAAGAGCATGAAGGTCTGGCTGCTCGTCTTCTTCGCCGTCTCCGTGCTCTCGCTCGCGCCCCTCCTGGGCTACTGGCGCAACAGCGAGCTGACGGCGGCGCGGCGCGACGCGTCCGTCGAGGCGCGCGGGCCCTCGGCGGCGTTCTTCGCGCTCTCCGTGGGCTCGCTCGGCCAGTACGCGACCGTCTGCGGCAGCGCGGAGGACGGCGAGACCGTCGAGCTCAGCTGCCCGGCGCACTACGAGATCCAGGAGGTCTTCGCGCGCGGCGCGGCGTCCGAACGTCGACGTCTCTCGGGCTCGCTCTCCGCGCGATCTTCGCGTTCGAGTCCGGTCGCGCGTCGCGGCCGCTCGCGTCTCCAGCGCTCGCCGCAGGTACTACGGCGCGCCGGCGGGCGACTGCGCGTGCCCGGACGCGCAGACCGTGGACTCGCGCGGCGAGTGCCCCGGCGACATGACCCGCGCCATGGAGTGCGAGGGCGGCGACGCCTGCGTCAAGGGGACGACGGCGCTCGGCGACGCGTGCTGCGCCTTCTCCGCGACGCGCGGCCGCGCGGACTTCGACGGCGTCGACCCGGGGCCGGGGCCCGCGTCCTGCGCGTCGACGTCGGCGCAAATCGTCGCGCAGGGCGTCTGCCTGGGCCGGCGCGCGTGCGCGCTCGCGGCCGACGGCGACCGGATGTACAGTTGGGAGGACCGGGGCCGCTACGCGTCCTGCGGGTCCGAGGACTTTCGCGCCGGCGCGGGGGGCTGCGCGGCGTCGCTCGGCGTCGGCGACTTCTCGGGCTGCGCGGAAACGCGGCGCCTCCTCGCCGTCGCCTACTGCGGCCGCGCGGAGCTCCGGACGTCGGCCGCGGGCACTACCCGGCTCGACACCTTCGGGTTCCGCTGCTCGCTCCTCGACGCGTTCTGCGCGTTGCTCGTGCTCGTCGCGTCGCGGTTCCTGCTGCGGACGCAGGAGCGCGCGGAGCGGACCTACGGCACCTACGTCTGCACGCCCGCGGATTATACGGTGGCCGTCGACGGCGGCTCGCTGCCGACGGACTACGCGTCGCTCGAGGCCGCGGCGGCGTTGGTCGGCGACCACTTCGAGCGCGTGCTCGGCGCCCAGGCGCCGGTCATCGAGCCGGGGCCCGTGCGCGTCGCCGACGTCTGCTTCGCCATCGTGAGCGACCGGACGCTCGTCCGCGCGCTCGACGCGCGCGCCGCGGCCGCGCGGGCCCTCGACCGGTCCCGCGCGGCCGCGGACGTCCGGGAAGCGTTGAAGCGACCGACGGAGCAAGAGGACGAGCCCGCGGCGCTCCGCGATGCGTTCGCGAAAGCGTCCGCGGCCGTGCAGGACCTCCTCGACGAGGGCAGCAAGGGCGCGGCGCGCGCGGCCGTCGCCTTCGTGACCTTCGAGACGGAGGAGGGCTTCCAGCGCTGCCTCCACGCGTACCCGCCGTCCCTGCGCCGCTGGCCGGGCTTCTTGCAGCCGCGGCGCCTGAAGCTCCAGGGCAAGGCCGTGCGCCTGAGCCGCGCGCGCGAGCCCCGGAAGCTCCGCTGGGAGAATCTCGGGCTGCCGCTCGGCGCCCAGGTCTGGCGGCGCGCGCTCAGCGCGCTCGCCGTGCTGCTCCTCCTGCTCGCGACGTCGGGCGTCGTCTTCTGGGCCCGCAAGTTCGAGCAGGGCATGGTCGCGCAGCACCCGGCGCGCGACTGCGGCGTGTTTCCGCGCGTCGTCTCCGACGGCGACGCGGCGTTCGCGTTCTCGCCCGCGGGCTCGGGGACGCTGACCATGGCCGACGTCGTCAAGGACGAGCGCTTCGAGGACTACGGCCTCCCCGCGGGCGAGACGGGCAAGCTCGGCTGCTTCTGCGACGCCGTCGCGGCGGACGCGTCGCCGCGCGCGGCGACGCGCTACCGCTTCCGCGACCCGGAGACGCGCGGCGCGCTCGGGACGTGGTGCCGCGGCTACTACCGGGACGTCTGGCTCCTGCGCGTCGTCCGCGCGATCGCCGTCGCCTTCGTCGTCGCCGTCGAGGTCTCGCTCAAGGTCCTGGCCAAGTGGACGACGACGTTCGAGCGCCACCCGTCGACGGTCGACGCCTGTGTGGAAATCAAATCTTCAAACCGACTTCAATGTGCGCGTAATCGAACGGTTTGGACCAGACTCTTCGGCTATGCTTCGAGAACTCGACAAGAGCAATCGATCCGTCCAAAAATCAGCCGAATCGACTTCGATTTGACCGAGCTAGAGAATTTCAAAGTTTGGTCGGGACGTCCCAAACCAGTGGTTGATTTCCACACAGGTCAACGCCGACTTCTCGACGACGCTCAAGATCTTCGTGTCGTCGACGATCAACACGGGCCTGCTCGTGCTGCTCCTCAACGGCAACGTCGACGCCGTCGCGCCGCGCTTCGACGCCTACGGCCTCGACGGAGACCTACGCGTCCGCGCGACGGACACCTACGGCCTCCTCGGCGGCGCCTACTACGACTTCACGGCGCCGTGGTACGCGTCCGTCGGCGCGGCCCTCGTGTCCGCGATCATCCTCGGCGTCGCGGGCGAGCTCGGCTACGCCGTCGCCGTCGTCGTCATGCACAAGCTCGAGGTCTGCCGGGACCGGGGCTGGTCCTGCGACGCGTCGGTGACGCGCGCGCTCACGCAGGACGAGCTCGTCGCGACGCTCGCGCCGCCGCGCATGACGTTCCCGGCGCGCTACGCCTTCCAGCTCAAGGTCCTGTTCGTGTGCCTGCTCTACTCCGGCGGCATCCCGCTGCTCTGGGCCGTCGCCTGCGCGACGTTCGCGGGCTTCTACGCCGTCGACAAGGTGCTCTTCACCAAGTTCCTGTCGGCGCCGCCGCCCGTCGGCGCGCGCCTCGCGATCTTCGCGAGCTCGCTCGCGCCGCTGGCCGTCGCCGCGCACTGCCTGGTCGCCGCGTGGATGCTCACGAACCCGGAGATCTTCGACCAGGACGACGCCGACGGCACGCTCATGCGCACGTGGTACGATCCCCGGCCGCCGCAGGTCGCGGACCTGGCCTTTGCGTCGACGAGCCGCGAGACGTCGCTTGCGGACCGCGCGGACCACTGGAACGCCATGCCCCAGTTCTTCGTCCTCGCGCTCTGCGGGCTTTTGGGCGCGCAGCGCGCGGTCCAGAAGCTCGCGGCCCTCGCGCGCGCGGCCAACGACGCCTTCGCGGACGCGCTCCAGGCGCGCTGCGGCTGCGCGCGGCTCGCGGCGTGCCTCCGGGAACCCGCGGCCGACGTCAAGGACCTGCCGCCCTACGTCGAGGCCGTGCCCGCGGACGTCATGGAGCGCCGGATCCGCGCGGGCGTGCTCAAGCCCCACGTCCTCGCGGCCTACGCCGAGGAGCTCGCGCGGCGCCGCGCGGACACGTCCCGCGACGGCCTCTTCGCGGCGAACGGCCGCCTCAAGGTCCGCATGCAGGGCCTCGAGACCTACGAGTTCCGCGCGAACGACGTCTACGTGCGGCGCTTCGCGCTCGACGCGCGGTGCCTCGCCGAGGGGCCCGGCGGCGACGACGAGGCGCCGCCGTCGCCGCCGTCGCCGCGCGACCGGCGCCGCGAGGAGCGCGAGAGCGACGCGACGGAGGACGCGCACGCGGCGGCGCTCGAGGCGCGGCTCGCGGCCGAGGACGAGAACGACCGCGCGGACTTCCTCGGCCGCCTCTCCTTCGGGAGCCGGTCGCCGACGCGCCGCCGCGGCGCGCAGCGCCGCCGGTCGTCCGAGGAGCTCCTCTCCGCCAACGCGCGCCGCGCGCTCCAGCACCTCAGCCCGACGCGGCCGCGCGAGCCGAACTCGGACGACTCGCTCGCGCTGTGAGAGAGAAGCACTACCCCGTGTTAAAAAGTGCCTCGATAGTGAGAGACGCGCCGCTCGAGGCAGCCGCCGGCTCTACGCGCGGCCCCCCGCCGGCGGTCCCCGCGCGAGCCGCCAGCACTAGCCCGTGTTAAAAAGGGCCTCGATGGCCGCCTCGCCGTCGCGGCTCAGCCGCGTGGCGCCGATGCCCGCGTAGACCCCGCTCGGCCGCGGCGGCGGCCGCGCGAGCGGCGTCCACGCCTCGCGGTCGACGTCCCACGCGTTCCAGCGCCCGTGCGTCGCCGGCACGACCTTGCAGCCCGCCCAGCCGTCGGTCGGCGAGTCGTCGAAGAAGAACAGCCGGCATCCGTCGCCGTCCAGGAAGCGATCCACGTAGAACTGCGCCGCGAAGCCCGCGCCGCCGCCGACGTCGAGCGCCGGGACGTCCCCCGGCTGGCGGTAGCCCACGGCGTAGACGGCGCCCGCGCGGCACACCTGGAGGTAGTTGCGCTTCGACGCCGCCCAGGCCTCCGGCGCCTCGCGGCGCGCCGCGGCCGCGGAGTCGAGCGCGCAGACCACCCGCGGGTCGTCGAGCGCTCCTTCGTCGACGCGGTAGACGGCGAAGTCCTCGACGGCGCGCACGCTCGGCTCGTTCGTCGGGCCGAGCAGGTGCGCGGCGCGGTGGCCGGCCGCCAGCGCCGCCGCGCCGAACACCGTGTCCGCGCCGTCGCTCGCGCCGCTGAGCAGCAGCGGGTCGTCGGACCGCAGGGGGTCCTCGGCGGACCCCAGTTTGTTGCCCAGGATGAGCCGCGCGAGCTCGGAGCCGCTGCGATACATGTTGCGGGCACGCGCGAGCGAGCAAAGCTACCGATGGTGCTGCCCCATTCCCAGCGAGCTCTCACACTTCGTGGTTGCTGCACCATCACCTCCAGGTGCTGGCTGGGAGAGGCAATGCGCTCTCTCTGAGCCTCCCGTCCCCCCGCGGCCTCCCGGGCCCCCTACGTTTAGAGACGCGTCAAGGCAATGCGCTCTCGCGGCACGCGGTCTCCGTGCGAGGGCGAAGCAGCGGTTGCGGCCGGTGCACCACCATCCGAGCAATGTGGCGTCAAGGATGTGTTCATCGCGATCGCGTTGACGGCGTGCGCATTGCTGCTGCGGGAGATTGTTTTTACCAGCACGCCGCATTTTGCGCCTCCAGCCGCAGCGACGACCGTGCTCAAAGCGGCGCCGGCGCTGCGAGGAGCCGCGGCGGAGGTACTCCCAGCGATCGCCATCGCGCCGCCGGCGCTGCCGGAGATCGCCGTCGCGGTTCCGCCGGTCGCGCCGGTCGCGCCGGTCGCGCCTCCGCCGCCGGTCGCGCCGGTCGCGCCGCCGCGGCCGGTCGCGCCGCCGCCGCCGCCGCCGTCGCCGCCGAAGCGCGAGCCGCACTTGATCTCCGGCGGCAAGCCGGCGATCTCGGACGTCCGGGGGAACCTCGCGGACCCGTCCGTCGTCACGAACGGCAAGCAGGGCGACTGGCTCAAGGACCGCTGGCAGGCGGCGAAGAACATGCAGGGCCTCGCCATCCCCGGGCCCCACTTTTTGGAGGTCGACCTCGAGGCGACCTGCGTCATCGACCGCGTCGTCGTCGACTACGAGAAGGCCTACGCCAAGGACTACGCCGTGATGGGCCTCGCGCCGTCCGGCGGCTGGGCGAAGCTCGCCGCCGGGCGCGACGCCGCGGAGGCGCGGCCCGCGGACCAGCACATCGTCCACACGCTCGCCGTGCCGTCGTCGGCGGCCTTTACGAAGATCAAGCTCGACGTCGTCCGGCCCGCGGCGCGGTGGGGCGTCTCCGTCTGGGAGCTGTCGGTCTACGGCGTCTGCGATTAAGGCGGGAGGGCGGAGCCTAGTAGGACGTCGATCCAGCGCAGGAACTCGTGGAAGCAGGCCGTCCCGTGCTTGTGGTGGTGCTCGTGGGCCTTCGCGCCGCCGAAGATCCCGGGGGCGACGTTGTGCATGCACCAGGGCGCGTCGTAGCCGCTGTGGATCTCCACGAGCATGTAGGTCACGACGACGTTGTGGAGGCACCGCGACAGGTCGTGCTTCGGCGCGCCCGAGAACAGGGGCAGCGACCGCCGCTGCACGAGCACGTTGCAGAGCACCTGGAGGAACCCGTCGACGAGCGAGTGGTGCGTCGTCTCCCGCGCGCGCAGCGCGCCGCCGTCCTCGCGCCGGTGGTGCTCCGCGTGGAGCCGCCGGAGCCACGCGGGCGCGCGACGCGCGTGGAACGCGCGGTGGATCCCGTAGAACAGCAAGTCGTAGCAGAAGATGCCCGCGGCGAGCTCGCCCAGGAGCCGCGCGGCCGTCGGCGGCGCGGCCGCGGGCGGGGCCTTGGCCTTGAACGCGTGGTAGACCGCGATGCCGCCGAGGTAGAGGCCCGCCTCGAGGCCGCCGCGCCGGCTGTCGGACGAACTCGCGTAGGGCACGGGCGCCGACCGGTCGAAGCGCCAGCGCCGCGCGGCCTCCGTGCTGTCGAGGAACTGGTAGAAGGCGATGGCCTGGAAGAAGCCCCACGTCGCGAGCGCCGCCTCGAAGAGACAGTGGTGGACCAACGGGCAGCGGAGCGCGCGGGCCCAGGCGCGGGCGACGACGGCGTCGGCCAGGGCGGGGGTCGCCACGGGCGCGAGGCACGTGAGCGCGACGACGGCGCGGACGATCCACGTGGCCGCCCGCTCGCGCGCCGTGGGCTGCCTCTCCGAACTTTGGTCCGATTCGGGCAGCCGCTCGATTTTTTCCTCCGGCAATTTTGCCTGAGAGAGCATCGGCGCGTCGCGCTGCGCGATGATCGAGTCAGGAGCTCGGTCACGGCGTCGCGCGGCCATGCTGCCACGACACAGAGCGCCGAAGGGCGCGAAAGCGCGGTGAAGTGAAACGCTGGCCCGCTCCGAAGGCAATGTTCAACGTCACGAACGTTGCACTTTGCGACCACACCGATGCGGTTGCCGAAGATGGACAACGATCTTGCTGTTGGACAGTGATCTAGCGACTAGGACGCTCACTTTTCGGGGTCGGACGCCGCACCGGTGGCCGCTTGTCGGGCTCGTGCGACGTGATCTCCCATGTGCCGCTGGCTCGTCTACTGCAGCGCCGAGCCCATCGTGCTCGCGGACCTCGTGCTCAACAGCCACCACAGCATCGTGCGCCAGTCCTTCTCCGGCGGGTTCCACCCCGACTGCAGCGACAAGAACAACATGCGCATGAACGCCGACGGCTTCGGCCTCGGCTGGTACGGCCTCCGCGAGAGCGGCGCGTCGGCGGCGATCTTCCGGAGCATCACGCCCGCGTGGAGCTGTGTGGAAATCAAATCTTCAACCCGACTTCAATGTGCGCGTATGCGACCGTTTCGACGCATGGCTTTCGGCCGTGCTTCGAGAACTCGACGAGAGCAATCGATTCGTCCAAAAATCAGCCGAATCGACTTCGATTTGACCGAGCTAGAGAATTTCAAAGTTTGGCCCCGACGTCCCAGCTCACTGGTTGAATTCCACACAGGCGTGGAGCAACCGGAATTTGCGGGAGCTCGCGGGCGTCGTGAGCAGCCGGTGCTGCTTCGCCCACGTGCGCGCCGCGACGCCCGGCTCCGTCGTCTCCGAGGAGAACACGCACCCCTTCCGCTACGGGCGCCTCCTCTTCCAGCACAACGGCCACATCGAGGGCTTCGCGCGCGTGAAGCGGCGGCTCATCGAGAAGCTCCCGGACGGGCTGCTCGCGTGGGTCGACGGCTCGACGGACTCCGAGTACTGCTTCGCCCTGCTCCTGGCGCAGCTCGAGCGGCCCGACCGCGCGGACCGCTTCCCCGTCGCGGAGCTCGAGTTCGCGGTGCTGCGGACGCTCGCGATCCTCAAGGCGCTCGGCGACGACGAGCGCATCGTCGACGGCTTCTCGACGTGCAACTTCGCCCTCGCGGACGGCGCGTCCGTCGTCATCACGCGCTACTGCGACAAGGCGCCCGAGATCCCGCCGCCGTCGCTCTACTACACGTTCCGCTGCTCGAACGAGCTCAAGGCCGCGCTCGTGTCCGGCGCCGACGACGCGCCGCGGCCGGCCTACGGCGTCGAGGCCGCGCGCGCGGCGACGCGCGCGCCGCCGCCCCGGGACGCGGGCGAGCACTGGGCGCTCGTCGAGGAGAACACGATCATCAGCTTCTCGCTGCCCGCGCGCGGCGCCGCGGAGCCGACGCTGCTCCGGGGGCCGCTCTGCTGCCCCGACGACGACGACGGCGCGAACTTCAGCGACGACGACGGCGAACTCCCGCCGACGCCGCCGAAGGCGGGCGTCGGGTCGACGAACGTGACGGCGTCCATGCTCTCCTTCGTCGCGAAGCTCCAGAGCGCGGACTCGTGGCGCCGCAAGTTCATCGAGCGGAGCCTCGCGCCGCCGCGGCCGCCGCCGCGGTCGCCGCGGCCGCCCCTCGCGAGCGCGCGGACCTACGCGTGCGGCGACGACGCGGGCCGCCTCCTCGCGGCGCGCGCCAAGGAGCTCGCGCGCGACCACCGCGCGAAGGGCGCGGCCAAGGGCAACCTCGTCACGGAGTTCGGCCTCCGCACGCGGCCCCTGACGCGGTCCGCGAGCTTCGGCGCCGCGGGCCAGCTCAGCCGCGGCTCCTCCGCCTCCGTGGACTCGTCCCGCGACGCGTCGCCCGCGTCGTCGCCCGTCGCGCCCATCCGCCGCGGCTTCTTCGCCTGACGCGGCGTCCGCCCTCTCTTCGGTACATAATTCGACATACTCCAGTAGGAGCTTCGGACGTCCATACCGGACTAGGCCTCGGACTCCGGAAGTTCTTCCGAGTGCACCGGTCTTCAACGACGACTCGTACCTCAACATTCTCAATTTCGGCGGGGTGTGTGTCACACGATGTTCGCGGCCACGCCGGACGCGACGTACGGCACCGGGAAGCTCGTCGTGCAGCCCGCGCCGGGCGGCGCCTGGCGGCGGCGGGCCCTCCTCTGCGCGGCGGGCGCGCTCGGCTTCGTCGCGCTCGGCGCCGCCCCGACGCCGGCGGTCCTGCTGGCGTCGACGACGACGACGACCTGCGGCAACTTCGACGAGGTCTTCGACGCCTGCGCGACGACGGGCGGGGAGCCCGCTTTAGCCGGCATGGACGTGATGTCCTACTTCAGCCACGGCGCGCCCACCGCGGGAGCGCGGTCGCTGCGGTACCGCGACGACGCCACCGGGGCGACGTTCTACTTCTCGTCCCGGTTGACGCGGTCGCGCTTCGCCGAAGACCCGGAGTCGTTCAAGCCCCAGGCCGGCGGCTACTGCGCGTTGGCCCTCAGCGGCCTCGACCCGAACCTCGGCGACGGCTCGTCGTGCTCGTCGATCTCGCCCGTCGACCCGTACGTCTACGTCGTCAACGAACTCGGCCTCTTCCTCTTCCGCATGGAGGGCGCGAAGGACATCATGGAGTCCTACGACGCCCAGGGGCTGGAGCCCTACGCGGCGGCCGTCGCGGCGTGGGCGGACCTCGCGGCCCTCGGCGCCGGCGAGGACGCGGCGGAGACCGCGCCGATCAACGGCAACGACGCGCGGTGCACGAAGGTCTACGGCGCGACGAACGGCGTGAAGACCGTCCCGGGGGGGCGCGCCGTCCGCGTCGCGCCGCGATAACGTCATGCGTGTGTATCTGTGTTAGGGAGGGCCTGCGGCAACTTGACTGCCTCGAGACCGCGCCTCCGCCGTCGCCGCGCGCGCCGCCGTCGCTGCCAGAACTAGCCACAAATAGCCGCAATGGCGGCGCCCACGAAGCGCGCGCGCCGCGCGAGCGCCGCGGCCATGCCGCCGCCGCCGCCGCGGCCCGCGACGTCGGCGAGCGGCGGCGCGCCGGCCTGGAGCAAGGCCGACTGGGAGCGCTGGTCGCGCGCGCCGCGCATGGCGACGCTCGAGGTCGGCGAGGGCTGCGCGCTGCTGCTCATGAAGGCGCCGCTCGGCGAGCGCTACGAGGACCGCTACGGCGGCGAGGCGTGCGTGCACACGCCGCACATGGTCGTCGAGCGGCTCCTCGCGAAGAAGCGGCGGCTGGCGCTCGTCGTCGACGCGACGCTGCGGTCCAGCTACCTCCACGACGCGCGCGACTGGGACGACTGGGACGCGACGCACGTGAAGCTCGGCGCGCGCCGCGGCCCCGCGGACCGGCTCGTCGACGCCGCGCCGACGCGGGAAGAGGTCGACCGGGCCGTCGCCGCGCTCGCCGAGGCCTGGAAGAGACCGTCAGTCGCTGCGGTCTACTCGCTCGACGGCTGCAACACGCCGGGCCTCATCGCCGTCGTCGCGCTCGTCGAGCTCCGCGGCGCGCCCGTCAACGCGGCGTTCAACGCCGTCGCCGAGCACCGGCCGTTGTTCCGGCCGAAGCACGTCGCGTGGCTCAAGGCGCGCTACCCGGCCCTCGCCGCGGCGCCCGCGCCGCGGCCCGCCTGGCTCGGCGGCGGCGACGACGGCGACGACGCCAGCGACGGCGAGGAGCCGCTCGCGGCCGCGCCGGCGCCCGCGGCGGCCGCGGACGCGGACGCGCCGAAGCCGAAGCGCGCGCGGCTCCAGCCGGCGGCGACGCGCGCGCACCGGCTCTTCGTCGTCGGGCCCGACGGGAAGCGGTCGCTCCTCGCGACGTTCGACGCGGCGCTCGCGCTCTGCCCCGCGGACCTCGAGTCGACGCCCGAGGGCTACGACAAGGACCTCGCCAAGGTCGAGGGCTACCCGTCCTTCGACGCGAAACTCACGTCCGACGCCGCGAAGCTCGCCGAGTTCTGCAAGTACCTCGTCGCGCGCAAGAAGGCCGCGGTCGTCTCCAAGGCGCCGCGCGTCTACCTGCCGCCGCAGGCGCCGACCGCGGCCGGCGGCATCGTGCTGCGCTATCGCACCTAAGATGTCGGGTGTCGTCTTTTTGTGCTCGAAGGTCGTCGGCTGCGTTGCTTACGCATCCGGATCGATTCCGCAATGTGCCGAAGTTGCATCCTTGTTGACCAAGACTTGAAGTCGAGCAGCTGTGAGGGGCCACTGGGTGCCCGCTCTGCCTCGGCTGCCTCGGCTGTCTCGGCGCGCACAAGCTCTCGTCGCCTGCGCCAGCATCGCGCGCGACTGCTGCGTGCACCTGGTGAACGTCGGCTGCGACGATGCTGCTGCGCCTGCTGCTGGTCGCTGGCGCGGCGCTGACGGCGCACGCCGACGACGCCTACGCCATCCTCGGCGTGCCGCGCGGCGCCTCGACGGCGGAGATCAAGGCCGCGTATCGCAAGGCCGCGCTGAGATACCACCCCGACAAGGGCGGCGACCCGGACATGTTCGTCAAGGTCGCGCAGGCCTTCGAGGACGTCGGCGATCCCGCGGCGCGGCGGCGCTACGACGCCGGCGGCGGCCGCGCGCCCGCGCGGCGCGGCGGCGCTACGACGCCCTTCCGCGCGCGCGAGATGTTCCGCGAGAGCTTCGGCGACGAGCTCTGGCGGTCCTGGGAGCCCGGCGCGACGGTCACGGGGTCGCTGCGCCGCGACGGCGAGCGCGTCGACGTCACGATCAACCCGGACGGCAGCGTCGACGAGCGCACGACGGCGGCGCGCCAGGGGGGGAGGTCGACCTACTCCAAGGTGACGCGCACGGGCCCCGACGGCCGGTCGTCGTCGTCCGTGTCCATCAGCCTCGACGGGTCCCTCGGCGAGGCGTTCGCCGCGGCCGTCGTCCCCGACTGGCTCGCGCGGCTCCCCGGCGCGGGCGCGCTCGTCGTCCTCGCCGCGACCTGGACGCCGAGCCTCCTCTGCCTGAGCTTCTGCTGGCGCTGCTGCCTCAAGCCCAAGAGCCACGACGCGTAACTTAATTTTTCTCATCTCCGGAGGTAGCGCTGCGCGGCCTTGGCGACCGTCGGCGTCAGGGCCGCGGTGAGGGGCACCTTGATGGGCACGAAGAGCTTGGCGATGAGGAGCGCGGAGACGAAGGTCGAGCCGCGCGTCATCTTCGGCGACGGGTTGTCGTCGTCGTCGAGGAGCTCGACGGACCGCATCCACGGCTTGACGTCGACGCCCGCGGCCGCGGCCTTGTCGACGACGCCGAGGACGAGGGGCGTCGCGTCGTAGCCCGCGCTCAGCGTCGCGTAGATCGTCGTGAAGAAGGTCGTCGTGACGACCGTGTAGGTGCCCAGCGCCGCCGGGCCGTACTTGCTCGCGAGCGCCTTGAGGCTCATGGCTCGTTCTCCGCGCGCGCGCGAGCGGTGCGCGGCGTGTGCGACGCGCGCAGCGAAAGTGGCGAGCGCGTGCGTGCGGGTCGGCGCGACGGCGGCGACGGTCGACTATTGCCACACGAGCCGCGCGCCAATGTTGTAGTTCGATTTACCTGCAAGCCACCTCCGGTCCCCTTCGACCACTCAATGGTAGCCCGAAACTGAGCCGGCGACGCTGCCCCGACGCGACCATGGTCGGCTACTACAAGGTGAAAGCGAAGAAGGGCCTGCTCGTGCGCGAGGGCGCGGCCCTGGACACGCCGGAGGTGACGACCCTCGACAATGGGCTGCGCATCACCTGCGAGGAGGAGGCGACCGTCGACGGCAAGGTGCGCCTGCGGCTGACGTCGCCCGTCCGCGGCTGGGCGTCGAAGAAGCTCATGGACTTTGAGTGCAAGCTCGGCGCGCGGCCGACGGGCGCGACGCCGTGGCTCCGCAAACTCGCCGCGCCGGACAAGGCCGAGAAGCGGATCGTCTTCTTCAACTGGACGGGCAACCGCGGCGGCTACGGGAGTTCGCACAACTTCAAGGACTGGCCCAAGGGCCTGGCCGGCTTCGAGTGCTACGAGGTGCAGATGACGGGCCGCGGCGCGCGCATGAAGGAGAAGCTCCGCGCGGAGCCCGCGCCGCTCTTCGACGACGTCGCCGCGGCCCTCGACGACGCCCTCGCCGGCGGCCCGCCCTGCGTCTTCCTCGGCTTCTCCTTCGGCGCCATCGTCGCCGCCGAGGTCGGGAGCCGCCTCAAAGCCGCGCCGCTGCGCCTCGTCGTCGCCGTGTCGTGCGAGGGGCCGGCGTTCCCGGGCCGGTCCGCGACGAAGATGGCCGCGCTCGGCGACGACGCGTTCGAGGCGCTGCTGCGCGAGAAGAAGGGCACGGAGTTCATCCTCAACGGCGGCGAGGCCATGAAGAAGATGTACCTGCCCGTCGTCAAGGCCGACGTCGCGCTCGAGGAGGCCTACGCGCCGCCGGCCGCGCCGCTCCTCGCGTGCCCCGTGCTCGCGTACGTCGGCAAGAAGCCGGGCAAGGACCACGAGAAGACGACGGTGTCCGAGGCCGACGCGGCGCTCTGGGACGGCGCGACGACCGCGGGGGCCAAGGTCCACGCCTTCGAGGACGACTGGTACGTGCTGCTCCACGAAGCCGACGTCACCAAGATCATCGCGGACGTGGCGACCTTCGACTACGCCGCGGCGCCGGCGGCCGCGGCCGCGAGCTACAGCGACTTCGCCGTGGCGCCCCTCGGCGGCGGCGGCGCGGTGACGCTGTCGACCTACGCGGCGAGGGCCCATTTGATCTTCAACTCGGCGTCCAAGTGCGGCATGACGCCGCAGCTCGGTGGCTTTCAGGCGCTCCAGGCCAAGTTCGGCGACCGGCTCCAGGTCCTGGCCTTCCCCTGCGACCAGTTCAAGCAGGAGCCGGGCTCGCCCGCGGAGATCGCGGCGTTCTACGCGGACAAGTTCGGCGTCACGTTCCCCCTCTTCGCCAAGGGCGACGTCAACGGCCCGGACGCGCACCCGCTCTTCGCCTTCCTGAAGGAGGCGACCAAGGACCAGGCCGCGCCCGTGCCGCCGTGGAACAACAAGGGGCAGGCGGCGACGGACGTCATGTGGAACTTCACGAAGTGGCTCGTCGTCGACGGCACGCCGACGAAGCGCTACTCCTACGACGTCAAGCCCGAGGCCATCGAGGCCGACATCGCCGCCGCGTTGAACTAACCTAGTCGCCCTTGCAGAGCGCGACGACGTTGAAGTCGAGGCTCTCGGGGTCGCGGGCCATGAAGTCGTCGCGGATGACCTTCGCCGCGTCCTCGACGAGCGACTCCGGCGTCGTCGGCCCGTGGTCCACGGGGAACGCGCGTCCGGCGCCGTCGAGCGTGCGGCCGTCGAGCTCGAAGAGGCGGCCGCCGTGCTCGACGAAGCAGATGAAGTGGCGGTTGCCGTGGTCCTCCGTGCCCGCGCCCTCGGTCGCGCCCGCGCACGCCGTCGCGTTCGACGCCTCGTGCATGTAGGACGCCGCGACGAGCGCCGCGCCGCGGTCCGGCGCGCTCGAGCCCGCCGTCTCGGCGACGAAGCGGCCCAGGAGCGACCCGTCGTCGAGCGCGAACGCGCCCGCCGCGGCCGCGTTGCCGAGCGCGTGCATGCACGCGATGGTGCCGCACGCGTTGCCGCAGCCGTCGAGCTGCTGCGTGAAGAAGAGGCCCGCCTCCGAGTCCAGCGGCGCGCCGCGCTTGGCGCGGAGCTCCGCGCGCCGCGGCGTGCTGATCTTGTCGCAGGGGAAGAGCAGGCACAGCGCCACGCAGGGCCGCGGCACCATCATCAGGAGCTCGGGGTCCATGCCGAAGACGTCGCAGAAGCTCCAGTCCGTCGGGCAGCCGAGCTTGCGCAGGAACGGGTTGAGCACGTCCGGGTTGCTCTCGAGCGGCAGCCACGCGGGCGTCGCGGCGGCCATCGTGCACACTGTGGACAAGGCTTGTGGCGAAGTCGCCGAGCTGCTCGAGCACCTCGCGAGAGGACGCCGCGCGCCTGGGGCAGCGCGACGCCGCGGACTTCGGGGCCGTCGATCCGCTTCGGACGCGCCGTCTCCAGCGCGGCTCGGCGCTTCGACCGCGCCGGCGCGACGCGATGATGGTGCCCCCGGGCGGCGGCGTGTGCCAGGAGGTCGACCTCAAGTGCGGGCCCGCGTGCATGAACGGCGACAAGTGCACGAACTCGCGCGTCTACGTGAGCGGCCTCCCGCGGGGCTGCACGGCCGACGACGTCTCCGACATGTTCGGCGGCATCGGCGTCATCGCGCGCGAGCGGCCGACGGGGCGCGGCGTCTTCCCGGACATGATGCCGTACCGCGTCAAGTTCTACGGCAACGACGACTGCCTCGTGCAGTACGAGGACTCGCACGCGGCCCACGCGGCGCCGTCCTTCTTCGACGGCCAGGACCTCAAGGGCGCGACGCTCAAGGTCGAGATGGCGGAGAAGAAGCCGAACCAGGGCCTCCCCGCGGGCACCTACGTGCCCCCGTCCCAGGCGGGCCCGAAGGCCTACGGCGGCGGCGGCTACGGCGGCGGCGGCGGGGGCTACGGCGGCGGCGGCGGCCGCGGCGGCTACGGCGACCGCGGCGGCGGCGGCGGCGGCGGCGGCTACGGCGGCGACCGCGGCGGCGGCTACGGCGGCGACCGGGCCGGCGGCTACGGCCGCGACGACCGGGGCGGCGGCGGCGGCTACGGCCGCGACGACCGGGGCGGCGGCCGCGACGACCGCCGGGACTACGACCGCCGGGACCGCGACCGCGACCGCCGGGACCGCGACCGCCGCGACGACTACGACCGCCGCGACCGCCGAGACGACCGCCGCGGCCGGTCGCGCTCCCGCGACCGCCGCTACTGAGCCGGCGGCGCGTCGCGCGCGGCGGTCCCGTCGGCGGCGGCGGCCGCGCGTCGTCCCCAGTGTCGCGGGGAGCGACGAAGCGCGGGGAGCTAAGAATGGCCGCATATGTGGAGCTCCAGAGGGGGGACATGTATGTTGGGGGCACGGGTACGCGCGGCTAGCCCAGCGCGCGTCCTCGAGCTCACGTGTCGAGCGGCTCGCCCCGCGCCGGTAGCCTGCCGGTGCTAAAATTTGGGTGCACTTCATATAGAAAATAGTTATATTATTGAAAAATTAAAACCAGTCGGACTTTCCAGCGATTTCATTGGTCGGACGGCGCTCGAGCAAGGCCGAGCTCGAACGCGTCGAGCAGCCCGTGCCGGCAGTTGATGGAGGGCGGCGCCGCGGCGCCCGTGGGGCCCGCCGCGCCAATGCAGCCCCCGGCCCTCGCGGTCGACTCCGTCCTGCGGGCCGCGGCGACGGACGTGGATCGCGAAGCGTATGATCGCGCGGTCGGGGCCGGCGTCGACGGGATGCTGGTCCTCGGCACGGTCGTGCGCCTCCCGACAAGCGCCGCCGTCGGCGCGGTCCGCTGGAACTGCATCGGGCTGCGGTCCGTGTCCTTGGTGGTCGCGAAGGGCTGCGTCGCCGCCGCTCATACTAACTAGCGGACGGAACGAGAACCGTTTAAGACGAAGCTATGGTTCGAGCGTCTTTATCAGCCCCCGACCACGCGATAATGCGGAATCATGCAACGATCCCAGTAGCTTCGAGCTCCGCTAGTGTGAGCCTGACGCACGTGCGCAGACGCGAAGTGCTGCCGGTCGCGTGGTGACTCGAACCGTCCTTCGAGGGCTGGGATGGGGCGCGTTTGATCCCCCCGACCCCATATGTCTATCGACCTCTCGCAGCATCGGAGATCGTATATCACCATCCCCAGTCAATTCCCTTCAGTAGGGCTGGGTTGGTCGGTCGTCGTCGTCGTCGTCGCCGCCGCCGCCGCCGCCGCCGCCGCCGCCGCCGCCGCCGCCGCCGCCGCCGCCGTCGTCGTCACGCGCGCGTGGAAATTCGAACCCACAATCAAGGGCAGCGGACGTCCGGAGATAGCATTTCAATTCCACCCGGGAAGGGCGAATTCGTACATAAACCACACGAAACGACCGTCGACCGAGGGGCTGCCCCGTTCGACGTGAAGGTGTCCACCTCAGCCATGCGGAGCGCGTCCCACAGCGGGCCCCACACACGGCGAGGACTGCGCGGGCACCGGTGATGCGCGATCGCCGCGCCGCGGCGCCGCGTGCGCTCGAGGAGTGAGTCCTGCCACCGAATGACGGCGGGCAGCCTCGCCGCAGCGAGGCGGGCGCGAGCCGATCGGCGACTCTGGTTTTTATAACTTAACCATTTTCTATATGTTGCCAACTCCCGGGCACTGGGGCTGCCGAAGGGCTGGGCGTGGACGGCCGCACCCGCCATGGAGTCGGTCAACTCCGAGGACTCGAGCGTGGACAGCCGGAGCATCGTCGTCGAGGCGCCCGTGGCGCCCTTCGTCCAGCAGCTTTTTAAGATGGTGAACACGGGCACGCTCATCCAGTGGAGCGAGGACGGCGAGGCCATCGAGGTGCCGGACCCGGGGCGCTTCGCGGCGGAGATCTGCCCCCTCTACTTCCGCCACAAGAACTGGAACTCCTTCGCGCGCATGATGAACATGTACCAGTTCACGAAGCTCAGCAACGAGGGCAAGTCGAAGCGCGCGCGGTTCTCGCACGCGCACTTCCGGCGCGGCGGCTACGACGTCCTGTGGAAGATCACGCGCCAGAAGACGACGGCGGCGCCGCGGAAGAAGGCCAAGCCCCCGGCGCCGGGGCCCGAGCTCCCCGCGCCCGGGGGCACGCCGGGCGCGGCGCCGCCGACGGCCGAGGCGTGGCGCCGCGCCAAGGGCGACGTGCTCGCGTGGCTCGACTCGGCGCCGGCGACGCGCGACTTCTCGCCCGCGGACCTCGCGCGGGCGCGGGACCTCGTCGCGTCCGAGACCGTGGGGCCCGACATGTCCGCGTGGGTCAAGCGCGCCATCGCGCTGGACCGCCGCGTCTGCGAGCTCGAGACGGAGAACGCGATGCTGCGCAACCTGCGCACGCTCAAGATTCCCCGGGGCGCGTCGGGCGCCCTGGGCGAGGAGGGCCGCTTCCTCGAGAAGGAGCTCTCCGAGGACACGAAGCGGTTCCTCGTCGACGAGCTCTCGCCTTCCGGCTTCGCGGCCGCGGACCGCGCGCTCTTCTCCGGCGACGTGCCCCGGTCCCGCAAGCGCGACGCGCCCGCCGGGCCCCGCCGGAGCGAGAGCTCGTCGTCCGTCGGCGAGGACGTCCTCGCGTCCATGTCCGACATCTTCACGAACATCAACGCGAGCTTCGACTGCCGCGCGGGCGGCATCATGGCCTGCGGCAGCACCGACGCCATCCCGGACATCGCCGACGACGAGGGCATGGACGAGGTCATCGACGGCGAGCCCCGCGGCGCCCCGGCCTACGGCTGGTGCGGCGCGGCCTAGGCGCCGCGGCGCCGCGCCGTCCTCTTCGCGCGTCTCAATTAAGTCCCCCTTCCTTCTCGCATGCTGGGCGGTGCCGAGTCGAGAACGTCCGCTCACTTGAAGACGAGTGCGATCGCGCGTTCAATCGCGTGGTAAATTTAAATCGCGCGCGATCCAGGTAACTTCGAGTGTGCCTTCAAGGTGCCTTTCTGCTTCTGAGCCCGCAACGACGGCAGCCCCATCAACCGCGAGCCGTCCGCGACGATGGAGCCTCTCCCGCGCGCGCGCCGCCTCTACCTTGCACGCTTCTTCGTGCTCGGCGGCTGCATCCTCGGCCTGGTCTGCGCCTCGACGCTGTTCCGGCCGGCCGCCGTCGAGCCGACGCTGCTCCTCGGCGAAGGCGGGCCGCAGGGGCTCACGCACGGCGTCGTGCGCGGCAGCCATGGCTACGAGGTCGTCCTGCTCGAGGACGCGGACGACGACGCGCTGCTGGCCTCCGGAGGCTACAGCGCCGGCGCGTCGCACGCGTCGGGCTTCGGCGTATTGAAGGTCGAGGCCGCGGCCGGCGGCGCCGACGGCTTCTACGCGGCCGGGTTTCTCGAGGGCGCGGCGCGGCGTCCCGCGCCACCCGCCTGCGGCTTGCTCCTTGGACCGAGCGCGCAGCGCTTGGCCGGGGGTCCGCGGGCTGGTGGTCCCGCGCGCGCGTGTCGTTCCCGACGTCGTTCGTAGGCTACCTCACGCACCGCGAGATCGTCGCGCACGCCATCAACGCGCGCTGCGAGATCGCGTGCGAGGGCCGCGTGCCGCCGCGCGTCGCCGCGTTCCTCCGGGAGCAGGAGGCCTGGACGGCGGCGACCGTGGCTGAGCGCGCGGCGTCGGACCCGCTCTGGCGGCACGTGCGCGACGTGCGCGACCAGTTCGAGGGCGTCGTCGACGGCGTGGACGCGGCGGTGCGCGCGGACGCGTCGGGCGCGTTCGGCCCGGGCGGCGAGCTGTCCTGGGCGCCCTTCGCGGAGATGCTCCACCCCGAGGACCTCCGCGCGTTCGGCGGCGCCGGCGACGACGCGGCCAAGAGCGCGCTGCGCATGGCCGTGCGCCTCGTCAACTCCATCGGCGAGCTCATCGACGTCGTGCCCGCGGTGCTCCACCCCGGCGAGCGCGAGGACATGTCGGGGACGCCGGCGACGCCGAAGGAGCGGGCCGAGGCCGACTCGGAGGCGCTCGCGAACTCGGGCCGCTGCACGGTGCTCATCACCGTCGCCGACGACCTCGGCGACATCTTCTTCTCGCACGCGACCTGGTGCGTCGCTCGCCGGGGAAACGTTCGCGACGGCGTCACGCGCCGCCTCCCAGGTTCCACTACGCCATGATGAACCGCATCTACAAGCACTACTCGCTGCCGGGCGTGCCCGGCGCGTCGCAGTCCTTCTCGTCCTACCCGGGCACGCTGAGCTCCTTCGACGACTTCTACCTGATCAAGGAGACGTCGCTCGTGATCCTGCAGACGACGAACGGTGGGTGTTCAGCGGCGCCGGCTCGCGCGATCCCGCGGACGCGTAGGCATCTACAACGCGTCGCTCTACGGCGCCGTGCGGCCCCAGAGCCTGCCGTCGTGGCAGCGCGTGCGCGCGGCGAACGCGCTCGCGGCCACGGGCCCGGCCTGGGCCTCGATCGTCGGCCGCGAGAACAGTGGCACCTACAACAACCAGTGGGGGCGCCGGCGTCGTCGTTCTCTCTCCGCCGGTTTTACCGGCGCGCGCAGGTACATGATCCTGGACCTCAAGCTCTTCGAGCCCGGCAACGCGCTCCCCGACGGCCTCCTCTACGTCGTCGAGCAGATCCCGGGCACGATGGTCTCCGGCGACGCGACGGCGGAGCTCGAGCGGGGCTACTTCCCGAGCTACAACGTGCCCTACTTCGAGGAGATCTACGACAAGAGCGGCTACCCGACGCTCGACGCGCGGCGCGGCCGGAAGCGCGGCTCGGCGTCCTGTGGCCGCGACGAGTTTCGAGAGATTTGGGGTGGGAAAACAACGAAAAAATCGTTACCGTCGTGCTCGGTAGGCGCGGCTCGGAGTACCAGCTCGCGCCGCGCGCGAACATCCTGCGCCGGGACTTCCCCAAAGCCAAGAGCCTCGCGGGCATGCGCCGGGTCATGCGCGCGAACGGCTACGGCCGGGGCGACCCCTTCGCGACGGACCCCTGGGCCGCGGTCTGCGCGCGCGGCGACCTGCACCCGACGAAGGCGTCCCTGGCGGGGTGCCAGGACGCCAAGGTCGGCTCCGCGTCCCTCTTCCGCGAGAATCGCGGCGCCTGGGTCGTCCTCGGGCCCACGGACGACGGCCAGCCCGCCTTCAGCTGGAAGGGCATCGAGCAGCTCGACTTCTCCAACGCGACGGGCTCGACGCAGTCCGAGGCCATCAACGCGGCCCAGACCGCGACGCGCCTCATGTCCGGCTCGCCGTCCCACCTCCTCCAGCCGGACACGTTCGACTTCGCCTACGAGCTCATCGCGCCCTAGGGCGTGGTCGTAAGGAACTGAAAGCGGCGTCCGTGGCGGCGCATGTTACGCCGTCTAGATCTCGAGCGACAATCACGTCAACTTGTACTGCAATATGGGATCGCGTGTCCGATTACAGATCCCTCTCTTGCTACGCGCCAACCGAACTTCGTCCTTCGTCGGGCGCATAACTAAAATAACAATGGGCTTCTCCAAAGCTCTCACCCTTTCGCTCCTCACCATCGCGTCGGCCTTCAAGGCTCCCGCGAAACAGTGCATCTGCGGGGGCGGAGGATGCCCTGCCTGCCTCGGTGGCCTCTCGACCCTCCAGGCCACGGCGACGCCGCTCATGGACGTCGCGAGCGCGGACATGTGCGAGTGCGGCGGCATGGGGTGCCCGTCCTGCGGCGGCGGCCTCATGCTCGCCGCAAAGCCCGACATTTGCGAGTGCGGCGGGCTCGGGTGCCCGTCGTGCGGCGGCGCGCTCGCGGCCCCTGTCCCCATCAAGCGGGCCAAGAAGTCGCGCCGGGTGCGCATGCCGACCTTGTAAAGCCCGACGTCGGCGCTGAAAAAGATGCGCGCCGTCCCTGGACGCGCCGCGCGACCCGCGCGCGCGGCGTTTATGTACGTAAGGCGCGCCGCGGCGCGGGGGCATTCATGTCCTCGGGGACGTCCTCCACGATCGTCGGAGAAAGATAATCCGCCGCTTACCAGAAACGGCGGCGGGCGCGACGATCGCGGACGCGAGCGCGCCTCCGAAACAAACACGCCGTCACTCGCCGAGGCCCGGGATGGTGTGGGTGAGGCGCTGGCGGATGTCGGAGCCGCGGCGCTTGCGCTCGTTCGTGAGGAGGAAGAGGCGGCGCTCCTCCTCGGAGAAGCCGCGCGTCTGGACCCGGTAGTGCGGCGTGACGCGCGGGGGGCCGCCGAACTGCTGGCCGTGGACGCCCATGTTGATGTGGCCGCTGCCCGCGGGCCGCTGCGGGTAGACGCCGTCGACGACGACGCCGAAGGCGTTGGGCCCGCCGAGCGCGCCCTGGCCCTGGTGGTCCTCGCACGCGAGGTCCCACGAGATGCCCGGCCGCCGGTCCACGTTGCAGCCCGCGCCGTGGAGGTTCATCTGGGCCGACGTCGACTGGTTGTAGCGCGGCTGGACGCGGCCGCTCCGCGACCGGAGGAGCAGGTCGCGGCTGAACGCGCCCGCGTCGCGCCGCGGCGGCGCGCGGAACGGGAGCGCTGGCGTCGCGGCGCGCGCGAGGGGCATGTCCTTGACGAGGCGCAGCTGGGGGTGGCTCAGCCACGCCGCGGCCATGCGCGGCGCGCCGACGACGGGGTCCGCCGGCGCCTCGTAGACGGGCGCGTCCCAGACGTGCTTGCCCGCCGCGGCCCGCTGGAGCTCCTCGGCGCGACTGAGGCGCCGCGGCGACGGCTCCGGCGGCCGCCCGAACTGGACGTCCCAGGCGCGCGCCTTCTGCTTCGCGTCCTCCCAGGGGTTGCGGCTGAAGGTCGAGTTGCCGAGCGAGTCGTCGTCGTCGTCGCGCGCGTCGGCGAAGGGCAGCGGCAGCCCGGGCGGCGGCGGGCCCAGCGGCGAGCCCATCTCGTCGAGGGCCGCGAGGTGGGGCGACCGCCCGGCGCTCCAGACGCCCGCGCGCAGCTCGCCCTCGCCCTTGTGCACGCTGTCCATGCCCCAGGTCACGGAGCGGATGCTGTGCTCCGCCAGCGAGTTCTGGTTGAGCATGGGCGACCCCAGCGAGTTCGACGGCGACCCCAGCGAGTCGCCGTCCCACGCCGGCTCCATGACGCTCTTGAACTCGCGCAGCGGCCCGCTGGCGCCCGACGAAGCGACGCTCATGGCGCTGGGGCTGCCAAACGGCTTCGTTGGTAAAGGTGCTGGGCAACATGCTGTCGAGCTGCCCCGACTGGCAGCAGATCTTGCGCGCGCAATGGCCAGGGCGCGCCGAGGGCATTCAATGGATGGAAAGGTTTTCGGCGCGCTGCTGCTTGTGCTCGTGCCGGCAGCGCGCGCGCTGGGCAGGGCGCAGCCGCATGCAAACGCCGTCGCACGGCGGAGCGTCTTGGGCGGCGCGGCGGCCGCGGCAGCAGCAACGCTTCTCCCACGACCCGCCCTCGCCGGCCTCGAGGAGCGCGACCGCGGCATGAACGAGAAGGCCCTGCTCCAGAGCGACTTCACGACGGGACGGCGGCCGCCGCGCAAGCTCGACCTCGCGGCGCTGCCGACGGACGATCCCAAGTGGAACGCCTGGGGCGAGTGCGCCAAGTCGGGCGCGACGAACGCCTGCACGTACGTGCCGCTGAAGCAGCGCTACGACGCCTACTCGAAGTACGCGTCGACGGTCCGCGCGGGCGCCGAGGACTTTCGCGAGATCGGCGGCCTGCTGCGCACGGGGAAGCTCGAGAGGGTCGCGCTCCTGCTCGACGCGGGCGCCAAGGGCCAGGCGCCTGCGCCGACGCGCGCCGCCGGGCGCAGCGCGCTGCTCCTGGCGGACGCGCTCCTCGTCAGCGCGGCGAGCGGCTCGCTCGGCCGCGAGATCCTCGTGGCCCGCTTCTACGTCAACGAGCTCTTCTTCTCCACGGAGGAGGTCGTCCGGGCGCTCGAGGCGGAGGACGTCCCCCGCGCGCTCGACGCGTGGGCCCTCGGCGTCGACTCGTACAACTCGTACTTCACGGTCGTGAACCCGAGGATCGTGCCCAAGGTCGGCGAGCAGTTCGCCCCCGTGCGCGCCTAAGTCGGAGTACGCTTTCTCTTGGACGTCTCCACGTGCGCGCCTCGGGTCGTGCTATCGTCGCTTATGCTCCCGCTTGGACTTCTTCACGGCCCGCTCGAAGGCGTGGATGCGGTCGACGATCGCCTGCTTGTCCTCGCAGTAGACCTCGCCCGCGAAGATAAACTCGTCGAGGATGCGGTAGCAGCTCTCGAATTCGTAGATCAGGTCCAGCTCGCGCACGGTGCCGAAGTACTTGTCCAGGAGCTCGACGAAGAAGTGGATCGCCGCGGCCGCGAGGTGCTCGTTGTCGCCGCGGTCGACGCCCATGATCACGTAGAGCCCCACGTAGCGCTTGTACACCAGCACCGTCTCCCGCTTCTGACTCGGCGGCGGCGGCGGCGGCGCGAACGGGTCGGCGGCCGCGAACGGGTCGCCCGGCGGCGGCGGCGGCGGGCTCGGGACGCCCGCGAGGAGGAAGTCGACGAGCGGATCCGGGCCGTGGCGCGCGACGTGGCTCGCGACGGCGGTGCGCGCCTCGTCGTACGCGTGCTTCAGCGCCGCCGCGCGCGACTCGGCGTTGGTCGCCACCTTCTGCGCGGCCGTCGTCGCGGCGGCGACGGCGGCGGCGCGCGGCGCGGCGGCGCCGCCGTCGTCGAAGCTCGGCGCGGCGGCGCCGTCGTCGTCGAAGCTCGGCGCGGCCGCCGCGCCGTCGTCGTCATTCGCACCCCACAGCCTGCAAAAGTTGGCGAACTTCTCGTTGCGCGTCGACGCCAGCGCCTGCGGAATCGCACTCATGGTCGGATTGCGTCCTGGGACGCCGGGCTGCGCACGAAGGCCTGCCTGATGACTCTGGTCTGGTCCGCCTGCGACATGGTGACGTAGAACTTGCTCAGGCGGATCTTCCCCTGCTTGTTCATCATCAGGACGAAGTTGATCATCGCGCCGCGCGCGCCGCGACGGCGGCCGCGGCGACGGAGAGGCCGAAAGCGCGCTTCAAACAAAAATGATATTATTGTACTTGAACCCCACAAAACGCCGCGCTCTGGCTGCCCCCGAGTGAGAGCCCGCGTCGTGGTGGCCCTGGAAGACCGGGGGGGGGCGTCTATGTCCAGCCCCCGTCTTCATGTTCAGCTCGCTGTTCGGCTGCTGCGTGCGCCCCCCTAGCCGCAGCCCGTCGTCGAGCACTCCGAGCATGGGCGCGGGGCAGGTCACCGCGATCCACATCGAGGACCGGTCCGGGCGCTACGGCGTCGTCCCGCCGCCGCTGGCGGAGCCCATCGCCGGCCCGCCGCCCGCGTCGCGCGCGGCGATCCGGCGCGTGCCGCTCGTGCGCGTCCAGGCCGACGACCTGCGGAAGGACAGCAACGAGGCGTGCTGCGTCTGCCTGGAGCCGCACGAGGTCGGCTCCGTGGCCGCGCGGCTCCCCTGCGGCCACCTCTTCCACGAGCAGTGCGTTACGGAGTGGCTCACGCGCCACTGCTCCTGCCCCGTCTGCCGCTTCGAGCTCGCGACGGACGACGCGGCCTTCGAGCGGGGCCGCGAGCGGCGGTCGCGGCTCGAGGGCCGCCGCGTCCGCGTGCGGCGCAGCGAGGTCGAGCGCATGAGCGTGCGCGCGCTCAAGGACATCATCGGGGCCGTGGGCATGACGACGCGGGGCTGCTTCGAGCGCGGCGACCTCGTGAAGCGGGTGCTCGAGAGCTCGTCGGTGGACGTCGTGCCGGAGACGGTGCACGAGATGACGCGCGCGGAGCTCGACGCCATGACCGTCGGCGAGATCGCGCGCACGGCGAAGCGGCTCGGGGTCATCATGACCACGGCCCTCGAGCGCGACGACGTCGTCGATCTGCTCGTCGGGAGCGGCCGCGTGCTCGTCGTCGAGGACGGCCGCGACGCCGCCGACGGCCCCCGGGCCGAGGCCGCGAGCTCGGAGGCCGCGAGCTCGGGCGCGTCGCCCGCGGCCGCGAGCGCGGACTCGTCGCCCGCGGCCGTGACGCTCACGGAGGAGTCCAAGGAGGAGGCCGGCGACGACGACGCGCCGTCGCCGAAGCGGACGCGGCCCAAGGAGTCGGGCTTCAAGCGCGGCTTCCTCAACGCGCCCCCGTCCGAGAAGAAGAAGAAGCCGCCGCCCGCGGACGACTCATAACGATCAGCTGCACCTGGGGCCGTTAGCGTCGGGCTCGCTTCGCCGCGCGCGCGGCGCCGGCTCAGACGGCGTAGTTGCTGTAGCAGGAGGCCATCGGGAAGTCCGCGGGCAGCGGGTCGGGCTTGCGCGGCGAGCCGAGCGGGTCGAAGATCGCGCGCGCGTAGCGGAGCTTGGGGACGTTGAACTCGTCCTTGACGATCTCGCCGAAGACGAGCTCCCGGTCGCTGTCGAAGTTGTCGGAGCCCTTGGCGGCGACGGCGATGGTGCGCCGCGCGGCGAAGAGGCCCTTGTCCGCGCCCTGGCCGACGACGACGTCCTGGAGGAGCACGTCCGCGGGCTCGTACTCGAGGCGGAACGCGCCGAGGCTTTTCACGATCGCGGCCTTGCCGTTCTCGACGGTCCAGGGGCTCGCGGCGACGGCGTCGTCGGCGAGGCACTTGGCCTCGATGTCCGCGATGGCGCCCGTGAAGTCCTCGGCGGCCCAGCCCGCCGCCTTGAGCTTGAGCATGGTGCGCGTCTCGTTCGCCGTCATGCGAACGCGGCTCGCCTCCGGCGCGCGGCTCCAGGGCCCGCCCTCCGGTGCGAACTCGAGCCGCGGCACGACGGCCGTGCGCGACACGTAGGACTCGGCGTAGATGGGCGTCTTGTCGATGCCGCTCTTCTGGCTGAACCACGTCCCGCCGAGCGTCTCCTCGACGCCCGCGTCCGTCTCGTAGCGCAGGGCCCACTCGACGGCGGCGCGCGGCGAGTAGGCGCGCAGCCGCGCCTCGTCGATGAGCACGATGCCCACGCGGGCGTTCCAGCTGATGGACGCGAGCTTGCGCGAGATGTCGGGGGCGCGCGACGCCAGGAGCTCGTTCAGGGCGTACTTGCTGTTCTCCTTGACGAGGCCCTTGATGACGCCGCCCACGTGGGCCTGCATGGCCGCCGCTGCGATCTGCGGCTCGTGGGACGCTCGATTCCGTCGGCTCCGACGACGCGTGCACCGAGACACCCGACAAGATCGAGCAGCCGCAGCGTGCTCAAGTGACAAGGACAGAGCGTTCAACACTGACTTTATAACTTCACAAATCCAAGCTGCCCCCCGAGGGACCTCTCTAGCGCAGAGGCTGCCTCGGGCGCATCTCCGCGCCGCGCGGCGCCGCGAGCATGTCGGAGCTCAAGTCGGAGCGCACGGGCTCCGTGGCGCCCATGGCGTCGACGTCGGCGGCGTCCCTGCTCACGTCGTCCATGTCGTCGCAGGGCCCGTCGCCGGGCAAGATGGCGTCGCCGTCGGCGGCGTCGCTGCTGAGCGGCTCCTGCGCGAGCCCGAAGAAGACGTCGCGGCGGCCCAAGTCGCGGCGGCGGCCGCGCGCGTCGCGGGGCTGCCCCGCGAACATCGAGCCCATGCTGGAGCCACAGCCCGGCGCGGACGCGCCGGACCGCTACGAGTCGCGGGGCTCCTGGAGCTACACGTGGTGGCTGCCCGACGACCTCCCCGAGGGCGAGGCCGTGCCGTTGGGCACACAGGTCTGCGTCCCCGCGCGGGGCGGCCTCCCGCCGCACCTCGCGTTCGTGCCCTACAAGCAGCCCCCGGACGGCGGCCATCCCGTCTTAGTGTTCCTCCACGGGTCCGGCGAGTCCGCGCCGACGCCGCTGCGGCGCGTCGCGCTCCAGGGCCCGCCGCAGACGGCGGGCCGCGACCCGGCGAGCCTCGACTTCGCCGTGCTGTCGCCGCAGAAGCCCAAGGGCCGCGAGTTCGCGGACGACGACGTCGCGGGCGGCATCGTCAAGCTCGTCGACGCGTACGTCGCGTCGCACCGCGTCGACGCGTCCCGCGTCTACCTCACGGGCGTGAGCGCCGGCGGCGTCGGCTGCTGGGGCCTCGGGGCGCACGCGACGTACCGCGCGCGCTGGGCGGCGATCGCGCCGATCTGCGGCGGCCTGCGGAGCCGCGGCATGCGCCACGGCGCCAGGGCGCTGGCGGCGACGCCCGTCTGGTGCTTCCACGGCGCGAACGACGACGTCCTGCCCGTGTCCATGTCGGACACGACGGTCGACGCCTGCGCGAGGGCCGCGCGGTCCGCGCCGCTCCGCTACTCGCGGCTGGAACACGCGGCGCACCGCGACTACGGCTGGCCCTGCGCGGGCGTCCACGACCGCACGGGCCACGCGGCCTGGGTCCACGCCTACTACCCGCCGGACCGGCCCGCGGGCGACGTGCCCCTCTACGCGTGGCTCCTGGACCAGTCCCGGAGCCAGGACGCCGCGGAGGCGGACGAGCCGGAGCCCTGGATCGTCGGCGCGTCGAAGCCCGTCCACCCCATCACGGGCCTCGGACCGAGCCCCGGGAACCAGGTAAGGAGGTGACAGGCACGCGTCGGGGACGGCAAGTACGGCGCGCCAAGGATGAAGCTGCAGTTCGCGAGGTGACGACTTCATCAAGTGCGTGAGGCGACCGATGTGCACGCGCTGAGGACGATCAGCGCTGAGAGACGATCATGAGGCTCTCCTTGCTCTCCCTCGCCGCCGCGTACGCGTTCGTCGCGCCAAACACGCGACGTGCGCATGCGCCGCGCCGCGCGCATGCGCCGCGCCGCGCGCTCAACGCTGACGAGGCGACGCCGAAGGTCAACGCGACGCGGTGGCTCAGCGGCGAGCCGCTTCCGTCGGCGCCGCGGCGGTGCGACGAGCAGCCGGACAGACAGGGCGACGCGGCGCCGTTGCGGCCGACGTCGATGGCGCGCGCCGTCGGCAGCGGCCCCAGGAGCAGCGCCTCGCAGCGGTCGTCGGCGACGGTCCGCGGCGCCGCGTCGGGCCGCGGCGCCGCGCTCGGCCACGGGCTCGGCGGCAACGACAGCGGCGGGCTCGGCGGCGGCGGCGTCGGCGGCGGCGGCGGCAGCGACAGGAGCGGCGGCGGCGACCCGAAGGCGTCGGCCCGCGGCGCTGAGCGCCGGCCGTCGGCGACGGCCCGCCGAGGCGACGCCGCGTCCTCGCCCCCGTCCTCGCCCCCGTCGAAGGCGAAGCTGCGGCGCATGTCGCGCAGCCTCTACGTGCGCGGCGAGCGGCGCCTCGGGAGCGGGCGCTACGAGGACGCCGCGGACCTCTTCCGCGAGTGCGTGGCGCTGACGCCCAAGGACTCCTACGCCTGGCGCGCGCTCGCGACCGCGCTCGCGGCGGACCCCGGCGGCCGCGCGTCGGACGCGCGCGACGCGTTCGCGCGCGGCGCGGCGCACTGCGGCAGCGTGCACCTCGTCCACGCCTGGGCGAGCTTCGAGGCGGCGGAGCAGCGGCACGACGCCGCGCGGGGGCTCTACGAGCGCGCGCTCGCGCTCGACCCGGCGTCGGCGTACGTGCGGCACGCGTGGGGCGTTTTAGAGCGCGACGTCTTCCACGACGACGCCAAGGCCCTGGCGCTCTTCGAGGACGCCAGTGCCGCCAAGTCGGCGCTGCTGGACGTGGCGGCGGCGGAGACGCGCTACGGGGGCGACGTGCGCCGGCTGCGGGCGCACCTGCTGGAGCTCCTCGGCGCGCGGTCGCCGCGGCGCGACGACGCGGTCGTCTACCGGGCCTTCGCGCGCTGCGCCATGAGCGGCGACGAGCGCGTCGCGGCGCTGCAGCGCGCGCTCGAGGCGGAGCCGCGGAGCGGCGCGGCCGCGGTGGAGCTCGCGGAGGCGTACGAGGACGACCTGGGCGACGCGCGGCGCGCGCGCGCGTTCCTGCGGTCCTTCCTCGACGGCGGCCCGCGCAACGGCACGAAGGCGCGGGACCCCCGGGGCGCGTCCCAGCGGCGCTGCGCGGCCAAGGCGCTCGCGCGGCTCGAGCGGGACGCGTTCGGGAACCTGGACCAGGCCGCGCGATGGTACGCGCGCGCGCTCCGCGAGGACAGCGCTTCCGGAAAACCCGACTGCGGCGTCGCCATCGCCGCGGCGGAGTGCGCCGTCGAGCGGGGGCACCACGCGCTGGCCCGGGAACTGCTGGGCCGCGCCGCGAAGGCGCACCCGAAGCGCGCGAGCCCGTGGATCGCGCTCGCGAAATTGGACGTCGCGCGCGGCGACCGCGACGCCGCGGAGCGCTGCTTCGGCGTCGCCCTGAAGGCGGAGCCGACGCACGGCGCCGCGTCGCTCGCGCTGGGCAAGTGCCGCCACGAGGTCTGGCGCGACGCCGAGGGCGCCAAGGACGCGTACAAGGGCGGCCTCGCGACGCTGCACCGCGACCGCGAGACGTCGCGCGCCTACGCGCAGTGGGCGCCGGCGCTCTGGCACGCCTGGGCCCAGGTCGAGCTCGCCCAGGACGCCCACGGCCGCGCGGCGACGCTCCTGAACCGGGGGCTCAAGGAGATCGGGTTGGCAAAGCGCAAGCGGCGGCGGCTGCCGAGCCACGGCAAGGACGAGGCGTTCCTCCGCCACAGTTTAGGGAGCCTCGAGCTGCGGCGCAAGCGGCCCAAGGAGGCGCTGGACGCCTTCCGGTCGGGCTACGCGCGCCTGGAGCCGACGACGCGGCCGACGCGGCGCGACCGGTCCGCGAGCCTGCTGCTGCTGGGCGCGGCGAAGGCGTCGGCCGCGCTCGAGGCCGCGCGGCGCGACGCCGACGAGCGCGCGGCGCCGCCGGGCCCGTCGCCCCTCGCGAAGAAGGCGGCGGAGCGGCTCGCGGGGTCCTTCAAGCGCACGTTCTGGCGCCGCGACGCCGCCGCCCCCCTGAAGACCGCGCCCGAGTGCTTCGATCTGGCGACGCGCGCGGACCCGTCGCACGCCGAGGCGTGGACGGACTGGGCGGCCTACGAGCTCAAGCGCGGCGACCCGGAGGCCGCGGCGGCGCTGCTGGACGCGGCGGCGGCGGCGCCCATCGTCGCACCGTCCGTGGACCTCGCCAAGGCGCGCGCGGACCGCGCGCTCCGCGACGACGACGGCGACGGCGACGCGCCCGACGCGAGGCGCGCCAAGGCGCGGCGCCGCGAGCGGCTCGCGGAGGCGCGCCGGGCCCTCGCCCTGGGCGCCGCGCGCTTCGTCGACGGCGTCGACGAAAGCCTCGCGCCGAACCGGGTCCTCGAGGCGCTCGACGGCGCGCTCCCGAGGCGGTCCGAGCGGGCGCCGCCGGGCAAACGCGGCGCGGCGCGGGCCGGCGCGGCGCAGCTGCTGGCCCACTGGAGCGACCTCGAGCTCAAGAACGGCGGGGACCCCCAGGCGAAGCGGCTCGCGACTTTGGCGCTCCGCGCGGACGGCGCCTGCGCGGAGGCCCACGTCGCGCTCGGCAACGTGCTCGACCGCCGCGGCGACGCGGCCGCGGAGGCGTGCTTCGAGGACGCCGTCGCCCTCGACCCGGCGCTCGGGCCCGCCCACGCGGCGCTCGCGGCCCTGCGGCGCAACAAGGGCGACTTCGGCGGCTGCCGCGCGGCGCTCGCGCGGGGCCTCGACGACGCGCCGAACTACGCGCACCTCTGGCACGCGGCCGCGGAGCTCGAGGCCATCCTCGGCAACCTGGACGGCCTCGCGAAGCTCCACGAGCGCGCGCGCGACGCGTTCCCGAGCGGGCTCCTGCTGTAAGAGGGTACCGCGACTTTCACCGACCGACTCGGAGCCCTCTCCCTTCAACGACCGGGGCAACGCGGCTGCAAGAAGCAGTTTTTTAGCGCCGCGCGAGCAAAACCACTGAAGGTAAAAGATGGGCGCCGCTCCGTCCTGCGACGGCGCGACCGTCGAGGCGGCCGTGAAGACGAACCGCGCCTTCGTCTTCATCAAGCCGCACGCGTCGAAGGACAGCGTCGAGGCCGTCGTGAAGGACAAGTTCGCGGCGACGGGGATCCGGATCCTCGCGCAGGGCGTCCTCGGCGGCGCGGAGATCGACGCGAAGCAGCTCATCGACAAGCACTACTACGCCATCGCGAGCAAGGCGACGATCCTCACGCCGGACCAGCTCGTCGTGCCCGAGGACAAGTTCGAGGAGAAGTTCGGGGTCTCGTGGAAGGACGCGCTCGCGTCGGGCAGGGCCGCGAACGCGATGCAGGCCTGCGAGAAGCTGGCGATGACGCCCGACGAGCTCCAGAGCGTGTGGAAGGGCGTCTGCGGCGCCGGCGGCATGATCAAGTTCGGCGGCGGCTTCTACTGCGGCAAGATCGAGAAGGGCGGCGTCGAGCTCTTCGTCTTCAACCCGTTCTTCATGGCCATGCGGTCCAAGTTCACGGCGCCGGAGGCGACGATCCGCTGGTTCGACGTCGAGTTCGACGTCGACAAGCTGTCCTGGGCCGACTTCCGCGGCACGGTGTTAGGGCCCACGGACCCGGCCAAAGCGCCCGACGGGTCGCTGCGCAAGGCCATCCTCGACGGCTGGGAGGCCCTGGGCCTCGCGGCCACGCCCGACAACACGGACAACGGCGTCCACGCCTCGGCGAGCCCCTTCGAGGCGCTGGCCGAGCGCGCGAACTGGCTCGCCGCCGACGTCGAGGCCGACTCCTACGGCAAGGCGCTGCTCGCGTGCGGCGTGTCCAAGGAGACGATCGCCGCGTGGGCCGTCGACCCCCGCGTCCCGTTGGGCGGCAAGGAGGGCTCCATCTTCGACGCCCTCGAGGACCTCAACGCCAACGACTGCCTCTTCAAGGCCGTCCACTACGCGCAGTGCGCCTAGAGGGGGGAGGCGGCGTATCTAACACGGACCGTTCGGCTCGCGACGTGCGGGGTCCGTTTTTCATCCGCTGTTTTGCGAGGCCTGCGGCGGGGAGTCTCTGGTGTGCAACTTTCCTTCAAGATGCTAAGATGTCGCTGGGCTGCTCAGCATGAGGCAGCTTTAAACGCGCTGCCGCGTCGCGAGGACCACGGCGTCGACGCGGAGATGGCTGTCCGCCATTCACCCACAGAAAGCCATGGCATGACCTCTCGCGCGCGGCGTCAGGCCGCAGAGCGTCACCTCGACAAAGCCTTCTTTCCGGCGATCCTCTCCTGCCTCTCATGGCAGGATCAGGTCAAAGCCAGTCTTCTCTGCCGCGACATGCTCGAGCGCGTGCCCGATGCGACGTGGCGCACTGCATGCCACGAGCGCTACGGCCAGTGCACCAACTGTAGCTGGTTCGGGAGACCGCCGGCGCCCGGGAGGCCGGGCGTCTTGTTCCACGGCCCGTCGATCGGGCGCGATCGGTGGCTCGTCGGCTCGCGCTGGACGCGCGGCGACCTGGAATGCGGCCGACTGACCGTGCCGCCGACTGCAGGCGCGTTCGCAGCGCAGACGCACATCGCTGCGAACGACGAGTACGTCGTGTACGCCACGGACGACAGCTACGCCAACGGCGACGACGGCGCGTATCCGCTGATCGTGCGGTCGACCAGGGGCCTGGGAGTGCGCGCCGTGCGCCATGGTTACGATGCGGGCTGGACCTTCGCGCTCTGGGGGGGTAACCTCGTCGCCCACGCCAGTCATACGGACGAGATAGAGGTGATGTCCGTCGACGAGCCGTCGCTGTCCAAGACTATCGACGTGGGGAATGCGGTGTGCTGTCTCGACGGGAGCGCGAGTTCGCTGCTCGTGAGGACGCACCGCGACGTTCAAGTGTGGATCAGGGTCGAGCACTCTGACGACCCCGCTGACTTCTCCATCGAGTTGCAGCACGACTACGACATTTATTCTCAACACCTCACGCGTGCAGCGCGATGGGCGCCGGAGTTAGCGACCGTCGACCCTGACGTGTTCATAGCGACGATGCAGGAGGCTGAGAACGGTCCATCGCGAATCCTTATCTTCGGCTGCAACCCCGACTGGCCCATAGTGCTGATAGCTCAGAGCGATCCGGTCGACTCGCCTCATCTGAGTTCGCGGTTTCCGTACGAGAGCATCGCGGTGTCGGGCGAGTACGTCGCAGCGGTGACCATGTTCAGTTCTTGGGGCACATTTAACGAGGATTTCGGTATCGAGCAAGGCGTGCTGCTTGCTCCGCGGATGCACGTGTTCAGCGGAAACGAAGACTTCGGACCGTGTCTGTGGGACCTCGCGGAGGACATTGAACCAAACCCTTACTTCAACGGCTCGCCTCGCATCGTCATCGTGGGCTCGCTCCTGCTCTCGTCGTCGCTGGGCGGCTTGGCCGTCTGCGCCTGGTGCCTCAAGTCCGGCACCTTTCTCTATCGATTTACCGGCTTCTTCGAGCACCCGCATGGCTATGCCGTCGCCGACGACGAAGTCATTACGAGCATGACGCTCAACGCGTCCAAGGATGCTCTCTTAATCGGCTGCTTCGGCGCGAACCATTTCGTGCTCGACGCGACCGGCGGAGCGCACCTGCGGCACACCGACGTCAATGCCGATCGCCAGCGCCAGCACGTGATCTCGCGCGTGCTCACGCGCCTCGGGGAGAAGAAGGGCCTGGGCGACGACGTCGTGCAGACGCACATCGCCGGCTGCCTCAAGTACAAGGACACCGTCTATCTATAAATAGGGTTCCGCCGGCGCGGCCTCCACGGGTCGCGGCGTCCCGCAGCTCGGGCAGCGGTCGCCCTTCGCGTCTCCGTAGGCCGCGCCGCAGTTGGAGCAGAATCGCACCGCGGACTGGCGCCTCGCGGGCGCGGCGGCGACGGCGGCGGCGGGGACGACGAGCGGGTCCGCGGCCTTGCACTCGTCGTCGACGGCGCGGGCCTCGACGGGCGACGCCTCGACGACGTCGTCGTCGACGACGAGGTCCGTGTGCTCGTGGGCGACGTCGTCGGCCGCGACGAGGTCCGCCGCGTGCGCCACGCTCGCGGTCGTGAGCTCGAGGGCCGCGGGCTCATCGTCCGGCCGGCCGCGCAGCGCGTCGGCGACGGCCTGGAGGCCCTTTTTGGAGGCGCGCCGCGCGCGCGACATGACGCCCTCCTCGGCCGCGACCTTGCGCGCGTACTTTGGACTCTCGATCTCGAGCACGACCCCTTCCGGCACGTCGTCGTCGTGCTTGGACTCCTCGAAGCTGCCGATCTCCTCCATGAAGAGGGGGGAGCTCCGGCGGCTGGCCGGGAGCGCGCGGCCGGGCCGTTTCCTCACCATCCGCCGCCGCGCCGCAAGGGCCGCGAGCAGCAGCAGCGCGCCGACGACGGCGACGATGATGTAGAGATTCGCGCTCGCGACGCCCGGGATCAGCTCGTCGTCGTCGGGGTCCCGGGGCACGCCCGACGGCGCGGGCGTGGGCGACGGCGACGGCGCGGCCGTCGAAGGAGCGGGTGACGGCGGGACCGAGGGTGACGGCGTCGGCGATCCTGAGGGTGCTGGCGACGGTGCGATCGACGGCGGCAGGGACGGCTCGGGCGACGGCGGCGTCGTGGGCAGATACGTCGGCGAAGAAGAAGGAACGACCGTCGGCGAGAGGCTGACGGACGGCGCCGCGCTCTCGCAGAGCTCCGCGTCGACCTCGCAGTCGTCGACGCATTCCCATCGGATGGCGTAGTCCTCATACCAAATAAACCATCCATAGTCGAAGCGCGTGCACTGGTCGTCGTCGTACGTCTGCTCGAGGTACCGGTCGTCGCAGCCGTCGTCCTCGAACATCTCGAGGGAGACCCGCGCCGAGTCCAGGCAGGCCACGCGCATGCTCCGCGCCTTGCCGTCCATGTAGAGGGCGACGCATTGGCCGTCGACGGCGAGCTGGGGATTGCTCATGCCGGTGATGCCGCTGTCGCCCCAGCTCATCGTCGACTCCTGGCAGCTGCCCCCGTTGAACCCGGTGAGCCGCACGCCCGCCTCGGCGGCCGCGGCGAGGAGGGCCAAGCGCCACATCGCGGGGGCTGCGTGTCACGGGCGCGCGGGGGGCTGCGTGTCACGGCGATGTTCCACGAATATTCCCGGACACATCGTTCGACAGCTCAGGTAGCTCTGTGGCGTTTCATAACAGCACGTTGACATTCAACTTAGTCCGAACCCGAGCTTCTCGTAGTCGAAGCGGCAGGCGTGGCCCGTGCTCGCGTGGGGGTCGCACCAGCCCTCGCCGTCGAAGAGGCGCGCGGCGATGTGGACGCCGCGCTGGTGGCAGCCGCGGCCCGCCGCGCACGCGGGCTGCCGCTCCATGCAGCCGTCGTCGCAGACGTCCAGCGCCTCGAGGGGGCACGTGCGGTCGTCGCGGGGCGTGAAGACCTTGACCCAGATCTGCCCCCCCGCGCGGACGCGCCGCAGGCAGAACTCGTGCATGCGCGCCGTCGGCACGCCGCGCGCTTTGACGGCGTTGAAGAGGTGGCGCTCGCCGGAGAGGCCGCTCTTGCCCCGGTCGTCCGCCGACGTGAAGTTCGCGACCGTGTCGATGCGCGGCAGGTAGACGTGGAGCATGGCCTCGCGCGCGCCGACGGCGAAGCGGTCGTTGAGGAGGAGGTCGTGCTGGATCGAGCACCCGAAGTGCGGCACGAAGAGCTTCGCGACGGGGCTTTTTTTGACGTAGGCGTAGACGTCGCCGGGCACGGACCGCGTGAAGATCGTGTCGACGCGCACGGACGCGACGACGTCGTAGCGCAGGTCGAGGGCGAGCTCGCGCGCCTCGATCAGACGCGCCGTCTCCTTGAGCGAGTGGAGCGCGCGGAACAGGTTCTGCAGCGACGCGCCGTGGTCCTTGTAGAGGTCGCGCTTCCGCTCCCGGCTCAGGCTGTGCCTCAGCCGGCCCAGCTTGACGTCGAGCACGTTCTGGTCCTCGAGCGCGTAGCGGCACGGCGCGAGCCGCGTCCACGCGAGCGGCGCCGGCAGCGCCTGCGCGCGCTCGTTCGTGCGGGCGTTGGTGATCTTCGCGACGACGTTGAGGTGGAGGAAGACGTCGACCGTGTAGGGCTCGGGACGGTGCGCGAGCAGCGGCGCGAGCATGAAGGTCTCGAAGTTGGCCATCGTCGAGTTGGAGCGCAGCAGCCCGAAGAGGGCGATGGCGATGCGCGTCGTCTTCTGCGGATCGTGCGGGAAGTTTTGCACGCCGCAGCGCGGGGCCGGCTCCCGCGCATTGCCGGCGGCTGCGCCGAGCAGCCACAGTAGCAGCCCGGCGCGACGCGCCGCCATCGCAGAGAGCAATTACTTCAGGGTAACTTCAAGTTATCCGTTGATGAAGTTGTAACAAAAAGATGGCAGCCCGCTTGTCGGACCCGCGCCTCGAGGCGGCGCACGAGTCGGCGCTGCTCATCCCGGCGACGGCGCAGTTCATCGAGCTGCTGGACCGCGTGCTCGGGGCCGCGGCGGCGGAGGTCTGCGCGCGCCACGACCAGCATCCCTACGTGCGCGCGTCCCTGGCCGTCGTCCTCGGCGGCCCGGCGGCGAAACGCCACCTCGCGCCGCCCATCGAGACCTGGCGCCTGCGGCCGCCGCACTCGACGCCGGACCAGCGCGCGGCGCTCCTCGCCGAGGCGCGCGAGCAGCTGCTGTCCGCGTTCGCGGCGTCGCTCGCCGCGGAGCCCGAGCACGCGGCCGCGCGGACGGCGCTCGGCGGCGCGCTGCGCGTGGCCTACCGGCGCCACCTGGGCCTCGGCGACGGCGACGCTGACGCCTGGGACGACGGCGACGCCGACGACGGCGACGCCGACGACGGCGACGCCGAGCGGCGCCGCGACGCGTTGGCGCACGCGCTCCTCGCGCTCGTCGACGGCAACGGCTTCCGCGAGACCTGGGGCAGCGGCGCGACGCGGGCGTCGGCGCCGAAGGTCCACACGCGGGACTACGGCGGCCCCGGGCCCCTCGAGGCGCTGGACCCCGCGGCCTTCGGCGACGACCCGACCGCGGCCGAGTCCGCGCGCGCGCTCGTCGCGTGCCGCGGCCGGTCCCTGCCCGGCGCGCTGCGGCGGCGGCTCTGGCGCCTGCGGCTCGGCGACCTGGACGGGGCGCGGGCGCGGCGCGTCGCCATGGACCTGGGCGAGGCCCGGCGGGCCCAGGGCCTCGACGGGCCGTCGCCCGTGAACGCGGCCGTCGCGGCCCTCGTGAAGCGCGCCCTCCCCGAGCCCTGGCGCCGGAGCCTCGGCGCCGACGCGGCGGCGCGCGTCGCCGACGCCGCGGCGCGCGCCCTCGAGGACCTCTACGCGCTCAACGGCGGCGGCGGCGTCGCGGCGCTGAGCAAGCGCGCGGCGGCCGCGGCCGTCGCCCTCGCGGCGCTGGGCGTCGCCCCGGGCGACGGGGCCGCCGACGCCCTGGCGCCCGACGAGCTCCTCCTGCTGCTCCACCGGGCGCTGGCGACGCTCGCGCCCGGCGGCGTCGGCGGCGGCGCCGCGGCCGCGGCCGAGGACGCGCTCGCGCACCTCGAGCGCGCGGACGCCGCCCTCGCGAGCCACCTGCGGGGGCTCGCCCACGGCGCGGCGGGCGCGACCGGCGCCGCGAACTTCCTGCGGCCCGTCGTCGACGAGTACCTCGCGCCGCTCCTGCCGCTCGACGCCGTCGCCTTCGTCTGGGACCACTGCCTCCTCGACGGCTGGCCCGCCGAGTTCCCCGTCTTCCTCGCCGACGTCCTGCGCCTCCTGCGGAACCAGCTCCTCGCCGCGGCCGACGAGCACGCGCTCCGCGTCGCGCTCATCGACGCGCCCGCGAAGGTCCGCACCTGCGACCTCCGCGACGCCTGGGCGCGGCGCCAGCGCCTCAACAGCCCGAGCAAGGCCGCGCGCCTCGGCGCGTCGGGCCGCCTCGGCCGCGACGCCGACGCGTCCTCGTCGGCGCTGCCGACCGCCGACGGTAACACCGGCTGAACCCGTCGACGATGCCGCCCGACTCGAACTCGCCGTTCTCGTCGCGGGGCTGCCGCGATCCACACGCGCCATGGGGAACAAGACCAGCGCGCTGGCCGAGGAGGTCGCCCACGTCCATCATGCGGAGGAGGAGGAGGAAGGGCTGAACACGCGGCTCATCTCCATCTTCATCTTTTTGCTCGTCCTGTTCACGCTCGCCGCGGAGACGGGCCTCGACGCGCTGCACGAGGCCCTGGGCGAGGCGTCGTCCGTGGGCAACCAGATCCTGTCCAAGGTGAAGAACGAGGTCATGCTCGTCGGCGTGCTGAGCCTGGGCCTGACGCTCGCGGAGGGCGTCTGGGACCTGCCGGAGGAGGCCGTCGAGAGCTTCGAGTGGGCGCACACGCTCCTCTTCGTCGCCGCGCTCGTGCTCGTGGGCTTCGCGGCGTCGCTCATCGAGGCCTGCGCGCGCATCTCGGCGCGCTACCACGCCACGGAGGGCATCTCGCTCACGTCGCTCATCCGGCGCAACGACAAGTACCTGAGGAAGGGCGGCGACGCGACGAAGTCGTGCGACGACGTCATCGTCGTGAGCCGGACGACCGTGTCCTGGTCCGAGGCGGCGCACTACGCGGCGCTGCGCCAGGACTTTTTTAACCGCATCGACCTGCCCATGGCCTTCGACTTCTCGCTCTACCTGGACGGCGCGCTCCGCGAGTTCATCGTCGAGCTCATGGAGGTCGGCGTCGCGAGCTGGGCGGCCGTGCTCTTGGTCGTCGCGCTCAACGAGGCGCGGATCGTGGTCTTCGACATCGAGAGCCTCGCCGCGCGCGTCGGCCTCGACGTCGGCGAGTCGGACGTGTTCCTCGCCGCGGGGTGGCTGCTCGTCGCGTGGTCCGCGTCGCTGCGGGGGCGGCTCGAGCAGGCGTGGACCCAGCTCCTGAAGAACATCAGCTGCGCCACGCCCAAGTGCCTCGGCGGCAAGCTGCGCAAGGCGCGGACCGCGCGGCTCCTCGCCGGCGGCGAGCGGAAGCGCGAGGAGAAACTGGAGGCGACGATCGAGAAGCGCGAGCGGCGCCGGTCGGAGGTGCCGACGGCGAACGAGCTCGAGTACGAGGAGGAGGTCGAGACGCTGGAGAAGGACGACGAGGACGACCCGCTGGGCGTCCACGAGCAGGAGGAGGAGGCGGAGCTCCGGACGATCCGCCGGTCCGCGTCCGTGACGCGCGACGTCGTCGCCAAGCTCTTGCACGAGGGCGCCGCGCCGCCGGCGGCCGACGCCGTGGGCACGCCGGCCTTCCGCGACGTCTTCCCGCGCGACTCGCCCCGGTTCTTCTCCGCGCTCGTCGGCGCGCTCATGCTCCTGAACTGCTTCTACGGCGCGCTGCTCGTGATGCGCTACGGCAAGCTCGCCTACGCCTTCGAGGCCGGGGGCACGTGCGCCGCCGGCGTCGTCGGCGGGTCCCGGGCCGCGCGCGCGGCCTACGTGCTGGCGACGGTCGCGCCGATCCCGCTCGTGCTCTCGGCGATCCGGAAGCTCGTCGCGACGGGGTCCTTCATCGCGTCCCTGGCCCACGAGTCCGAGGAGCTCGTCGACGAGGTCCTCGAGGAGTCGCTCAAGCGCGAGCACGACGTCCACGCGGTCCGCGTCGCTTTCCGCCTCGCGTTCGAGACGGCCGGCGGCGCGTCCGTCGACGACCTCCGCAAGGTCTTCGACACCTTCGACGTCGACAAGGACGGCGAGATCTCCAAGGAGGAGGCGGGGAAGCTCGTGCGCTGGATCCACGGCCACCGCCTGCCGCGCGAGCACTTCGACCGCATCTGGCGCGAGCTCAACAGCGACGAGGTCGGCGGCGTCGACTTCGGCGAGTTCACGACCTTCGTCGACCCGGCCTTCCACCGGCCCCTGCCCAAGTCCGTCGACTGCGGCCCGAAGCTCGACCTCGGCGCCGCGACGCCCGCGAAGTCGCCGCCGAAGCGCCACGACTCCCTCTTCGGCGCGCTGCCGAGCATGGCCGGCCTCTTCCCGGCCGAGGAAGGCGACGCGGCCGCGTCGTGAGGCGGGCGGGGTTTTATGTCGCGCGCGTCGGTCCCTAATTCACCTCTCCGAGCCTCCGTGAGCTCCACTTCAACTTCAATTTGCTGAGCATGTGAAAACACGCGAGATCGTCGTGCGGCACCGTGCTCACAGGCGCCTGTGGCACGGCGACGGCCGGGCCTACTCGCGCGTCGTCCCCTCGGCGGAGAGACACGACGCCGACTCGACGGCCGTCATCGTCAGGTTGCCGGTCTCGCCCATCTCCCGCTGCTGCTCGACGACGTCCAGCAAGATGGCACGTCGAGCGCCGCTGATGGCGTTCCTCTGGGTCGTCGCGCTGATGGCGCCGCGCGCGTCCTCCGACGGCGAGGCGCTGCCCCAGGCGGACGGCGCGCTGAAGGTCCTCATGGTATCCATCGGCCTCCACGGGCACGTGATCCCGCTCGTGCGGCTGGCCGAGGCGCTCGTGGGCCGCGGGCACGACGTGACCCTGGCGACGCACGACTCCGTCGAGGCGCGGCAGTGGGCGCGCGACGCCGGCGCGCGTCCGGCGTCCGGCCGCGCGCGCGCGCGCGCACGCTCCGCGCTCGACGTCCCCTCCCCCGGTCGCAGGCGCGCGGTTCGTGAGCGCGGGCCCGCTCGAGGCCGCGGACCGGCTGAGCCACGGCGGCCGCGACGACGCCGCGGACCGGTCCGCGGGCCTCATGGCCGCGGCGCTGCGGGGGTTCAACGCGAAGGCCGGCGGCGACGGCGCGCGGCGCGACGTTTCCGGCGGCGCGCGGAGCGGCGGGCCGCCGTCGCCCTGGGACCCCGGGTCCGGCGGCGGCGGGCCGCCCGGGGCGCCGCCCGAGGACGACGAGAGCGATTTTTTCTCCGCGGACCCGCTCGACGCGCGGCGGCTGCTGCACGCGACGCGCGTCGCGCGGCACGAGCACGCAAAGGCCGCCGGCGGCGACGCCCCCGACGAGGTTTTGGACCACGGCGCGGCGCACGCCGCCGCGGGCACGGCCGCCGTCTTCCGCAAGGCGAGCCGGCGGTCGTCGAAGCTCGCGGCGCTGACGTCGCTTGTCAACGAGCTCTATTTACCGCTCGCGCGGCCCGTCTACGAGGCGCTATTCCCTTATCTGGCGGGCGGCGAGTTGCCGGACGTGTTGGTGATGGACGCGGCGACGCTCGGGGCGCGGGATCTCGCCGACGCGTTCCGGCTGCCGCTCGTCGTGAACAGCCCGAGCCTGCTGCACACGTTCGGCGGCGGCAACGCGTCGCGTCTGCCCGCGTGGGGCACGGGCCACCCGAAGGACATGGCGTTGTGGCAGCGCGTCGTCAACCACGTGCTGCCGCGGTGCCTGGCGCTGGCGCTGACGCCGGCGCTGCTCGCGCTGAACCGCGAGCGGCTCGCGCTCGGCCTCCGGCCGCACCGGGGCCCCGACGACCTCGTGTCGTCCGCGATGCGCGTGCCGCGGAGCGGCGGGCTGGCGCTGGGGCGCCGGGGTGCCGCGTCCTACGTGGAAGGCGAGGGCGTCGGCACCTGCGAGCCGGGCGCGCCGGGCAACGCGACGGGCCGCGCGAGGGCGAGGTCCAGGGCAGCAAAAGAGAGCGAAATTCCCAACTTCAAAGCCTCATATCTCGGCCGTTTTCCACTCGTTTTGGCTGATTTTTGGACGAGCGATCATCTCTCGGAGCGGTCTCGAAGCGTGGATGCTTTTTCCGGAACGCGCGCGCGCGGAACACTCACGTTGAAGCGACGTTGAATCACTCTTTTGCTGCCCAGGCGAGGTCCGAGCTCACGCTCGTGAACACGGCCTTCGGGTTCGACCACGACCGGCCCGTGCCGGGGCGCGTCGTCCTCACGGGGCCGCTGCTGCCCGCGGCGCTGACGTCGGCGCAGACCCTCGACGACGCGCCGCCGGTCCGCGTGCCGACGCTCGTCGAGCGCTGGCTCCGGGGCGGCAACGCGACGGTGACGCCCGAGACGCACCGCACGCGCAAGGGGGCGAAGAAGCAGGCGCGCGCGGAGAAGAAGGCGCGGGACGTGGCCGACGACGACGGCGGTGATGAAGTTGGCGTCGTCTTCGTGTGCCTCGGGCGCATGCCGCGCGTCGAGCCGTGGCAGGCGCACGCGATCGTCCGGGGCCTGCAGCCGCCGGCGTCGGGGGGTTCGGGCGACGAGGGTGCCGGCGACTTGCTGGAGTGGCGCGTGCTCTGGGCGCTGCCGAGCGACCAGCGGTCGTCGCTGCCGCACGCGCTCCCGCCGAAGTTCCGCGTCAAGCTCCTCGGGCCGCTGTCGACCGTGGCGATCGTCGCCCAGCCGGACGTCAAGGTCGTCGTGAGCCACTGCGGCGCGGCGGCGGCCCAGGAGGCGCTCTACTTCGGCAAGCCGCTGCTCTGCGTGCCCTTCTTCGGCGACCAGCCGGACGTCGCGGCGCGCGTCCGCGACGCGGGCGCGGGCCTCGTCATCGACAAGCACGCGCTGAGCGACGCGCGCGTGCGCGACGCCGTCCGCGTGCTGCACGCCAACGAGTCCTTCCGCCTCCGCGCGCGGGGCGTCGCGGACGCGCTCCGCGCCGCGGGCGGCGTCGTCGCGGCCGCCGACGCGCTCGAGAAGTGGATCGGCGCCGCGCCGCGCGGCGGCGGCGCCTGCGGCGCGGGCGACGACTGCCCGGCGCCGCCGCCGCGCCGCTGCGGCGGCGAGGACGAGCCCGCCGAGCCCTGGCACCGCGAGGCGAACCTCGACGACTACGCGCTCGGCGTCGCGTTGCTCTGCCTCACGACCCTCGGCCTCACGACCTCCGCCAACTTCATCCTCGCCTACGCCCGCGCCTAGGCACCCCCGGGGACCCGCACCCCCGGAGCGCGCCCGCGCGCCTCTCTTCGTACATGCTGACGTCCTTCTCGCGGACTGCAACTTTACGGCTCCCGAGCTTGGTTGACCCTCTGGCGATCGCAGCTGATCAGCTGAGACGACCACCAGCGCGCTGCTGCGACCGCCGCTGCGACGCTGCGCTGCCGCAAAACCGCGCCGTACGCACCCTAAACGATGAGCGCCCTCGTCGAGGCCAACGACGACAACGTGTCGCTGGACGTGCACCACCTCGCGTCGACGATCAGCGTGCCCTACGAGGACCCCGGTGACCTCACGGCGCGGGCGGCGAGCGCGACGCAGGCGCTCATCGGGTCGCTCTTCGAGCTGCCGGCGACGCGGAGCTCCGTGGGCCCCATCGCGAAGCTGCCGCCCGCGACGACGGCGCTGCCGCGCGAGAAGCCCTGCCCGGAGAAGAAGGCCGAGACCAAGTGGGACAAGTTCGCCAAGGAGAAGGGCATCCAGAAGAAGAAGAAGGGCCGCATGGAGTGGGACGACGAGCGCGACAAGTGGGCGCCGACCTGGGGCTACGACCGCGCGGGGTCGGCGCTGGACGACGCGCCCATCGTCGAGGTCAAGGCCGGCGGCGACATCATGGCGGACCCCTGGGAGGCGAAGCGCGCGGCGAAGAAGGAGCGCGTCGCGAAGAACGAGGCGCAGCGGGAGAAGAACGAGCAGCGCGCGAAGCGCGCGCGCAACGGCGGCCGCGACGCCGACGGCGACCGCCTCGCGGCGCCGAAGGCGTCCGATCTCATCAAGGCCGCGGCCGCGCGCGCCAAGGCGGACCCGGACGCGCCCGAGGGCCTGCCCGTGGACATGACGCGGAAGACGCACAAGGGCGCCAAGGGCGTCGCGGGCGCGCTCGCGCGCGCGCAGCTCGCGACGGCGTCGCTCGGCAACTTCGACGCGATGCTCGACGGCGAGCAGGCGCGGCCGAGCGGCGAGGCCAAGGGCCGCAAGCGCAAGTTCAAGGCCGTCGCGGGGCCCGCGGGCGCCGACGCGGACCGCGGCATGGCCGTCATGCGCGACCTCGAGGCGCCGCGCGCCCAGAAGCCCAAGAAGGGCGCGAAGGAGGTCATGGACACGCACGACGGCGAGCTCCCCAACGGCCAGAGCTTCAAGCGCAAGAAGGGCCGCGCGGGCGCCGGCAAGATGAAGAAGGTCACCAAGGCGCGGGGGAAGTAGGCGGCGTAAGCGCGGCGTGCCTATCTCTCGAGACCTGCCGGGCCCAGAGCTCTCTGGGCGTGCACAAACACCACTACCGCGAGTCTTACATCCAACTATCGGCGTAGGCCCACAGTCGCAGAAGCTCCTCCGTGCAGTCCGCTTGGGTATTGAGGAGCTCCATCTCAATCACCCCGATTCTTCGCAGCCTGTATCCTCCTTCATCGTCACGGTCGAAAAATTCACAACCTCGTAAATATAGTTCCAGGAAGCAGCCACGTTCTCGCATGAACCCCTCATCAAGACTCAGGCCTCTCGCGTTATTGATGAATCGCATACATTTACCGTCGATCTTTCGAACCACGCACACGGTTATAGATACATCAGCAGGCTCGTCTCGATCAACTATGCAGTGCTCCTCAAGATCATGCTCACCGAACTCGATCGCAAATCCCTCAAGGTCGTCTTTTTCTTTCATATCAAAGAGTCCGTCGATGACGGTGACGCCGCGGTGCTTAAATATCACTAGAGCTGAGTACGCGTCGATTCCAGGGATGGTGCGCGGTCTCCGACCCAGTAGCCGCTGCATCCGCACGTACTCTGGCCGACCAGTGAGCGCGCCTGTCACGGCTCTCAGCTGCGCAGCCTCCGGATAGTCTCGCGCCGTGTGCGCGCTCCACGTCGCGTCTGCCGCGACGAGCTTCTGCGTCGCCCGAGAGCACGCGCCAAGACTGACCAAGTCCACGGTCGAAAGGAATTCGCTCGCCAGGGACACGCCCAAATTCGTGGCGGTGCGCGAAACCGGTGCGCGGCGGCGCTCCTTCCGTCGATTCACCTCGGCCACGCGCTGCGACATCGCCTCGCTCGCGGTAGAGACGATCTTCCGAAGGTCGTCTGGCAAGTCCGGCAACGAGAGAAGGCGAAGCGCGTCGGCGCCCCAGGCACGTATGGCCTTCTCCGTGCTGTCGACCATGCCCACTTTGAATGGGCTGCCCCAAGCCGTGGTTGTCGCTTCATCCTCGGCGAGCGCCCGGTGCTGTGGCTCGCGGCCGCGGCGCCGGCTCAGTGGCGAGGCGAAGCGAGCCAACATCACCATGGGACTGGCTTGGTCTTGGCCGGGGGTCGCATGCGCACTGTGGCACCGTGGCTGACGTTCTTACGCCGCCCGCGCCCGACCCTCACCACCCGTGGGCGGAGTAGGGCTTGATGCCCGCGAGCTTCTCGACGCGGAGGCGGCTCGAGCGGTCGTCGACGACGGCCTGGCGGATGACGGCCATCTCGCCCTCGCCGACGCCCGCGTTGCGGCGGCCGATGCCGGCCCAGACGACGCGGCTCGAGCCGCGCTCGGCCGTGAGGAGGCGCGACACCTGGCTGCTGCTCCGGCCGTCCTCGAGGTACTGGCGCTCGGGCGTGATGGACGTCGACGCGACGAGCTTGGGCCGCCCGCAGGCGTCGACGTGCTCGTAGACGGCGCCGAAGATGTAGTCGCTCCGCGCCTTGGCGCGCGACGGCCGCCCGAGGGACAGGTCCGGGAGCGCGTCCTCGTACTCCTTGACGCGCGGCAGGCCGTCGCGGCCGCGGTCGTCGCGGAGGTCGCGCGGCGGCGGCAGCAGCACCTCCATGCCGCCGTTCGCCGCCGCGCGCTCCTTGCGGCGCGCGACGCATTTCCCGAGCGCGTCGCCGGCGACGCGGTGGTCGTCGGAGCTGCCCACGGCGCGGAGGGCCGTGCCGCGCGGGCCCTCGATGAGCATGGGCTCGACGTCCTTGGCCCCGCTCGTCGCCTGGCCCACGAGGGCCAGCACGCCGGGGCTCTGCCACGGCTGGTCGCTCAGCGCCGCCTCGCGCCGCGCCCGCGTCTCGTTCGTCGACCCGCCGCCGCGGCGCCGGCTGCCGTAGCCGCCGGACGACGTCGGCCGCCGCGGCCGTGGCCGCGCCGTGCCCGGCGCGAGCATGGTCGGACGACGGACGCTGTTGTCGGGGCTGCTCTCACAAAACGCCGGATTCACACAGTTCGTGACGTTCAAGGTTAACTTTAGAGCCCGCCGGGGATTCGCCGGCGCATGCCGACGCTCTTCCCGAGCCTCGCCTTCGCCTGCGTCTCGGGGCTCCGGGCCCGCCGCGCGCCCGGCCCGGGCCCGCGCGGCCTCGGCCGGCCCGAGGGCGCCGGGCAGGGCCCCGGCGGCGGGACGAGCGGCGCCGCGGCCGCGGCGCGCGCGGGCCCGTGCGCGACGACGACCGCGCCACCGCCGGCGTCGACGTCGACGCGCAGCGTCCCGGAGGCGACGTCCTCGGCCGGCGCGCCGCACTGGAGGTGGGGCACGCGCGGCTGGAACGCGGCCGCGCGCGGCCCGAGCGCCGCGACGTCGACGTCGACGGCGCACGGCGTCGACGCCCAGCTCGCGAGGACGACGACGGCGGCGCCGTCGACGACGAAGGCCGTGCGCTTGACGCGGTCGCCGCAGTCGCCCGGCGCCGTCGCGGCGAAGCGGGCGTCGCCGCGGCGCCAGAAGCCCACGAGCTCGGAGTCGCGGAGCTCGAAGGCGTCGACCACGGCCCAGAGCGCGCCGAGGCGCGCGAGGGACGTGTCGCTGTCGAACCAGCCCGCGCGCTCCGTCATGCCGAAGAGGAGCGCCCGGTAGTAGAGCCGCGGCTGCTTGCGCACGGCGCCGCTGAGCATCTGGCTCGGCAGGCCGAAGGGCACGCCCGCGACGCCCACGAGGAAGTGGTCCGGCCCGAGCTCGTAGTTCGACGCCTCGCCGGTCCACACCGCGTCCATGTGGGGGTAGAGCTCGAGGTAGACCGCCGTCTTGTTCGCCGCGTGGAGGTCGAGGAAGGGCGCTCGGTGCGGCGCGTTCTTTTTGCTCGCGACCTTGGACAGCGCGCGCTCGGCGCCGCGCCGCGCGGCGCCGATGGCCGCGGGCGACGCGGAGATGCCGTCCATGTAGAAGCCCTTCATGCCGCCGCAGAGCGCGAGGTGGCGCGCGCCGCGCTGGAAGAAGCGGAGCCAGGCGCCGCCGGCCGCGACGGACGCGGCGACGTCGTCGTCCGTGCCGTGCGGCGCCGCGCCGGCGCCGGCGCCGCCGCCGCGCACGGGCGTGCGCCAGGCGAGGACGTAGTCGCCCGCGCCGAGGCGCGCGTCGAGCGTGCGGTCCGTCCGCGGCCTGCCGTCGGGCGACCTGCTCTCGTAGGCCGCGAGCGGCGCGTCCGCCGTGCCCCGGAAGAGCGCGGACGCGAGCGCGAGCTCCGCCGCGTGGATCGACGTCTCGCGGTGCGTGTAGTAGGGCGAGACGGCGACGCCCGCGGCCTCGCAGCTCTGGGCGTAGCGCCGCAGGCGGTGCATCGTCGCGTCGTGGAACGGGTAGTTGATGTACCTGGGGCGTTTCGGGGGCTCGCGCGGGCGTTTTTTTCTCGCGGGGCGCGGCGCGCGCGCGGGTTGAGCAGGCCGCCCTGGTGCAGCGAGACGCCGCGGACGCCCCGCTTCGCGAGGGCCGCGCAGTCCGGCGGGTCCCACTGCTTCGCGTGGAAGCGCCGCATCTCCGGCGCGAAGATGGCCGCCGGGGTCAGGGCCCTGGCGGGCGTGACCGCGAACGAGAAGTCGAGCCGCGTCGCCGAGGCGGCGCCCTTCCTCCCGAAGACGCCCCTGCGCTTGTGCTTGGCCGCGGGCCCGCCGGAGGCGCGCAGCGTGACGACGCCGTCGTCCGTCGTCCAGCCCATGCCGCCGTGGCGCCAGCCCGCCGGGTAGGGCGGCGACAGCTTCCAGTCGAGCTGCGGGCCGTCGCCGTCGTCGCCCGCGGAGCGGTCGCGCGCGGAGAGGAGCCGGAGCTTCGCGCCGAGGTCCACGGTGCCGAGCCAGGCGAACTGGTCCCAGACGGAGCCCTCGGCGCCCATGCCCGGCGGCGAGCCCTTGCGCGCGTCGAGGGGGCGAGAAGGCGCCCACGTCCACGCGTGCCTTTTCTCGCGCGCGCCGCTCCGGAGCCCGAGCCCCGCCGCGAGCGGCGCCGCGCCCGGCCGGAAGGACGCGACGACGCTCACGTCGTCCCAGGGCGCCGGCGCCTCGACCGTCGCCGCGGCGACGACGCGCGCGTCCCGCGGCGCGACGCGCGCCTCGAAGGACACGCGCGACTCGCCGCACGCGGATGTCCAGCGCCAGACGAAGACGGGCGCCCCGTCGTCCAGGGAGCGCGTGAGCACGTCGGACGTGCGCTTCCAGGCGCCGCAGTCCGGCGCGAGCTCGAGGCGCAGGCCCCGGTCGTCGAAGAGGTCCGCGCCGCCGCGCGACCTGGGCAGGAAAAGGGTGATTCAAGTTCTCTTCAACGTGAGTGTTCCGCGCGCGCGCGTTCCGGAAAAAGCATCCATGCTTCGAGACCGTTCCGAGAGATGATCGTTCGTCCAAAAATCAGCCGAAACGAGTGGGAAACGGCCGAGATCGGAGCCTTTGAAGTTGGGAATTTCGCACCCTTTTCCTGCCCTGCGCGCGACACGGCCGCGAAGACGCCGAGCCCCGCGCGCTTGCCCCGCGCGAGCGCCAGGGACCGCCCGAGGCCCAGGTCGATGATCCGGTCGTCGACGGGCTCCGCGGCCGGCGCGCGCCGCGGCGCCGCGCTCGCGAGCCAGGCGACGCGCGACGCGGGCGCCGCGGGCAACGCGCACGGCGACGCCGGCGGCGGCGCCTCCAGGGTCAGCCGCGCGGTCGCGACGGCGCGGCCGCCCGCGCGCACGGTCAGCGCGCCCGCCGTCTCGCCGCCGCGCGGCCGGCCCCGCGCGGCGAGGGCGACGACGAGGGGCTCGCCCGCGGCGACGGCCGCGAAATGGACGCCGCAGGCGACGCACGCGACGCCGGGCGCGTCGACGGTCACCGTCGCGTTCGCCATGGCGCGCCCGGCGACGACGGCGACGAGCGCGACGCCCGTCTCGCCGAGCGGGACCGCGACCGTGTCGGTTGTTGGTTGGAGCTTTTTGAGCGCGTCGAGCGGCAACGCGCGCCCGAGCGGGAGCGCGGCCGCCGGGTCCCGGAGCGGCCAGGCCGCGACGGCGTGCGCGCCGCCGGCGACGGCCGCCGCCGCGTCCCGCGTCGCGGCGGCGACGTCCGCCGGCGCCGTCGCCCAGGCCTTGGCCTCCCGCGCGACGGCGGCCTGGAGCGCCTCGCTCCAGGCCGACGACGCGCCGCCCGAGCTGCTCTTCAGCGCCGCCTCCGTTGCGTCCGCCGCCGCCGTCGGCGAGACGAAGTTGTCGTCGTCGCTGAAGACGGCGTTCTCTTCTGCAAATGTTACTGCTAGCAATAGCAGGAATCGCAATGGGGCAGCCCCCATCGCGTGTAGTTTTGGGGTTAATGGTGCCGGCTCGTTTCATGCGATCTTTGGCCAAGGGGATCTTCAAGATCCCCTTGCTTTGGCTGCGCGGCTATGGAGGCAGATGAAGCTTTATTAAAGCATGCCTATGGGCTGTGGGAAAAAATAGTCGAGAAGATTGAAGAGGAACACTCCACGGAGGACGCACGTGATATTTTGTGCTTGCTCATGCAGCGCGTGATGGAATTTGGCAATACCGTCTGTGAGGACGAAATAAAGAGACGCGCTCGACTTGCACTCAGGGTGGGCACCAAAGAGGACTTAGCAAAGGCCGCCCGCGCCAAAAAGAAACTGGATTTCGCAAAGGCCGCCCTCAAAACGACAAGATCTCTGATCGAGAGCGAGATCAACAACCGTTCGCTTCGGAGCTCCAAGGCCGATCTGGAGACGGAGTTGAGCGACTCGGGGAAACGCGCAAAAAAATTACGGAAGGAAAGAAACGCCGCAGCCGCGGAAGTCGAGGAGTTGCGTGCGCACAGGGATAGATTGGCTGAGGAGCTCGACGCATACAAAGACGCGTCGAAAGCAGCCGTCGAAGTTCTAAAAAAAACGCAGCGCGCCAAAATACCGAGGCTCGGCACGCAGACCGGGAAGTACGAATTCGAAAAGGTCGCGGACGCGAAGGTCAAAGAGGGTCCTTGGGCCGACGAGTTGACGAAGGAGCACATCGACAAGATGAAGGTGCCGCAGCTACGGGCCGCCCTCGACGACCGCAGTCTCGACACCCAGGGCCTCAAGTCCGACCTCAAGGAGCGGCTCCTCGGCGCCATCGATGATGGTAAGACGAACTAAGTGTGTAACTGCAGCTAACCCAAAACCCGCGCGCCCCACGCAATCACGCCGCCTTCGGCTTCGCGGGCGCGGCGCCGCGCGAGAGGCCGTAGGCGAGGACGCCGCCGAGGGCGACGGCGCTGCCGACGACCTTGCGCTGGGAGGGCGCCTCGCCGAGGAACAGCACCGCGGCGACGAGGACGAAGACGCGCTTCGCCGCGTTCGCGACGGCCTGGGGCACGGGCCCCAGGAGGTCGAGGACCTGGAAGGAGAACTCGTTGGAGAGGTAGTAGAGCGCGCCGGACTGGGCGACGAGCTTGAGCACGAGCGTCCGGTCCAGGCCCGGCGCGTCGAAGGCGGCCCGCGCCGCCGCGCCCTCGAGGTAGAGGCTCGGCCCGACGAGGCACGCGCACGAGCAGCACGTGAGGAGCGCGTAGTTGTTGCGCGCGTCGAGGCCCCGCTCCTCCTTGATGCGCTTCGTCATGAGCTTCTTGGCGATGACCTTGGCGAAGGCGAAGCAGACCGTGCTCGTCAGCGCGGCCTTCGCCGCGGGCCCGAAGAGGTCGCCCAAATCGACGGTCGCGCCGGGCTTCATCGCCGCGTGGACGACGCCGCCGACGATGGGCGCGAGCGACGCGTTCGTCGCCAGCGACGGCCGCGACCCGAGGAAGACGACGCCGATGACCGTGCCGATGATCGGCTCCAAGGCTTTGATGACGTGCGCCATGAACACCGAGCCCGCGCCGAAGGAGAAGACCTGCGCCGCGTGGCCCGTGCTGTGCAGCAGGCCCATGGGCAGGAAGTTGGCGCCCAGGAAGTGCGCGTCGACCTTGGGCGCCGTGCGCAGGCCCGCGAGCCAGGCCGGCGCGATGAGCGCCACGCCGGCGAAGAGCTGGAGCCAGGCGACGACCCACGGGTACGGGAACAGGTTCAGCGCCTGCTTGTTGAGCACGTTGAAGAACGAATTGCAGCTGTACCAGCCCAGCAGGTTGAACGCGAGCGCGAGCATGGCTGGCAGCGCGCGACGACGACGACGTCGAGGCGCGGCGGCAAGATCGAGACAGCAAAAAGGCAACCCTGGGAAAACAGCGACTTTTTGATCTTTTTGCCACAGGCATGGGCGCGTCGCGCCTGCATTCAAACCACTCAATAATGATGCGAGCCCTCGTCTACGCGCTCGTCGCGAGCTTGACGCGCGCCGCGACAACGACGACCACAAATTTCCGCGGCGAGGACACGTGGGTCGTGCTCGTGGGCGCGAGCCGCTACTTCGCCAACTACCGCCACGCGGCGAACGTGCTGGCCATGCGGCGCATCGCGCAGCGCCTGGGCGTGCCCCGGGAGCGGCTGCTCGTGCTCCTCGCCGAGGACCCGACCTTCGACGGGCGGAACCCGCACCGCGGCCGCGTGTTCATCTCCGCGAACGGCAAGCGGCGCGCCGCGGACGACCTCGCGGGCGACTGGGGCGCGAACGCGACGCACCTCTTCGCGGACGTCGACTACGCCGGCGACGAGGTGACGCCGGAGCTCGTGCGGCACCTGCTCACGGGCCGCCTCGGCGCGTCGACGCCCCGGTCGCGGCGCCTCGACTCTGGGCCCGCGTCGAACGTGCTGGTCTACCTCACGGGCCACGGCGGCGACGAGTTCCTCAAGTTCCACGACAGCGACGAGCTCTCGGCCGTCGAGATCGCCGACGCCGTCGCCGAGATGCGCGCCAAGGGCCGCTACGGCCGCCTCGTGCTCGTGGCCGACACGTGCCAGGCCGGGTCGCTCCTCGCGCGCCTCTCGCCGTCGACGACGCCGAACGTCCTCGGCGTCGCGTCGGCGAAGCTCGGCGAGAACGCCTACGCGGCGGGCGCCGACGCCGTCGTCGGCGTCGCCCTCGCGGACCGCTTCACGGAGCACGTGTCCAAGTTCTTCGACGGCAACCGCGCGTCGTCGGGCACGTGGGGCGACTTCGAGCGGAGCCTGCGCAAGGCGCCGACGCGGTCCACGCTCGTCGTCGAGGACGCGGCCTGGGGCGCGCCGGACTGGCGCGCCGCGCCCCTCGCGGCCTTCTTCGGCTCCGAGCCCACGTTCCACCTCACGCCGTGGCCGCCCTAACGTTAGAGCATCTCCCGCGCCGCGGACGCGAGCGTGTCCGCCTCCGCGAAGGAGAGCCCCATGTCGATGAAGTCGTCGAGCGTCAGGTGGGGCAGGTCCCGGAGGCTCTGGATCTCCTCCTCGCGGAACCGCGCGACGTGGCGCCGCAGGCCGAACGCCTCGAGGAACGTCGCGAGCTGCTCGAACGGCGACGCGACGGGCGGCGGCGCGGCCCGCGGCGGCGGCGCCCTCGGCGGCGGCGCGGGCGGCGGCGGCGCGGTCCGCGCCGGCGTCGGCCTCGGCGCGGCGGCGGGCGCCGCGGTCCCCGGCTTCGGCGCGCCGCACTGGCGGCAGGCCTTCGTGGCGCGTTTGTAGTTGACGTTGTCGCAGAGTTGGCACCGCCAGAAGCCGTGCTTCAGCGGCAGCATCGCGCAGGCGCTCGACCGCGGGTCGCCGCAGTCGGCGCAGACCAAATTCTTCGAGAAGTTGTGCTTTACGCAGCCGTCGGCGCCGCAGATCCAGTCGCCGACCATGGCCACGATGGGGCAGCTCGGCAGCCGCTTCTTCCCGCAGGCCATGCACTTCTTGCGCTTGACGCCGTGGAGCTTGTGGAAGTTGTTCACGCCGCAGGCGCAGATCCAGTCGCCGGGCTTCCACGAGCCCCTGACGTCGACCATCGTCGGGATGTCGGCCGGCCTCTTGCGGCGCCGGCCGCTCGACGGCGCCGCGGGCCGCGGCGGCTCGGGCTCGTAGTAGGGCTCCGGCTCCGGGGCGGCGTACTGCGGGACCGGCTCGGGCGCGTAGTAGGGCTCCGGTTCGCGCGAAAAGTACTCCGGCTCGGGCGCCCAGGGGTCCGACCACGACGGCGCCTCGGGCGCGTACGTCGGCGCCTCGGGCGCGTAGGCCGGCTCCCACGACGGCGCCTCGGGCGCGTAGGCCGGCTCCCACGCGGGCGGCGGCGCGGCGACGGTCCGCGGCGAGCCGCCGCCGAGGCTCGGGAAGGCCTCCATCGTCGGCGGCGCCTGCGGCGCCGCCGCCTCGCGCGGCGCCGGCTCCGGCGCGCGCGGCGCCGGCTTTTCCCAGGCGTCGTCGCCGTCGTAGGTCGGGGCCGGCTCCGGCGCGCCGAGGTCCAGGAGCTTCTTCGCGCCCTTCTTCGGCTTCGCCCTGCGCCGCGCCGCCTCGGGCTTCTCCGCCGCCTCGTCGCCTTTCTTCACGCGGAGCGAGCACGCGTCGAGCGCGATCTCGGACGGCGCGACGACGGCGCGCGGCGCGGCCGCCGCCTCGCGCTTCGCGGCGACGGCGCAGCGCCGCGCCGTCGCGCCGCCGTCGTCGTCGGCGGCCTCCTCCTCCTCGGCCTCGTAGCCGTAGTCGGCCCACTTGTTGACGATGACGGACACGCCGCCGCCCATGCAGCCGCCGTCGCAGTTCGTGAGGAACTTGAGGCGGCCGGCGCGCGTCGACGAGTCCCGCGCGATGAAGCGGCGCCGCCCGAGCTTGACGGGCTTCTTGCACTTGCGGCACGACTCGCCGTTCGACTGCGGCGCGGGCGTCGCCCGCACGGACGCGGGCAGCGACCACCAGAGCTCGATGAACTCGTAGGGCGACTGCGCCGCGCCGATGCGCCGCGCCCAGGCCTCGCCGTTCTCGCAGAGCCGCCCGGCGTCCCGCGCCGCCGCGGCGCGCGCCTCGGAGCTCTTGTGCGCCGCGTAGTAGGCCGGACCCACGAGCTTGGCGCCGGCCTGCTCGCGCCCCTCGGTCACGAAGCGGACCATGCTGTTCGCTGCGCTGCTCGCGCGGCGCGCGCGCAGGAGCGAAGGAGCGCGACGAGCGGCGCGCGCGCAGGGCGTCAAGAGCACGCAGGAGCGAAGCGCGACGAGCGGCGCGCGCGCAGGGCGTCAAGAGCGCCTTCGCTTGAGTCCCACCTCGATGCTGAGTGCTCTCCGCTCGGCGCGCCGTCGGCGCGGCTGGCTTTTTGAACCTTTGAAGCGCCGCCTGAGCAATCCTGGCAATGCTCTCGATGGTGGGGCTGCGCCGCGCCGCGCCCGCGGTCCGGTGGCTCAAGCAGCCGCGCGTGTCGCTCCGCTACCTCAAGGACCCGCCGGCGCCGCCGCCGCCGCGCCCGTCCTGGGACGGGAAGCAGATCGTGCGCTTCGGGCCGAACGATCCCATCGACCGCCTGCGCGAGTGGCAGGCCATGAGCCCGGAGACGCGGCGCGATTGGGAGAAGCTCGGCTGGACCTATGAGAACTGGAAGACCGGCTACCCGCCGAAGCCGTGGAGCGAGAGCTGCGACTGGGGCGAGCTCTCGACCGTGGGCGGGCAGGCCCACGCGCGGCGTCGCGCGACAGGTTTCATTGAAGACATCCAACCCTGTGTAGGCCGCGCGCGACGCCGCGATGCGGCTCGGCTACGACGGCCGGCTCTGGGACGCCGACGACGAGGCGACCTACGCCGCGGACGTGCAGGATGGGAACTACCTCAAGACGGCGCTGGCCATCGTCGCCGGAATGGTCCTCCTCTGCCCGCTCCTCGCCTGGCTGGACAGCCGCAAATGGAAGAAGATCGGCGTCACCGACGAGGAGCGCGTCCGGATGCGCCACTTCATCACGGCCGCGACGCGCAAGGACGCGGCGCTCGTCAAGGCGCTCGACGAGCGGGAGGTCGACGACGGCTCCGACTGGTACCTCGGCCGGCTCCGCGAGCTCTACGTGAAGCTCGCGGACAAGAGCACAGGCCAGATCACGCGCGCGTCCTGGGACGCGGCCGGCGGCGGCGCGATGGCGGCCGGGCCGGACGGGTGGGGCGACGCCGCGTGGGAGGACGCGGACGCCAAGGACGCCGCGTGCCTGCTCTTCTCGGCGGCGGACCTCGGCCACGACGAGGTGCTCACGTTCGCCGAATTCTGCCAGCTGGCCGTGCTCTCCGCGGAGGCGGGCGCGGGCGACGTCGACGCCCAGGCGGACATCCTGTGCATGCTGGTGGACGAGGACCGCAACCAGGCCATCGAGCACCACGAGCTGCGGACGTTCTGCCACCGCGCGAAGCGCTGGGGGCTCTGCCGCGATCTCGGCAAGGCCGACGACATCTGCGACGACATCTGGCACGAGGCCTACGGCGACGAAAACGGCATGATCACCAAGGAATCGTTCCGCAAGGTCGCGCGCCGCTTCCGGCCCGTCGACGCGCCGGGCGCGGTCCTCGGCGCGGGCGACGACTGGGCGGACCTGCGCAAGAAGCACGAGGAGCACTACTTCAAGGTCCAGGAGCGGAGGGGCGGCGGCAGCGGGCACATGGGGGGCTGCGCCGGCGGCGGCGGCGGCGGCGGCGGCGGCGGCGGCGGCGGCGGGTGCTTCGCGGCGGGGACGCGCGTGCGGCTCCGCGGCGGCGCGACGGCGCCCATCGAGCGCGTCGCGATCGGCGACGCGCTCGAGGGCGGCCGCGCCGTCGCGACGTTGCGCTTCGCCGGGGACGCGGCCGCGCCCCTCGTCAACGTCAAGGGCGTGCTCGTCACGGAGGACCACGCGGTCCAGGTCGACGGCGGGCGGTTCGTGCGAGCGCGCGACGCGCCGGGCGCGTCGCGCGCCGGCGGCGCCACCGGGGTCGTCTACGACCTCATCACGACGGACCATCGCATCGGCGTCGTCGCGGACGACGGCTCCGTCCTCGTGTGCGCCGACTACCTGGAAGTGCCCGAAACCGCCGCGGCCTACGACGCCATGCTGGCGCGCCTCAACGGGTCGACCCGCGCGATCGCGGCGGCGATGTAAGCGGTTACGCGAGGGCGGGGAGGAGCATCAGCGGCGGAGGGGCGAGCGTCACTTCCGGCACGACTCCTTGGACTTCTTGGAGAGGAGCGAGGCGACGACGCCGCGGGGCGGCGTCGGCGGCCGCGTCGGGCTCGGCGGCGGCGGCGGCTTGGCCGCGCGCGACCACTTGCTCTTCATCGCGGCCTTGGCGGTGCCGCGGTACGCGTTCCGCGGCGCCGGCGCGGCGCCCCCCTCGCACGCGGCGTCGTCCTCGTCGTCGCTGTCCGACATGCAGCGCTGCATCTGGTGGCCCATCATCTTGCTCACGAGCTGCTTCTTGCCGCGGCGCTCGTAGGTGCGCGCGTCCCGGACCGACTCGACGACGAGGTCGAGGTCGAGCTTGAGGCGCGACACGAGGCCCGCGTGCGCCGCCGAGGCCGGGCACGCGGCGACGCGCGCCTTCATAGCCTCGAGGCCCGACCGGGCCTCGTCGATGCGGCCCGCGTCCGCGTGCGCGCGCGCGGCCTTGAGCGCGTCCGCGGTGTCGAGCCGCGCGCGGTGCACGGCGATGCGCTCGTTCGGCGCCGCGGACGGCGCCCGGGCGGCGTCGACGCGCACGCCGGCGGCGGCCGCCGCGCTGACGACGTCGCCCGTCGCCGCGGCGACGTAGCTGAGCGAAAAGTCGACGGCCGCGGATCCGTCGTCGACGACGAGGTCCACGAGGACGTCGCGCTCCTCCTCCGCGAAGATGTCGCCGAGGGGCACCGTCCAGTGATTGTCGTCGACGCGCGTCGCGCCCTCGCGGCGGACGCGCGCGATCGTGGCGCCCGTGGCGCGGACGTCGACGACGCAGTTCTGGCCCACGACGCTCATCAGGCCGCCGAGGCAGTCCGCGAAGGCGCCGACGACGCGGTCCGCGTCCTCGATAAAGTAGTAGGAGCCCTTTCCGTCGCCCGCTGCGGCCGCGACGGCCTGGAGCAGGTCCGCGTTGTGGTCCGTGCCGTAGCCGAAGGTGTAGAGGCTCGTCGTCGTGCCCGCCAGCAGCTTCGTCGTCGCGTTGACGAGGGCCGCATCGTTCGTGACGCCCGCGTTCGCGTGGCCGTCCGTGAGGAGGAGCACGGTGCGCACGCGCTCCAGGGCGTTCGGCGCCGCGAGGAGCTCGAGGCCCCGGAAGAGGCCGCCGCTCAGGTTCGTCGTGCCCCCCGGGCGGAGGCGCCGCACCGCGGACTCGGTGGCGCCGGACACGGGCAGGAGCTCGAGGTTCGTGGCGACGTTGTGGTCGAAGGTGACGAGCCCGAAGCGGTCCGTGGCCCGGAGCTCCCGGACGAGGAGCTCCGTCGTCTCCTTGCAGAGCTCGAGCTTCCGGTCGCAGCCCATGCTGCCGCTGCGGTCGAGGACGACGACGACGTCGACGTCCGGGCGGCGGCCCTCGGGGACGGCGGAGGCCTCGATCGTCGCCGCCAGCGTCACCGTCGCGCCCGCCGCGGCGACGAAGTCGCGCTCGGCCGCGGCGGTCAGCGTCAGCGCGGCCGGCGCGGCCGGCGCGGCGTCGACGGCCATGGGCTCCGGCTCCGGCGCGGCCGCGGGCGCGTCTTCGCCGTCGACGACGCGGCCGCCACGGACTCGCAGGCAGACGTCGATGACGTCCGTGTCCTGGATTGAGTAGTCGCCGAGGGTGCGGCCGTCCTCGAGGGCCCGGCCGCGAGATAGCAGATGCTGGTGCTCGATGGGCAGCCCCATGCCGTCCTCGACGGACTGCTTGAGGGAGGCGACGGTGTCCGTCGGCGCGACGTCGAGGGTGGAGGTGGCGCCCGCGGACTGGATGAAAAGCTGCATGGTGTTGTGCGTGTGATTTGTGTTTGGACTGGCATCGTTCTATAGCACAGCCGAAGAATGTTCGCGAGGTTTGTATCTAAACACTGACTGTAGTTCAATTTGTATTTTGCATCGCATCTTGCATCGGGGGCTGCCTCGTCATGAGCTCGCTCGACGCCGCATTTATGGACAAGTACCTGCAGCGCGTGGGCATCGACGACGATGCGTCATTGTCGGCAAACTACGAGACGCTCGCAAAGATTATGGAGGCCCAGTCGCGCTCGATTCCCTTCGAGAACATCGATGTTGTATGCGGCAAGACGATCTCCATCGTGCGCAGCGACATCGCGCGGAAGCTCATCGACGAGCAGCGCGGCGGCTACTGCTGGGAGTTGAACGCGCTGTTGCAGATGGCGCTGGAAGCTCTCGGTTTCAAGGTGGCGCCGATGATGTGCCGCGTGCGCTGGAACAAACCGAGCGATGCGGACGGTCCTGTCTCGACGTACACGCACATGGCGCTTCGCGTTGTGATTGGAGGCAAAGCTTGGCTCGCTGACGTCGGTTTCTCGGGCGTCAATTCGATCGCGCCCGTGGAACTGAACCACGAAGTCGAGCAGAAACGCCCCGAGGGCACGTTCCGCATCTCGCGCGAGGGAGACTACTCGGCGCTGCAGCTCTCGGTCAAGGGCGCCTGGTCCAGCCTCTACAAGTGGCGCGACGAGCCCGCCGCCCTCTGCGACCAGGAGGCCGCGAATTGGTACAGCTGCACGTTCCCGACCGCGCGGTTCACGACGTCGTTTTTCGTTTGCCGCGTCGTCGGACACGAGCGCCACCACATCCTCAACGGGGAGTACTGCGTGCGCGAGGGCCACGGCGCCGATCGCGCGACGACCAAGCGGCGCATCCGAGACGAAGCGGACCTCCGCGACCTGCTCGCCGCGGTCTTCGGCCTCTGTCTCGCGGCCGGCGCGCACCCGGGCCTCGGCCGCTACCTCACGAAGTAAGGCCTCAACCCCGCTACCTCACGACGTAACGTTTAGTCGTCCTCGTCCATGGCCGCCTGCTGCTTCTGCACGTAGGCGCGCGCGAGGTCCTTGACGGCGTCCGCGGACGCGGCGTCGCCGTGGGCCTCCTCGAAGGCGGCGAAGCGCTTGAGCGCTGCGCGCATGGCCTTGGGCGGGAGGTTGACGCCCGCGAGGCGCATCTGGATCGCGCGCGCGTGAGCGACGTCGCCGGCCTTGAGCGACTTGGCGACGTAGAGCTGCCAGAGGTCCGCGCGCTTGGGCCACTTGGCGAGCGTCGTGTCGAAGAGCGTGCGGCCGCGGTCCGCGGAGCCGACGTCGAGCTCGAGGCAGGCGAACTTGGCCAGGAGCGACGCCTCGGCCTTGGGCCCGCCGTCGGCGCAGGCCTGGACCGCGCGGTCGAGCACCGCGCGCGCGTCGTCGGCCGCGCCGGCCAAAAGCCGCGACCGGCAGTGCGCGAGCCAGACGTCGTCGGGCGTCGCGCCCTGGCGGCGGCTCCGCTTCTCCGCGCGCGCGTAGGCGGCGTCGGCGGCGTCGTAGTTCGACGTCTCCTCGTGGAGCGCCGCGAGCTTGAGGAGCACGCGCGTCGGGTCCGCGTTCTTCGTGGCCCGGTCCACCGCGGCGCTCAGCGACTTGGCGTCGCCGTGGTCCCGCTCGTGGGCGAGGAGCGCGGCCCAGGCCTCGAGGCGCTGGGCCTCCTCGCGGTAGCCGATCTTCTTGAGCGCCCGCTCGAGGACGCCGCGCGCGCCCGTCGCGTCCGATTCCGTCACCAGGAGCTTCGCGTAGGCGATCCACGTCGCCGCGGCGTTCCACTCCGTCACGAGGAGCCGCTCGTAGTCCTCCGCCGTGCGCGGGCCCGCGTCCGCGAGCAGCGCCGACTCCGCCGCGTCCGCCTCGTCGTCGAGCGCGGCCTCCGACGTCTCCGCCTTCTTCGCCTTCTTCCGCGACGGCGCCGCGGGCGCGTCCTCCTCCCAGCGCAGCGCGCCCGCCTCCTCCTCCTCCTCCTCCTCCTCCTCCTCGTCGAGGTCGTCGTCGGACTCGTCGTCGTCGTCGCCGGACTCCTCGGCCTCGTCCTCGACGAGCCCGCCGACGTCGTCGCCCTCCTCTTCGTCCGAGTCCTCCTCGTCGTCGTCGTCCTCCTCCATGGCGTCGTCGTCGTCGCCGCTGTCGTCGGCGAGGAGGGCGTCGGCGCGCGCGAGCGCGTCGTCGTCGCCGTCCGAGTCGTCGTCGTCGGACGCGTCGGCCATCGCCGCGTCGTCGCCGTCGAAGTAGGACGGCTTCAGGCCCAACGAGAGCTTGCGGCGGCCGCCGGGCTCCGCCGGCTCATCGATCTTCAGCACCTTGGCCTTGACGCGGTCGCCCTTGGCGAAGAGCGTCGCCACGTCCTTCACAAAGTCGTCGCTGAGCTGCGACTTGTGCGCCAGCCCCGACGCGGCGTCGCGCGGCGCGTCGTCCAATTTCACGAAGACGCCGTAGGCCTCGACGCGCGTCACGAGGCCCGTGAGCACGTCGCCGACGTCGATCGACGCGACGACGGCGCCCTCCTTGTCGATGGCCGACGGCCTCAGGCTCAGGTCGAGCTTGCCGTCGTCGGCGACGCGCGTCACGACGGGCGCGACGAGGCGCCCCACGGGGAACGTTCCCGGGACGTCGGCGACGTAGGAGTCGGCGAGGTCCTTGAGCAGCACGCGGCCGACGACGTTCCGCGCGAGCTCGACGAAGACGCCGGCCTTCTTGTCCGCGCCGACGACGAAGCCCGGCCGGACGTCGCCGACTTTGGGCTTCGCGTCGGGCGCCGTCGACGCCCGGGCGAGGCGGCTCGGGCGCAGGGACACGTGCGCCGTGCCCTTGACCATCTCCAGGACGACGCAGCGGACGGCGGCGCCCGGGGCCGGCCCGCGGGGCCGGTCGGACCAGGCCCCGGCGTCCGCGAGCTCCGTCGCCGCGCAGACGCCGTCGACGGAGCCCGGCAGGGAGAAGGCCGCGTCGAGCTCGCCGAGCTGCTTGCGGCCCCGGCGCGGCGCGAGGCCCTCGACGGCGACGGCGACGACGACGTCGCCCGGCGCGAGCGCCCTCGGCGCGCCGGCGCCGTCGAGCCACGACGTCACCGCGTGCTTGCTGCCCGGCGCGGCGGCGACGTCGACGCGCGCGGCGCTCCGCGCGGCCTCGAGGGCCGCCGCGCCCGCGGCCTTGGCCGCGGCGTCGTAGAAGGCCGGCGGCTCGTCCGCGCCGGCCGTCGCGGCCTCGTAGGCCGCCTGCGCGAGGTCCGCGAGGGCCATGCGCGCCTTGAGCGCCGGCGCGAGGGCGACGCAGACCTGGGCGTCGGCGTCGCCCGCCGGGAGGCAGGCGCCCGAGGCGCCCGCCTGCGCGAGGTACGCCGCGACGTCGTCGGCGCCGCGGCCCTTCCGCGCGCACTTTTTGCCGAGGCCGAGGTCCAGGAGCGTCAGGCCCTTGTCCTGGCGCTTGGCCAGGAGCACGCAGTGGAGCACGGCGCCCTGGCGCACGTCGTGGAACGGGTGGGCCGCGCCGAGCGTCGACGACGGCTCCGTCATCGCCTCGGGCGCGTCCGAGACCCGCGCGACGGACGCCACGAAGCAGTCCGACGCGTGGAGCTGGCAGCGCACGCGCGCGTCCTCGCCGCCCTCGACGCGCACGCTCAGCGCGATGGCCTCGGCCGACACCTTGATGACGCGGCCGTGGACCGCGTCTCCGACCTCGAGCGCCGCGACGTCCGTGGCCGGCAGGTGCTTCTTGCCCGCGGGCCGCCGCGCGCGCTCCTCGTCGCCGGCGTCGGGGTCCACGGCGATGGACCCGCGGCGGTGGCGCGGCTGGTCCTCGGCGTGCGCGTCGACGGCCGCGTGGACGACGGCGAGGTGGCCGAAGGGGCTACCGCCGAAGCGCGGCTCCGCGGCTCCCGGCCGCGCGACGACGAAGCCCTCGACGGCCGCGGGCACGGCCTCGCCGCGCCGGTGGAAGTCGCCGACGCTCGCGATGACGAGGGCGCCCGTGGCCCGGTCGAGGGCCAGCGCGGCGCCCGCGCCCGGCGGCGGGAACGCCTGAGCGTCGAGCGCGTCCGCGGCGTCCACGGCCGCGCCCGCGGCCAGGGCCTTGAGCCCCTCCTTGCGCTTCTTGCCGCGGCCGGGCTTGACGACCTCCGGGAGCATGGAGCAGAGCACGCGCTTGGCGCGGCCGTCGACCGCGAGGCAGCGGACCTTGACGACGTCGCCCTTGGCGCACGCGAGCGCGTGCGCCGCCGGCGCGAGGCAGGGCGTGCCGTCGACATTGCAGGCCACGCGGCCGTCGGCGTCGACGGCCTCGACCAGCGCGTCGTAGGACGCGCCGAGCGCGACGCCCGCGTAGAACGGCGGCGCCCCCGCGTCGACGATCGCCGCGGCCGCCTCGAAGAGCGACGCGCCAAAGGCCCCCGCGCCGTCGCGGGGCACGCCGCGCGTGCGCAGCAGGATCTTGCCGTCGTCCTCGATCTTGTCCACGCAGCAGCGCACGACGTCGCCGACGGCGAAGCACTCCTCGACGGACGCGATGAATTTGTCCGCGACCAAGGACCGCGGCACGAGGCCCCGGAGGCCGCCGCCGAAGGCCACGAAGGCGCCGTAGGGCTTGACGGCCGTCACGGCGCCGACGTAGATCGTGTTCAGGGCCAGGTCCTCCGCCGCCGTCGGGAAGTCGCCGCCCGACGCCGCGGCCAAGATCGCCGGCGCCGCCGCGATCTTCGCGACGGCGCCGCCGCCGGGGCCCTCGACGACGACGCAGGGGAACGTGGGCTTGTCGCCGGCGCCGAGGCGCCGGAGCACGTCGCCGGCGAGGGCCCCGTGGTCGCAGGCGAGCGCCGCGGGCAGCTTCGCGAGGAACGACGACCCGTCGGGCCGCGCGACGCGGCAGAGGCCCGCGGCCACCGTCGCCGCGGGCGCCCCCGCGGCGCCCGCCGCGCGCTTCTTCTTCGGCTTCGTCACCACCAACTCCGTGACGCGCGCGGCGTCGAAGCGCTGGCCCGGCGCGACGTCCGCGGCCGCGGCCGCGGACGACGCGGCGTCGTCGTCGCTGAGCGCGAGGAGCAGCCGCGGCTTCGACGTGCCGTCGGCCCGCGTCTTGGCGACGACGCCGCGCACGGCCACCGTGACGCAGGTGCCGAGGGGGAAGGCCTCGGCGGCGTCGGAGACGCCGCGCGCGCGGAGCGACTCGGGGCTCACTCGGCCGTGGACGTTCGCGTAAAAGGTCACGGTCAGGCCCCGCGTCGCGTCCGCGCCCGTGACGAAGCCCACGAAGGAGCCGCCGACGCGCTGTTTGGCGTCGGCGTAGGACGCGAGCTTCGCGCCCGCGTCCTTGACCAGGGACCGCTTCGCCGTGAGCTCGACGCGGCGCGCCTCGACGCGCAGAACCCTCACGTCGATCACATCGCCCTTCTTCGCGTGCTTCCGCGGGTCGACGCCGCCGCTCTCGGCGACGTGCATGTTCGTCAGCGAGCCCGTGAGCGTCTCCGAGAGGCGCGCCTCGACGCCCCAGGACTTGACCGCCAAGACCGTCGCCTTGAGGAGCGCGCCGGCCTCGAGCTCGTCCTTGCCCAGGGGCACCTCGGGGTCCATGGACTGCTTCACCATGGAGCAGAGCGCCCAGCCCTCGAGGGGCGCCGCGCCGACGACGCGGCAGTCGACCTCGGCGCCCACCTCGAGGCGGTCCTCGTCGTCGTCGGACGAGCCGTCGTCGCCGTCGCCGGCCTTCTTCTTCTTCGCCTTCTTCTCCGCGGCGCCGGGCCAGCGGGAGACGTGGACGAAGGCGCCGATCTCCGTGTCGCCGTGGTCGAAGGCGAGGACCGCGCCGACGCGCGGGTCCACGCGGCGGACGACCGCGCGCCGCGCGAAGGACCCGACGGCCGGCAGCGCGAGCTCACCGCCGTCGACGGCGGCGCCGCCGAGGGACACGAGGTGGGGCACGCAGGTGAGGCGCACGACCTTGGCGCTCCGGTCCACGAGGAGCACGCGGCACTCGAGGCGGCTGCCCGGCGCGAAGCGGTCGTCCGCCGCGTAGGCGTCGTCGCCGAGCAGGCCGTCGAGGTGGTCGCGGTCGACGCAGCCCGCGAGCATGCCGTCGCAGAACGTCACGGTGACGCCGTTGGGCAGCTTCCGCGCCACCGTCGCGGCGACGCGCTGGCCGACGCAGAGCGCCTGGAGCGTCCACTTCTTCGCGTTGCCGCCGTTGGCCGCGTCCGCGACGGCGCCGTCGCGCGCGAGGGCGACGACGCCGCTCTCGGCGTCGACCTTGAGCACGCGGCACTCGACCAGAGCGCCCGCGGCCAACTCCCCGTCGCAGTCGCCGCGCTTGAGGAAGCCCGTTGCGCCCGCGACGCCGACGTCGACGACGTAGCCGCGCGCCTCCGCGGACGTCACGGCGCCGCACAGGGCCGCCACGCGGCCCTTGGCCAGGTCCTCGAGGCGCACGCCGCGCTGCACGGACCGCGGCTGCGCCGTGAGCTCGACGCGCTTCGCGCCGCGCGCCGCGCCGGGCGCCGCGCCCGCGCGCGACGTCCGCAGCACCGCGCAGCGCACGACGGCGCCGGCTTTGAGCGTGAGCCCGGCGCTGTCGCCGCTGACGAGGTCGACGTGGCCCACGAGGTTGCCCGGCAGCGACACGAGCGCGTTCTTCGCCGACGCGCTCCGGACGACGCCGAGCGCGGACATCTCCGAGTGGTAGCTCGCGAACTGGACCTTGACGAGCTTCGCGGGCCGGCCCTTGGACCCGGCCTTGACCGCGCCCTGCGAGATCATGTCCAGCGCCTCGGTCTCCTTGCTCTTCTTCTGCGGCGCCTCATCGCCCTTGCTCTTGTGCGTGCCGAAGAGCACCTCGTCGGCGACGACCTTGCGCTTCTTCTCCTTCTTCTTGTCGTCTTGCGGCGTGTCCGGCAACGAGCCGCGCGGGAAGAGCGCGGCCATGGGTGCGGCTGCTGCTCGACGACGGCGGCGGTGGTCGTCGAGTATCGCCGGCTTGGCTGTGGAGCTTCGGCTCCCGAATCGGCGGCTGATCGCCCCGGGGGTTCCGGTCGTCGACGGCGTCCGCGCCCGACCTGCAGGCGTGCGTGGTAGTTCGATGCGGGTTAGGATTATGTGCGCGACACGTGGTGCGATTCGTGGGGAGCATGTTCTCCCGGAGCGCGGGCACTGGCGCATCGCCGCGGCGTGCCGCGGCGGCCGCCAGCCTGAGGAGCCCGGGCAGCGCGGCGACGTTCCAGTCCGCCGCCTCCATCGCGTCGACGTCGCGGCCCGCCATGGCCCGGTCGAGCGCGTCCTTCTCGACCGCCGACCACGGGCCGCTTTCGAGGAGGGGCTCCGCGCCCGGGTTCGCGAGCACGAGGGGCAGCGCCTTCTTGCGCCGCGGCAGGTAGTCGGCGGACACGTAGAGTTCACTCACTTCATGTAGGCGACGAGAAGAACACGCGCGTCGGCCGGGACGGCGAGGTCTCGCGCGTCGTGCGGTCGCTTCGCATCCTCGCCAACGCGAGCGCGGAGCCCGGGCCGCGGCCGCTCCTGAGCGCCGCGGCGGCGCGCTTCTTCGTCGGCGCGTCGAAGGGCGCCGTCGCCCCATCCCTTCGAGGTTTCGCACGCGCGTGCTATGGAGCGGTACGCGCGCAGGCGGCCCTTCGGGCGCTTGACGCAGGACTGGCGGCCCTTGGCCTTGGTCTTGCCCTTGCCCTCAAGCGCCCGGCTCGTGGAGCGCGCACGCCGTGCTCCGCGAGCACGGCTACGACATGAGCCGCTTCGACTCCGCGGCCGAGGCCCGCGATCATTACATCGCCGTCGCCGCCGCCGGCGGCGGCTCGCTCCCGAAGGACGTCGAGGCCGCCGCGTTCAGCGCTTTGCACAACGCGTCGCCCCTCGCGTTCAGCGCGCGCGGCCTATCCCGGAGAAGTTCCGCGTGAAGATCGGCGTCGGCAGAGGTCCTAGATTCGAAATGGCGGCACCTATCCTCTAGCAGCTGCTCGGACGTGTGTTGGAACGCGCGTCGCGGCTTCTGCTCGAACTCCGGACCCCCGGCGAGCAAGTTGCCCCGGGGTTGTACAGCTCGGACAGTGCGGTCAAGCCGTCGCCCTCGACGCGCGCCTGTTTATATAAGCTCGACGCCGACGTGGGTGCAAGCCGGGACACTTCCCGCGCCTACTTCGGCCTTGCATCGTCCCAGCAAACCCTTCGGACCAACCGGCCCGAAAAAAATCCGCGCCAAAAGCGTTCGAATCCGCCGAAACCCCCACGCGCGGCAAAATGTCATTTATGAACGACGAGAGCGACGACGAGGAGCTCTGTGCTATCAGTCTTCGCACGCGGAGCAAGTCCAAGCTTGCAACGCCGAAGCCGGGCGCCGTCGGCAACGTCGGCAACATCTTCGAGGTCCGCGCGGAGGCGGCGCTCTCGCAGAGCCAGCGAGAGCGTCCGGCGAGCACGGGCCGCGACGACCCCGTGGCGCGGTCGCTCTTGACGACGCTGGACGCCGAGGAGGACTGCTGGGAGCCCATCGAGGGCCTCGAGTCCGGGAACCCGAAGAAGCGCAAGAAGCCGCCGCTCGGGGGGACGCCGGCGCGCAAGCAGACCAAGCCCCGTCCCGCGGAGACCGCGGACGGCTTCACCTCGGCCCCCGTGGCCCGCGTGCCCCTCACGTCGCTCTCCGTGGCCTTCGGCTCCCTCGGCTTCAACCCGCCCCGCATCCAGCCCGCGTCGGGCTTCCCGGCGCCGCGGCCGGCCTGCGGCCAGGGCGGCGGCGCGCCGCGGCCGGAGACGCCGGCGACGCCGCTCCCGCGCGACGAGGTCCTGCGATAACCGCCTTCGCCTCATCGTTAGTCGGGTCGAGGGGGGGATGGGGCAGCACCAGGTGATGCGTCGTTCCGCGCACGCGAGTTCAAAGTCCGAGCCGCCGGCGCTCCGCGGGCCGCGCGCCTCTCCCGCTCGGGACGGATCCCTGCTTTTGAGACGCCCCGCCCGTCCGGTCAGCGCCCCGGACCGCCGGCGCCGGGCGCCCGGCGGGGGGCGGGCGGCGCCCCGCCCGCCGGACCCCTGGAGGGGCCGCGGCTGCCACACGCGAAGGCGGAACGTTAAGATTGGATTTCGTCACCGTCGAACTTCGCCGCAAAGTTCGGACGAACGATTGCCTGAGCTTTCGGATGGAGAGGCCGATACCTCTTCTCGCGTATCTCGGGGACATGGCAAGCATGTTGAAGATCTCTGTGGCAATTATGGGAAGCTCTCGCTTGGCTGGCCCAACCGAGCTCAACCTCGCTAGCCGTCGCAAAACGGGCTCGACCTAGCTCTATCGACCGTCTCGAGCTGCCATCTGACGCAATGGCAGCCCTGGACGACGACACCACAGAGGCGACACCACTGCGCATCTGGGAGCTCGAAACGACGGCGGCGGCCGTGCGGGACCGGCGGCTCAAGAGCGCGCACACGGCCGAGGGCGCGGCCCTGCGGCGGCGGCTGGCCGCCTGCGGCGACGCCGGCGCGCGGCTCCTGCGGCGCCTGCTCGCCGCGGAGCCCGACGCCAAGGCGCTGCCCAACGACTACGCGTTCGATGAGAATTTATCCGTGCGCCAGGCGTCGCGCGTCGCCGACGGGAACTGCCTCGGCGCCCAGGTCTGGGAGTGCGGCGCCGTCCTCGCGGACTGGCTCGAGCGCCGGCCGGACGTCGTCGCCGGCGAGCGGGTCCTCGAGCTCGGCGCGGGCCTCGGCCTCGTCGGCAAGGTCGCGGCGCGCGGCGCGGCGAGCGTGCTCCTCACGGACGTCTGGGGCGTGCCCGACGCGCCCGGCTGGGCGTCGCTGGACTGGAACGACGCGGCGGCCGTCGCGGCCCTCCGCGAAAACTTCGCCGGCGGCGCGCCGGACGTCGTCGTCGCCGCGGACGTCGTCTACTCGGACGGCGCCGCGGGGCTCCCCGCGGCGCTCCGGTCGCTCGGCGCGGGCCGCGTCTACGTCGCCTACAAGCACCGGCGCGCGAGGGACGCCGCGGCCTGGCGCGACCTCGAGCGCGACTTCGCGATCGTCGAGGAGTCGGACCCGCTCCTCGCCGTCGTCCGCGACTGCTGCCGCGTCGCGATCCTCCGCCTCGAGCCGCGACGATGACGCGCGAGGAAGGACGCTCGGAGCCACTCGTAATTTGTTACACTGTACGCGAGTGGATTTGGGGGGCGACGCGGGCGGCACCTTGGATCACGAGTCGTAGAAGCACTGGCCGCCCCAGCAGTCGAGGCCGCCGGCCTCGATGACGCGGATCGCGTTCGCGCAGCCCGGCGTGTTGAAGGGGAGCCCCGCGGTGGCGACGATGCGGTCCCGGGGGTCGTTGACGAGGTGCTTCTTGTGCGCCAACGCCAACCCCGCCTCGAGCATCTTGTAGAAGGTCGACGACCGCTCCGTGGCGACGACGGCCGGGTCGAGGAGCGCCGGGTAGACGTAGGCGGAGAGCGTCAACGCGCGCGCGACGTCCGGCGACGGCGTCACGGCGAGGATGGGCACGCCCGGCTTGAGGCGGGCCATGCGCTGCGCGGCGGACCCCGTCGTCGTGAAGACGAGGAGGGCCTTGGCGTCGAGGGACGACGCGAGGCTCGACGCCGCGAGCGCGAGCGCGTCGAGGTCCGAGTCGTCGTCGAGCTCCGGCCGGAAGCCGCCGATCGCGTGCTCCTTCACGAGCGCCTTGTGGCGCGGCGCCGTCTCGACGCGCTCGACGAGGCGCCGCTGCATGGCGACGGACTCCTCGGGGTACTTGCCCGCCGCGGACTCGCCGGAGAGCATGATCGCGTCGCAGCCGTCGAAGATCGCCGTCGCGACGTCCGAACACTCGGCCCGCGTCGGCGCGGGCGAGTCGATCATGGACTCGAGCATCTGCGTCGCGACGATGACGGGCTTGCCCTGGCGGCGGCACTCCTCGATGATCTCCTTCTGCACGATGGGCACGTCCTCGGGCGCGCACTCGACGCCCAAATCGCCGCGCGCGACCATGATGCCGTCGCAGACGTCGACGAGGGCGCGGAGCATGGCCGGCTCCACGGCCTGGGGCTTCTCGAGCTTCGCGAGAAGCTTGGCGTTGGAGCGTCCATTGATGCGGCGCTTGAGCTCGAGCATGTCCTCCGGTCTTTGCACGAAGCTCAGCGCGATCCAGTCGACGGTGACGCCCTGGAAGCCCTCCATGAGGAACTCCAGGTCCTCGATGTCCTTGGGCGTCATCGCACTGCAGGGGACGACCGTGTCCGGGAGGTTGAAGCCCTTGCGGCTGCTGAGCCACGCGTCGTTCTGCACGACGGTGTCGACGAAGCCCGGGCCCTTGGCCTCGACCTCGACGCGGAGCTTGCCGTCGTCGAGGAGGATGGCGTCGCCGACGTTCAGCGCCTCGAGCACCTCCGGGTGCGGCAGGCTCACGCGGCGGCCGTCGCCGGGCGCGTCGACGTCGAGGTCGAAGCGGTACTTGTCGCCGCGCTCGAGAAAGACCTTGGGCGCGGACTCGGGGAACATGCCCACGCGGTGCTTCGGGCCCTGCAGGTCCGCGAGGATGCCGATGGGGTGGTCGTACTTGGCCTCGATGGAGCGCACGATGCGGGACGCCTCGAGCTTGTCCTCGGCGCCGTGGCTCAGGTTCATGCGGAACACGTCCGTGCCCGCGAGGAAGAGCTTCTCGATCATCTCCGGCGACGCGGACGCCGGGCCCAGCGTCGACACCTGCTTGACGCCCTTGCGGAAGCGCGCGTCGGAGATGTCGCCCGCCGCGGGCAGCGAGTGCAGGAAGTCCGTCGCCGTGACCGATTCCTGAGCCGTCGGCGCCGTCGTGAGCCACGACGGCCCCGTGTTCATGTGCAGCGTCGTGCGCGAAGGCGTGCGCACCGACGCGCGCGGGCCGGGGCGCGTCAGCGCGGCCGCATTGCCAAACAGGATTGCAGCCAACAGGCGCATTGAAGCCATCGTAGGCCGCGCTCGCAGTGCGAGTGTGAGAATCTGATCGACGTAAGATCGACGTAAGCGCGTAATGTTGAGCCGTCGTTGCACTAGAAGTTGTCGGCAACAAATTTCGCGGCGGCGTGTCCAGGAGCCTGTCCTCGCGCCCCGACCTCGCGCCTTCGCCTGCACACAAGTACGCGGCCCTCATTTACACGGAGATCGTGTCCGGCACCTCGGGCCGCTGGCTCTCGGAGGGCCGCTCGTCGTCGCCCTTCTTCAGGGGCGAGAAGCGGCCGAGCGCGGGCAGCCGCGGCGTCGCCTGCCCCTGGGATATGGACAGGGGCCCGACGGAGCCGCCGCTCGACGGCGTCGCGGGCGGCGCGTAGCCGCCGTAGTCCTCGGACGCGCTGAGGCGCGGCACGGAGAACATCGTCGACCGCGTCGCGTCGTCCATCTTGGGCAGCGCGAGCGACGAGTCGAGCGTCGCCGGGAGGTCGCGCGTGCGCCCGAAGAGGCACACGATCGCCACGCAGATGAGCGAGATCGCGTTGAGGTCCTGCGAAAAGTCCGCGGCCCGGTCCTGGTGGCGCAGGCTCCCGAGCGAGAGGCCGACGTTGCCGAACGCGGACGTGATCTCGAAGAGCGCGAAGAAGAGCGCCGCGGACGTCGTCTGCTGGTGGCCGTCGTCGTCGCCGCCGGAGACCGTCGCGTCGATGGTCGCCTGCTTGGCGGCGCCCGGCCGGTAGCCCTCGGCGGCGGCGACGGCGACCCACGCGCTGAAGATGATGAGCGCGTCCTTCGCGGCGCCCGACACGCGCGTCGCGTCCCTCAGCAACCGGCGGACGTGGTAGCGCAGGGCGCTGTACCGCAACGCGACGCGCTCGCGGAGGGGCGCCTTGTCGTCGGGGTACTTGAGCATGAGGAGCAGCCGCGTGTCGACCATCGCGTCCTCGTCCGCCTCCTCGCGGAGCCCGTCGACCGTCGGCGCGCGGCGCCGCGCGCGCGCGAAGAAGAAGTCGCTGTCCGCGCGGGGGAGGCTCGGGCGGAGCTGGGGCGACGCCGCGGGCTCGGGCTCGCGGCTCAGGAGCGCGCGCGACAGGAGCCGGCCGCGGAAGTGGTTCCGCCGCGAGTGGCGCGCCTCGCCGCGGCGCCGCGACGACCGGCTCCGCCGGCTCCGCGCGCCGCCGTGGCCGAAGCGCTCGAGCAGATCGTCGGGCGCGTCGCCGGCGGGCGGGCCCCGGGCCGACGGCCGCGGCGTGCCCTCGCGCGACGCCTCGCGCGACCGCCGCGCGCGCTCGTCGACGGTCGCGCGGCGCGCGTTGCCCCGGAGCAGCGCCGACGTCGTCCGGAGCACGACGACGTAGGGCACGGGCGCGAGCCACATGTTGAGCAGCTGGACGAGGAGCGTGCCCCCTCTGAGCTTGTCGAGCTCGAGCGCCGTCGACCCCGCGTGGCGCGTGTTGATGGCCTCGAAGGCGGCGAGGCCGAGCTTGCGGCCGTACCACATGCCCCGGTAGCCCTCGTCGCCCCAGCTCAGCGTGAGCGTCGCCGCGATCTGGAGCGCGAAGAGGCCGAACTGCATCGACAGGAGGAGCCACGTCTGCTGCGACACGAAGAGGCACGAGTAGCACTCGCGGCCGTGGAGCAGGAGGTAGCGGTAGAAGATCTTGCGGTTGCTGCCCCGCGGCGCGGCCGCCGACAGGCAGACGACGATCCAGCGCACCATCGCCGGGTACAAGACGTTCCCGAGTAAGGCGCAGAACGCGACGAGGAACAGGAGCATGCCGTGGGACTCGAAGCCCTGGAAGCTCTTCGCCTGGAGCGTGAGCCCGCAGTTCGTGAAGGACGACACGACGGTGAACGCGGACCACTGCCAGACCGCGACGCCCGCCTCGCCGGGCCCGAGCTTCTCCGCGGAGTGCGTGACGTCGACGTACCAGTTCAGCGCGCCGAAGAACACGAGGTAGACGACGACCTGGTAGACGACGACGACGCGCACGAGGAGCACGAGGGCCTTGTACTCCACGAGCCACTGCGGCACGACGCGGTAGTGGTCCAGGTCGAAGGTCACGTCCGCGACGCGCGACGTCGAGCACCAGCGGAACTTGCGCCGCTTCGGGAGCATGGACGCGAGCATGCGCGGGTCGTCGCAGCGCGGCAAAGCCCGCTCCAGCGCGCGGAGCCGCAGGACGACGGGCACGAGGCTCAGGACGACCGCGGACCCGAGCTGCATGAGCAGCCCCAGGATGAGCTGGGACGCGGGCCTCAGGTGGTCCAGGGCGATGCTACTTAAACCCGTCGACGTCAGGCAGTTCAGCGCGAGGAACACGCAGTCGAACCAGCCGTGGCGGCCCCGCTCGACGGCGTACAGGCACGTGCCGCCGGCGACGGAGAACCCGACGAGGAACGCGACGACCCAGCGCACGAAGCGGAACTGGCGCGTGCCCTTGAGCCCCGCCTCGGCGTTCGTCACGATGAGCGGGTCGTCCGGCGCGCCGTCGGCGGACCCGCCGTCGACGACGGCGCCGCAGGCGCGCCGCAGGGCGTCGTCGACGGGCGTGTTCATCGGCGGGAGGAAGGCGGCCTCCGCCGGCGCGGCGTCCGCCGCCTCCTCCTCGAAGCCCTCCTCCAGCTTCGTTTCGTCGTCCATCGTCTAGAAGACCACCCTGGTCGAGTCCATAGCCAGTTCCCGAGGGCAGCTTGCTGATTCGCCGGCTGAAGAACAGGGGAAAGGTGCTTGAAATCCATCTGAAAATGCTCTATCAACCTCTAATGGGTTGAAAATGAATGAAACGCGTTGCCCTGACATTGAGATTTCAGCTAAGCCCCTTGATCAATTATCGGCACACGCAGACACCACGGCGACATGTCCGCGGAGGCCCAGGACGTCCCCTTCCGCCAGTACGAGCGCCTCTGCGAGAACTTTCGGCTCCTGCGGCGCAAGTACGACTCCCTCAAGGAGGTGCACCAGGAACTCCTCTGGGGCGAAGCCGTGCTCGCGCACGACGCGGGGCTCGCCGCGGGGCTGCCCGCGGTCGACGAGTCGCTCGTCGAGGAGGCCCACCGCGTCGGCGACGTCACGACGGGCGCGACGCTCGGCTCGGGCGCGTGCGGCAGCGTGCTCGAGGGCGCCTGGCCCGACGGGCGCCCGTGCGCCGTCAAGCGCATCTCGAAGCGGGACGCGAAGACGCTCCAGGTGGTGCGCAACGTCGCGTCGGAGCTCGAGGCGCTGCGGCTCCTGAGCGGCGCGGCGCACGCGCTCGAGCTCCAGGCGGCGCTCGCGTCGCGCGACTACCTCTACTTCGTCGTGGAGCGCTTCGGCGAGGAGCTCTACGCGCTGCTGAAGCGCGACGAGACCGCGCTCACGTCGGCGCAGCAGGCGGGCGTCGTCCACGGCGTCGCCGCGGGGCTCGCGCACATGCACTCGCTGGACCTCGTGCACCGCGACGTCAAGCCGGAGAACGTGCTCCTCGCCGACGCGGGCCGGGGCGGCGGCTTCTGGGACGTCCGCGTGAAGCTCTGCGACCTGGGCCTGTCGACGCGCGTGCCCGCGGCGCCGTCGCCGGCGTGCGTGACGGCGACGCGCGGCGCGAACGGCCGCGAGGGCCCGCGCGCGTGCGCGACGCGCCTCGTGCTCTTCCAGTGCTGCGGGTCCATGGGCTTCTTCGCGCCGGACATGCTCGACCCGGCGGGCTACGACGGCCGCGCCGCGGACGCGTGGAGCCTCGGCTGCCTCGCGCTCGAGCTCGCCGCGGGCACGCGGCTCTTCGCGCGCGTCTGGTTCCGCGAGTACAAGGCGTTCTTCGCCCAGCGCGGCGACCGCGACGGGGAGCACGGCCGCTTCGTGGCCAACCTGGCGCCCCTCGCGCGCGCGCTCCGGGGCCGCGGCGAGCTCGCGGCGCCGCCGGACGTCGCCTGCGACCTCGAGGAGTGCCGGCCCCGGTGCCGCCAGTCGCCGGCCTTCGCCGGCGCGAACGCGTGCCTGGACACGGACGCGGCGACCCGCCGGTCGGCGGCGGACGCGCGCGACGCGCTCGCGGCGACGTACGCGCCCTGACGTTGGCATCGAATTTGCACCGCCCGGGCGATCTCACTTCGACTACCGCTTTCATTTTCGTTGCCCTCCTTTTCTTGCCCTCTTTTTGTTCCCCACGCACAGCTGCCTCATCGTCCCAACGCCAAAAGTCGCCGCCGCCGTCGAATCCCGCCACGTCTCGTCTCGCTTCCCCTCACCCCCCTGCCGCCTTCTTCCATCGAAAGACCCGTCCGTACCGCCACACGCCAACTATCGCCCCATGCTAAGCCAAGCTACATCGTCCGTGTCTGACGGTATTGCACAGGTCGTAACCAATGAGCCAGTTCACCAGGGTTCTGGGGATTGGTGAACATCGAGGGTGGTGTTGGACCGATCGAAAGCCGCGTCGTCTGACCTCTGCGTTTCCGACGTGCGCCGCGACCGCACAAGAGCCGCGCCGCGCGCCGCAGGAACCATGGGCCACCCGCGGACGTGGGTGAACGTGAAGCCCGACGAGTCGCGGGTCCCGAAGAAGCTGCCGCTGGAGATCGTCGAGACGGGCAACGCGGCGGCGAACCGGGCGACGTGCGAGGCGCCGAGCGGCGCGGCGCTGGACGCGCTCAAGGCCCGCGTCGAGGCCCGCGAGGAGGAGCTCTGGCTCGTGTCGAGCGATAGCAAGTTCTACGCGCGCTGGTGCCTCCTCGGCCACACGCCGATGCGGCAGGCGCCGCAGGGCTGCGTGCTCATCCCCGGGTCGCCGACCTACGAGGACGAGGACGGCCAGCTCGCGGCCCAGTCCATGGACAGCGCCCTCATGCTCACGCTCGCCGACCACCTCCAGGCCAACGGCATCCCGACGATCCGCTTCGACTACCGCGGCGTCGGCAAGTCCAAGGGCAAGTACAACACGGTGACGTGCGTCCGCGACATCGTCGCCGCCGTCGCCGCCCTCTGCGGCGGCAACGGCAAGACGGGCCCCTGCGCGCGCTGCGTCATGGTCGCGCACTCCATGGGCGCCGCGAACTCCATCGGCAACATCTACACGCGCGGCTGCAACAAGTTCGTGTCCATCTCCCACGGCCTCGGCTTCGGCATCACGCTGCCCAACGGCACGGCGCGCGACGGCGGCCAGACCTGCAAGCCCGAGAACAACGTGCTGCGCAAGCTCTACAACCGCACGTGCATCTTCTTCACGACGATGCGCATCTCGATCCCCAAGCTCTGGCTCCTCGGCGGCGACGACCACCTGACGCCCCTCCGGGAGCTCCAGGTCTGGATCGAGCGCTACTCGCCGGGCCGCGGCGACCTCTCGACGATCCACACGGTCCGCGGCGTCCGCCACGACTGGCGCGGCCACGAGCTCGAGTGCGCGAAGCAGGTCCTCAAGTGGATCACGGGGCCCGCGAAGGAGATCGTCTTCCGCATGGACTTCGCCACGGGGCCCGTGGACCACGTCTTCGAGTAGGCTCATAAGCTATAGATCGACCGCGCGCATCGCGAGCGCGGCGCGGAGCACGGCCCCGAGGCCCGGGCCCGACCGTTCGAAGCTCGTCGCCGCCGCGGCGTAGGCGCCGGGGTCGTCGTGGACGCCGAAGCCCTTGCAGATGCCCGTCACGACGCCGGACGCGTCGATCGCGCGCTGGAGGCCGGCCCAGGCCGCACGGAGGGCCGGCGCGAAGGTCGCCGCGTCCGCCCAGCCGCGGTCGATCGCCGTCGCGAGCGCGTACACGGCCATGGCGCTGCCGCTCGTCTCCAAGAACGTCGTCGCGTTGTCGACGATCTGGTGCCAGCGGCCGTCCGACGATTGCGTCGCGACCATCGCCGCGAGGTGGTCGAGGAGCGACGCGAGGACCCGAGGCGACGGGCCCGCGAGGAGCACCTCGACCTTCGCCATCAGCAGCCAGCCGTTCGCCCGGCTCCAGGCGCAGCAACTCCTCGCGCCGTCGCGGGCGTCGGCGCCGTGCTTCCGCGGCGCCGCCGGAGCGGCCGCCGAGAGGTGGCCGTCGATGCGGAGCACCTGGTCCGCCGCGAAGGCGAGGAGCGTCGCTCGCACATCGTCGGGCACGTCGAGCGGCGTCCGCGCGAGCCGCGCGGCGAGCGTCGCGCCCATGAAGGCGTCGTCCGCCCAGATCCACCGCCCGCAATTATCGCTGCAGTTGACGCCTTTCGTGTAGCGGTTCCGGCTCGCGGCGCCGTCCTCCCACAGCGTCGGCCAGGGCAGGACGTAGCGCGTCGCGGCGGCCACGGCGATCGCGAGGTCCTGGGCCGACCCGCCGCGCTCCGCGCGGTCCAGGTAGGCCGACGCGAAGAGCGGCACGACGTCGCCGATCGCCGAGCCCCAGGGGATCGTCTCGTTTTTGAGGAGCGGCGCGGCGAAGCCCTCGGCGGCGCGCGCGCCGCCGGGCAGAAACCCGTCCAGCAGCTCGTCCGTCCAGGCGGCGAGCGCGCCTTGCGCGAGCACCCGGGAGGCCTCCCGCATGCCCACGGCGATGATGCCGGTCCCGTAGCTCCAGGCCGCTTCCCCGAAGACTGTGGACGCATTCGGCGCGACGCTGCGCATGATCTTGCCCGCGACGGCGTCGAGGACCTCCAGCGGGTCCCGCGCGGCGACGATCTTGCCCGCGACGGCGTCGAGGACCTCCAGCGGGTCCCGCGCGGCGGCCGCGGCCAAGAACAAGAACCATCGCATTGCCAACACGGTAACTTAGCGCGCTTGAAGCCACCTTGAATTTACGAATTTAAACGATGATGCGGCTGCTCTGGCCGCTCGTCGCCGTAGCAGCCCGCGAGCGGCGCGAGCTGCCGCTCGCGCCGCTCCGGCCCTGGAACCAGTCGAAGCTCCTGCAGCACCTGCACATCCAAAAAAGCGGCGGCACGAGCATCGACGCCTTCTTCGCCGAGCGCCGCGTCGTGGACCGCTACCGCGGCCACAAGCACTTCGACGCGTCCTGCATCGATAAGGACGACGGCGTCATCTTCATGGCGCGGGACCCGACGGCGCGCGCCATCTCCCACTTCCACTTCGTCAAGATGCACGCGTGGACCGCGAGCTACCCGGCGATCCGCGGCGCGCCGTCGCTCACGGCGCTCGCCGCGGCGGGCCGCGGGAACCTGTTCTGGCGCGACGGCGAGGGCCTCGCCAGCTGGCTGAGTGGTACCTACGTCAAGCCGGGCTACCACTGCGACGGCGCCGCGGAGCGCTTCGTCGGCGCGGCCGTCGCGGAGCGCGCGCTCGCGCTCATGCGCCGCGCGACGTGGTTCGGCGTCCTCGAGCGGCCCCGGGACAACGACGTCCTCTTCCGCCGCGTCTTCGGCGTGCCCTTGGACATGCCGCTGAAGAACGACAACCGGCGCTACGACGCGGGCGGCGAGGACACCGCGTTCCTCGGGGAGCTCCACGCGTGGGACCGGTGGCTCTACGCGTGCGCCAACGCCATCCTCGACGCGCGGCTCGCGGGGCGAAGCGCGTTCGCGGTGCCGGACGCCCCGTCGGCGGCGGCGCGGAACCGGTCCGAGGCCGCGCTGCGCGCGTCCGTCGGCGCGCGGCGAAGGCACGAGGCCGAGGACCGCGCGGCCCTCGCGGCGGCCGCCGGCCGCGGCGACGCCGCGCCGCCGTCGCCGCCGCGGCGGAAGAAGCGGCGGCGCGCGAATCGCCTCGGCGGCCTCCGCTGGGCGCTGGGGGCCGCGCCGCGCGTTCACGCTGTAACTTGAAGAGCATGTTGCACAGGGTTGCACCAAACTCTCCGGCTCCGCGCGCCGCGCGCTGCAAGAGCGCAGTTGTCCGCGCAGACGGCTTGCGCGACGTCAAATGGCTCGACGACTGCTGCTGCTCGCAGCGCTGCACCTGACGACGACCGCGAGTCTGACCTTCGGCCGCGGCGCCGGCCCCAAGTGCGACCAGGTCTGGCTCGCGCTCGAGGCAAAGGGCGTCGCCTACGCGACGGAGCGACGAGACGACGACGCGCCGGTCGTGCGCTGGGACGACGGCTCGGAGACGGCGGGCCCGCTGCCCATCATGGAGCGCCTCGACAAGGAGTGCGACGCCGGCGCGCGGCTCTTCGTCAGACCCCGCGCGGGCATCGACCGCGTCCGCGACACGAACCTGAGATTTCGACCCATCTTCCCGCGGAACACGCGCGACTCCGTTGGCGCGCCCTTCATGTACAAGGAGGACGGGTCGCCGACGTCGTTGGACTCCATCCGCGTCACGCTCGAGGAGACCGACGAGCTTTTAGAGGAGAACGCCGAGGGCGACTTCTTCGCCGGCGACGCGCTGACGGCCGTCGACTGCGCCTGGGCGCCCTACCTCGCGCGCATGGCCGTGCAGGTCCCGCTGCTCCACGGCCACTACGCGCGGTCCGCGGAGGAGTACCCCGCGCTGCATCGATGGTTCGAGGCCGTCGAGGCGGAGCTGCCGTGCTTCGGGCCCTGGCTCGACGATATGGCGGCCGCGTGGCGCGACGCGCTCGACGAGCCGCCGGGCGGCTTCCTCGCGACGACCGAGGACGTCGCGCGCGAGGCGGGCCGGGCCGTCGTCGAGATCGACCCCTGGCGCGAGGGGTCCCCGAAAAAGGCCTCCAAGGCCCAGATCGCGGACCTGACGCGAGGCTTATTCTAAATCTTCACGACGACCTTCCCGACCGTCGTGCCCGAGAGCATGTGGTCGATGGCGGCGGGCACGGCGTCGAGGCCCTCGAACGGGCGCTCGTCGACCAAGGACCGGAGCTCGCCGTCGTGGAAGAGCGACAGGACCCGGTCCTTGCAGCCGACGATCGCGGAGAAGTCGGGCCAGGCGTTGCCGATGATCGTCTGGTCGCCCCTCGCGATCGTTTCTTTTTTCCAGAAGAGGTTCGACGTGTCGAGGCCGTGGGCCGCCGTCTCGGCCGCGGCCTCCGGGTTGTGGGGATATTCGGAGATGTAGCCGATCTGCAGCAGCTTGCCCTTGGGACCGAGCGCGCCGAGGGAGGCCTGGAGCATCTTTCCGCCGACGCCCTCGAGGACGACGTCGAAGCCCTCCGGGCAGATCTCCGCGAAGGCTTCCGCGCACTCGCGCTCTTTGTAGTTCACGACAAAGTCGCAGCCGAGAGCCTTCAGGATCCGGGCTTTTTGCTCGCTCGAGCACGTGCCGACCACCGTCGCCCCGTTTTGCTTCGCGATCTGCACCGCGTAGTGGCCCGCGCCGCCGGCCGCCGCCGTGACGAGCACCGTGTCGCCGGCCTTGATCTTGCCCGTCTCCTCGAGCATGGCGCAGGCCGTGAGCGCGGAGATGCGCAGGCCGACGTACTCGGGCGTCGCCTCGGGGATGCGCCAGAGCATGGACGCCTTGCTCGTCGAGTACTCGGCGAACGCCGCGTTCACGAAGCAGACGCTGTCGCCCACGGCGACGTCGCGCACGTCCGCGCCGACGGCGGCGACGAGGCCCACGCCCTCGGCGCCGAGCGCGAAGTCCGCGGCCTCCTTGTTGCCGGCGAACATGTGGTCGCCGCGCGCGCGGAACGTCTCGCAGCCGCCGTTGACGCCCGCGTAGCACACCTGCACGAGCACCTCGTCCGCCGCGAGCTCCGGCGTTTCTACGTTGACCACCTTGGCCACCTCGCCGAAGCTCGAGCCCGTCGCGCCGGCGACGAGGGCATTGTAGCTCGTCGGCACGGGCCGCAGTTCCAGCGCGCTCGGCTTCGCGGCCACGAGCGACAGCAGGGCTGCGCGGTGGGCCCACATGACGAGATCGGGGTGCACGCTGCGGGCCTCTGCGACGCGCAGGGACACGATGGCCAGCGTGGCGCCCGAAGGAATTGAGCATCCGATGGTGCCGTTGTGAGAGCTGTTTGAGGACGATGCTGCCGTTTCCAAATCCTAAATCTGACGGCGCGTGAGCATCGGCTGCCTGACCTGCGTGGAATACTTTTGCAAGCCACATGTGGCTCGTACTATCCTGTTCGCATTGCTCTTCTCGGCTGCCAATGCCATCACGGAGCCGACGGAGCCCATCACGGAGGCGGACGTCGCTGCCGTGCAGCAGGAGTGGAGCGACTCCCTCATCAGCATCGGCAAACACTACACTGACGGTGGCGACTACCAGGCCGTCGCCAAGGCCACGCTCGACAAGCTCTACGGCTACGCGTCGGGCTTCGACGTGCTCTTCAAGCCGACGAAGGCGGCCGACAAGGCCATCCGCCTCACGGAGGCCGAGGCCGCGTCGTACTTCGTCGGCGCGAACGGCGAATGCAGCGAGGACAAGGGCTTCGCCTTGGCGCCCTACACGGCCGTGAGGTGGGAGAACCAGGGCACGATCTTCCACGGCGACTCGGCGACGGCCATGGGCGAGTACTACTTCACGGACGCCGGCGGCGGCGTGACCAAGGCCGAGTACACGTTCCAGTACGCCAAGGCCGCGGACGGCTCCCTGAAGATCGTCGTCCACCACAGCAGCCTGCCCTTCGTCAAGACGTTGCCGCTCGACCCCGAGAACGAAACCACGTACCGCCCCTAGACGGCCCCGCCACCTAAGCTGTATGTACACACCTACCGCTTAAGCTGCTCGCGCAGGCCGCGCTTGCAGAGCGGGCAGTTGAGGTCCGCCGGGGCCCCTCGCAGCGCCGTGTTCTTGACGGACTCCCGGAACCACTTCGCGATGCAGGCCCGATGGAACGTGTGGTCGCAGGGCAGCGCGACGACGTCGCCGTCGCAGGGGCCGAGGCACACGGGGCAGTCGTCCGCCGACGGCGCCGCGGGCCGGCAGTTCGCCGCGACGGCCGATCGCACGAAGCCCTCGGCGACGGCGTCGAGCCGGCTCGGTTCCACGGTGTGCAGGGCGCCGAGGTTGCGCAGGAGGCTCTCCGCCGCCGCCTTGACGTTGGCGTTGTGCGGCAGGCGCCGCAGCGCCGCCATCGCCTTCGCGCCGCCGCCCGACGACCGGATCGCCCGCTCGCACTCGTCGCGGACGGCGAGGTTCGACAGGAGCTTCAGCGCCTCGAAGACGGCGAGCCGGTGGTCCCCATGGGCGTCGAGCGCGGCGAGCGCGGCCTCGACGCCGCCGAGCCGCGCGATCGCCGCGATCGCCTCGCCGCCGCGGAGGCCGACGTAGTCCGACAGCGCTCCCAGCCCCAGCGACTGCGCCAGGGCGCGGCCGCCGTGGGCCTTGACGACGGCGAGCACGGGCTCGCACATCTTCGCGCGCTCCGCCAGCGGCGCCGGCGTCTCCTTGAGCTTCAGGAGGCACGCCTCGGCGAGGCCGCCGTGCGCGGCGCCGAACTCGCGGAGCGTCGCCAGCGTCGCGGCGAAGCCCGCCGCGCGCACCGTCGCCGGCGTCGGCGTCGCGCAGCCCTTGCCACACGATGATTTGTGCGAACACCAGGCCGCGCGCTGGCACTGCGTCGTGCAATATTTGACGGCTTTGCAGCGGCCGCAGCGCAGGAGCTTTTCGGGTTCGGCGCCGCAGTGGGCGCAGCGGCGCTCGAGCCCCTCGAAGGCGGCGAGTTGCTTGAGCTGCTTGAGCTCCTCGTCGATTTCTCGATGAGCTGCGAGCTCGGCTTCCATGCTTTGGTTTACGGGGCAGCCCAACTGTATGATGTTGATGTTCCCGGGCCTAAGCTGAGGTTCAATATATCAGGAATAGGTTTCTTGCTCAACATTTCGGAGTCTGGTGCGACGCCGTCGGCAGATCTGCGTGCGTCTCCGGCGCGTCGGGCTGCCCGTGCTCTGGTGCCAGGGTCCAACAGGAGCGTCGGCCGGGAGGCGCCGAAATAAGCAATGAGCGAGTTCTCGCGGGAGGAGAACATCGAGCGTGCGCGTCCGGCGTCCCGCCGCGCGTCCGGAAGTGGGCAGCCGCGCCGCTTGTTTCACAACCATCGCGCGCCGCCGCAGGCGCGTCCCAGTTCCTCGCGCACCCGAAGGTCGAGGACACGAGCCTCGCGAAACGCGTCCAGTTCCTGAAGACGCAGGGCGCGCGGCCGGCGCCGCGCGCGCGCGCGGCGCCGCGCGAGACTCCCGCGGGTCGTAGGCATCCCCGAGGACTGCATCGAGGCGGCGATCGTGCGCGCGAGCGGCGGCGACGAGGAGCCCGTCGCCGAGGAGCCGCGACATCGAAAGAAGAAGAAGCGGCTGCGCAAGAAGAAGAAGCGGAGCGTCTCCGACGCGGACGCCATCGCCGACGCGCCGGCGGAGAAGCCGAAGGGCGGCCTCCTCGACCGCGCGACGTGCTTCTTCTGCGCGAAGTGAAGTGTAAGCGGCCCCGTTGTTAGCCGCCCCGCGGGGCCGCCGCGCGGCCGCCTCAGGCCGTCCACTTGCAGATGACGTGCTCCGTGCCGACGAGGGCGTACTCCTCGCCGTCGATGACGACCTCGACGACGTCGTAGTCGCGGAAGCGGACCGAGTCGCCCGCGGCGACGGGCACGGGCCCGCGGCCGCCGCCGCGGAGGAGCTTGCCCGGGCCGACCTGGACGACCTCGCCCGTGAGCGAGATCTTGTCCTGGGCGCCGAGGCCCAGCAGCAGGCCCGACGCCGTCGCGCCGGCGTTCTCCGAGACCTTGACGAGGACGTTCGACCCGATGGGCCGCACCGAGTCGGCCGCGAGGTCGCCCGTCCAGACCATGGACACGTCGCGGTCCTTGAGGAGCGTGTGGTCCGCGTTGTCGTAGCGCACGTTCGCGCCGCTGTAGCGGCCCCACATGACCCGGTCGCCCACGGCGCACTGCACGGGCAGGAGCACGCCCGACTCGGGGTCCTCGCGGCCGGGGCCCGCGGACACGACCTCGCCCGTGCTCGCGGGCTCCGACGCGGACCCGAGGATGATGCCGCCGCCCGACGTGTCCTTGATCGGGTCCACCTTGACGAGCAGGTAGTTGGACAGCGGCTCCAGCGGGCCCTCGACCTCGCGCGCCTCGATGGTGTGCGTCGCCGACCGCCGCGCGACCGCGGGCGCGGCTCGTCGCGTCGTCGCGACCAAGGCGTCGCCGGCGACGGCGAGGAGCGCGAGGAGGCGCAGGGACGGCATTCTTGCACGGCTCGACGCCGACGACGATGGTCGCCGCTCTCGACGTCAAGTGCAACAAAGCCTCAATCAATTCCCGCGCCAATGACGCCGTCTGATTGACGCATTGACGTCCATCACCGCTTAAAGAAGGGGCTGTCGAGGAGGGCGCGCGCCGAGAGGAAGGAGAGGCCCGAGCGCTTCGACGCGTCGTTCGCGTTGAGCGCCGTCGCGAGGAGGTCCCAGCCCGCGCCGTCCTTCGCGTCGAGGAGGTCCACGGCGTTGCGCCAGCCCTCCTCCGCGTCGGCGTAGTCGCGGAGCTTGGCGATGTCCCGGTCGAAGATGTCGTCCCAGAGGCGCTTGAGCGTGTCCTGGTCCGCGGCCGGCGGGTCGACGAGGTCGTCGTCCGCGAGCGCGGGCGACAGGAGCAGCTCGAGGAGCACGTAGCCGAGCGCGTTGAGGTCGTCGTTGATCTCCGCCGCCGTCGCCGCCTCGGAGAAGCCCAGGAACTGGAGCTTCACCTCCAGGAGCGGCGCGTTCGTCGGCAGCACGTTCTTGTCCTGGCCCTTCGAGTCGAGCGCGAACGCCGCCGCGCTCAGCGACCGGTGGCTGAAGCCGCTCTCGTGGAGCCGCGCCAGGGCCTCGACCATGCCCCGGGCGACGGCGCGCACGTAGGAATAGCGCTGGCGGAACGTCCAGGCCGCGCCGCCGCCGCCGCCGAAGCCGAAGCCCCGGCGCGGCGGCGGCGGCGCGTAGAGCGGGTTCCCGCGCGCGGTCTTGGGCCCGCACAGGTTCGCGACGGTCGCCGTGCCGCTCCAGTCGAAGATGAGCCAGGACGCGCCGACCTTGGGCGGCTCCGTGCCGAGGTTCGCGACCCAGGCCTCGACGAAGGCCGGGTCCTGCGCGGCGCCGGACCCGAAGAAGCCGCGCTCGTCGTCGTCGAGCGTGCCCCGCAATGCGACGACGCCCCGGGCGCCGCCGCGCTGCGTCTCGAGCTCGCGCGCCGCGACGGCGGCCGCGGTGCCGCTGTACTCGCGGAGCGCGACGCGCGTGTCCTCGCCGCGAGCCCGCGCGCCCGGGTCGTCGACGGCGGCGAGGAAGAGGCGCACGGGCGGGCCGTCGGCCGCGAAGTCGCGCTTCGTCCGCGCGGGCTGCGCCGGGTCCAGCGGGTTCGCCAGCTCGCCGCTGTACTCCCAGTCCGTCACCTCGACGACGCCGAGCTCGCCGATGAAGCGCTCGAGCGTCACCTCCGCCGCGCGGAACTCGCGCATGGATCGTAGGCGCGTGCGGCGGGCGGGCGGGCGCGGCGGCGCGACGAGCGCGCCGACGAGGGCGGCCGCCAGCGCCAGCGGCACGTGCGCGCACCGACACATCATCACGCCGCAAGAGGCCTGAGTTCAATGAGGTAATGATGCACTGCAACAAGTGGTGTGATTTCGGATTGGTTTCGGTGTTTGCGCCCCCCGCCACGCCCGCGCGATCGAAACAAGCACCGAACCCTCCGCGAGATCGCTCCATCCCCCGCGGCCTCCGCGTGGCGCTGTTAGGTAACGTCGCCCCAAGTCCACTTGTCGTCCCCGGCGTCGGCGGCGAGGTCGTCCGCGAAGCCGCGGAACAGGGTCGAGTCGCGCAGGAGCGCCGCGCACTCGGCGATGCCGCGCTCCGCGACGCGGCGGTCCTCGGGCTCGAGCCGCGCCGCGAGGGCGTTTTCGAGCGCGGGCGCGCCGTCGCGCGGCGCGACGCCGGCGACGGCCGCGAACGTCGCCGCGAACGTCGCCGGCCGCCGGAGGTCGGCGCTAAGCGCGACGCGCGTTCTCGGGAGGTGGCGGCGGATGGCCCGGACGTGGGCCGCGTAGTCGTAGCGCCGCAGGCCGTCGAGGAAGCCCGCGGGGCAGCCGCCGGGTCGCCCGTCGAGGACCGCGCGCGCGCAGGCGCCGAGCGCGCGCGCGCGATCGCGCGGCGTCGCGCCGACGGGCTCCTTGACGAAGACGGACTCGGCGACGCTCCGGCAGGCGATGTCCGCGGGCTCTCGGAGCAGGAGCACGACGTCGAGGCCGGCGCCGTGGTCCGCGGCGACCTGGGCCGCGACGGCCTCCGCGTAGGCGACGAAGCCGCCCCACGCGTCCCCAAAGGTCAGCGGATCCGCGTCGACGCGCGGGCCGGCCGAGGTCCAGCGGCCGGCGTAGTCGTCCAAGTCCCCCGTCGCCGTCGACTGGAAGAGCTCCGACGCGTCGCAGGCCGCGCTCGGGCCGCAGACGCCGCCGCCGAGGCCCCCGGGCCGCGACGCGACGCCGCGGCGGTCGACGAGGCCGACGCCGCCGCCGCCGGGCAGCGCGGCCAGCGCCGCGCGGCCGCGCGCGAGGAAGCCCGGCGGCTGCTGCGCGGGCGCGAAGGACGCGCAGTTGCCCACGGCGCAGAGCTCCTGGAGCTCGGCCACCCTGCCGCGCCAGAAGCGGTACCACTGGTGCTCCTTGCGGCCGCCGTCGTCGAAGCCGTGGCTCACGAGGAGCCGGTGGAGGCTCGTCGTGCCGGAGCCGGCGCAGCACGCGACGAGCAGCGTCGGCTGGGCGTACGCCGTGGCGACGACGAGCGGCCAGAGCATGGCGCTGCCCGCCCTTTGAGAAGTGCAATGACAAGAAGTTGCTTTAGCGAGCCAAAACGCTGCAGCAAAGTTGCAGACGCTCGACGGCGCCTGCGTCGCTGCGCGTCGCCTCTGCACATCTGCGCCTCTGCGCGCGTCTGCTTGCCTCTGCGGCGACCGCGTCGCAGCGATGGTCGCGCTGCGCGTCGCCGTGGCGCCGCCCGTCGAGCCGCACTACGCCGAGCAGCTCCTGCGCAGCGCGCTCGCGTCGGCCCACGGCGCGTCCCTCGCCGACGCCCTCGCCGTCGAGTCCTGCGAGCGCTGCGACGACGCGACGGTCGTCGTCGTCGCCGTCGACGCCGCGCGCGTCGTCGACGTCCGCGGCGCGCTCGCGCTCGCGGGCGGCGACGCCGAGGCGAGCGTCCGCGTCGAGGCCGCGGCGGACGCCGCCGCCGACCTGCCGCCGCGCGACGCCGCGGCGGCGACCGTGCCGCTGCGACCGTCGTCGCAGCTGCTGGTCGAGCTCTGGCGATGACGGCCGCCGCGCGCGCGCCCCATAGGCCAGGTAGTTAAATCCATAGGTGATGGGCAAATGGAGCCGTGTCAAGAGCCGAAGGGCCATCCGGCCGACCTTGATTGCGCCATCGAGCGCCCACGGTGGTCGTACACCGCGACTGAAATGTCAGATCCAGGAGCAGTGGGCCGTCGAGCTCGCCGACTCGTCGGACGGCCGCAAGGCCATCGAGGTGCGGCCGTACCACCCGGTTGCGCGCTCGAATCGATCCGGGGAATCTCGATCTTGGCCGTCGCGTTCTCGCGTCAGATCCCGACGCGCACCTGCGGTTTGTCGCGGCAGACATCCGCGAACTTGATGGCGTTCGGCCTGCGCGACGCGCTCAAGGTGCGGCCGCTGTGGCCGGGATCATCAAGACCACGGGAAAGCTCGCCGACGCGCGCGTCGTCGGCATCGTCAAGTTCAGCAACGCCAAGCCCTACGTCTACACGTCCGCGGCCGAGCTCGAGCACCACAAGGACCTCGCCGGAGTGCGTGTCCGCCGGCGAGGACTCCGGGACCTCCTGGGCCTCAGGCTCTCCGAATCGTCATCCGGCGGCTGTACTTGGCCATGTCCGCGCCGCGCGACGCGGAAGCGGTCCTCCCGCGCCCAGGCGTCGTTGAGCAGCTGGGCCGCGTCGTCGTTGCCCAAGGCCGCCTCGACGCGCCCGATGACCCGAGCCTGAGCCACTCTGGGACTCGAGTGTGGGACCCCCGCCTCGGCTGTGGAGGCATCCGAGCAAGCTCCTCGTGTTCACGACGCTCTCCCGGAGCTCCGCCGCCAGCCGCGCCGCCAGCCGCGCCGCCAAACGACCATGAAGCGGATCTTCGGCGCGAAGAAGTCACTGCCGCCGCCGCCGACGCTCGGCGACGCGAGCGCCAAATTAGAAACGCGCACCGCGGGCCTCGACGAGAAGATCAAGAAGCTCGAGGTCGAGCTCGCCGGCTACAAGGAGAAGCTGAAGAAGGCCAAGGGCCCGGCGGCGAAGACGCTCAAGCAGCGCGCCATGGCCGTGCTCAAGCGCAAGAAGATGTACGAGGCCCAGCGCGACCAGCTCGCGGGCCAGGCGTTCAACGTCGAGCAGACGTCGTTCGCGATCGACTCGGTCAAGGACACGCTGACGACCGTCGACGCGATGAAGGCGGCATCGAAGACGCTCAAGACGGAGTTCAAGAAGGTCGACATCGACCAGATCGAGGACGTGCAGGACGACCTCGCGGACATGATGGAGGACATGAACGAGGTCCAGGACGCGCTGGGGCGGTCGTACGGCATCGGCGACGACGTCGACGAGGCGGACCTGGACGCGGAGCTCGCCTGCCTCGACGACGAGCTCGGCATGGACGAGCTGGGTCTGGAGGACTCGACGCCGGCCTACCTCCAGCCCGCGGACCCGGGGGCTTTGCCCGAGCAGCCCACGAATTTGCCGCCGGCGCCGGACGCGAACCCGGCGGCCGCGGTCGACGAGTTCGGCCTCCCCGTCGCCGCCGCGTAGCAGCGCGGGGTAAGTGTTGTTTAGTCGCGCTCGCCGGAGAAGCGGCGCGCTGGTATTAAACGGCAAGGAAAGGACGGCGCCCCAACATGGTGATTGAGAGCATGACATTTAGTCGCGCTCGCCGTCGTCCCCCTGCGACCCGAAGCCCGTCGACTCCTGCATCATGTTGTGGCCCATCATGTCGAGCCGCCCGGCCGCGTGCGCCGCCATGGCGCCGCCGCCGGCGCCGTAGATACCGGAGAGCCGCGCGATCTGCGCGCGCGCGAGGTACTGGCGCACGAGGCAGTCGCGGTCGTAGATCAATCGCGTCCTCATCCACGACGCGCGCTTCGGATTTCGCACCCAGCCCAGGTAGCGGTCCGCCGCGGACGCGCAGGCGTCCGCCGCCGCCTGCGCGCCCGCGTCGTCGCGGGGGAACCGCACGCAGAGCGCGAGGGGCCCGCCGATCGCGCCGGCGTCGTCGCCTCCGTATTGTCTCCGGCCCTCGACGAGGAGCGCCGCCCAGGGCGACGGAGCGTCCGCGGCCGCGGCCGCGCGCACGCCGTTGCGCCACGATCTCGCCTCGTCGTCGAAGAAGGCCGCGTCGTACTCGGCGCGCAGCGCGGCCTGCGAGAAGGCCGCGCGCGACGCCGGCGGATCGTAGACGCCCGACGGCTCGTAGCCCGCGTCCAATCGGTTCCTAAAGTCGATCTCGACCTCGTAGGACTCGTCGACGACCGCGAGGCGCGCGTAGAGGTGCGGCGCCTCGATGGAAGGGCCGTTCCACGCCACGAGCTCGCCGCCCGCGGTCTCGTCGACCATCGCCGAGGCCCACGCGACGTCGCTTTCCGGCGCCTCGAAGCCGACGACGCGGCCCGTCGCGCCGCCGCCGAGGTCGAAGGTCTCGTCGGAGCAGATCTGCGGCGCGAGCGCGTTCTGGAGCTTCGCGTGCACGCCGAGGATGGTGGCGCCGACGTCCAGCGCGAGCGCCGCGGGCAGCAGCAGTGCGTGCAGCATGGCGAGGGCCGCGCGAGGCGGCATAGCTCGACGGCGCGAGCACGGCTAGCGACGTCGCGAGGCAGAACAGAGACGGCTCGAGAATGGCGTGGCTACGCACGAGCAAGCGCGCAATCCATATCACTCAGACGCTGCAAGTTGAAGGCAAAGAGCCCTAAAAATCGTGAAGCTCGCCCGCTTCCCGCAGACGCGCGCCCTCGGCCAGACCGGCAGGCTCGACTCGGCGTCTGCTAGCGAACTTCGCGCGAGCAAGCCACGACGCGCGGAAAGACGAGAGTGTTACGCGTCTACGCCGAGCTCCCGTCGTCGAGGACGTTGTCGAGCGCGAGCGGCCCCGCGAAGAGGCAGCGCGCGGCCGCGAAGGCCGGCCGCGGCGGCTTGCGCGACACGGCGAGCGCCGCGGCGGCGACGTTGCCCGCGAGGCAGGCGGCGCCCGCGGCCTCGAGGGCCGTGAGGTCGACGTCGCCGACGCCGAGCTGCGCGAAGAGCTGCGCCGTCGCGGGCGCGCCCGGCACGGCCAGGAGCGCCAGCACGAGCACGGCGTAGGCGCGGCCCGCGAGGCCCAGCGACGCCGGCGCGAGCACCGCGGGCCAGACCTTCTTCTCAACGGGCTTCGGCGGCGCGGCGGGCCGCGCCGCCTTCTCGCGCATCGCTTGTTCCAGACGGAGCGCCCCCGCCGACGGCGCGGCGCCGCGCTCCGCCCGCCGCGCCTCCTTGGCCGCGCGGTCGAGCTTGATCTGCGTCGCGTTGAGGGCCGCGATGGCCGCGAGCTTGTCCTCCTTGGAGCCGCCGAGCGAGACCGCGCGCTGCGGGCCGTCGCGGACGTAGTCGTCGCTCTGCTCCTTGGGCTTCTTCGGCAGCGAGTAGGCCACGCCCAGGGACCGCGACACGGCCACGTAGCCGCCGCAGTCCATGATGGGCTCGATGAGCGACCCGTAGCCGAACTTCTGCAGCTCCGTGTACGAAAGCGCGTCGCCGGACTCGTCGTCCTCGCTCTCCTTGGGCAGCAGCGACTCGAGGGACAGCATGGCGTTGCCCGCGCGCCAGACGGGGTTGCTCGTCGCCGCCTCGCGCGCCGCCGCCGCCGGGTCGACGACCTCGCCGGAGGCGATGACGCGCTCGCGCTCCGCGAGGTAGGCGCGGATGTCGCCCTCGAGCGCCGCGGGGACGCCCTCGGCATAGAGGCGCAGCATGCGCGTCCGTGGTGCGCGCGGCGGCGCCCAGGCCGTCGCCACGGCGGCGAGCACGAGGGCTGCAATCGTGCGCGACACGGCCATGCTCTGCGGCAATCTTCAAGGACGTCTTCAACGAGAGCTTCAAGCGCGCGAGAGGTCCCAGACTGCGAGGAGGAAACTTGAGTGGGCACGAAAGCATTACCAAGGTAGGTGGATTTCAAGTAGAGCTGCGCCCCCGCCCCCTACGCGAGGACGCCCGTCGTGACGTGCGTGTTGATGCCGCAGGTGCCGTCGCCGCGCTTGATGCGGAAGTAGCCGTCCTCGCCCCACTTGGCGCCCCAGGAGTTCTTGACCGTCCAGTAGTCCTTGCCGCCGTCCGTGCCGTAGCCGACGGCGAGGACCGCGTGGTCGAGCTTGTCCTTGCTGCAGAGCATGGGGCTGTAGACGCCCTTCTTGTAGAACTGGAGCTTCTGGGCGTTGAGGACGACGGAGAGCGGGCCCGTCGCCGCGAGCGCGGCGGCGATCTCCGCCTCGTCCGTCGAGATCGCCTTCCAGGACGCGACCTCGACGGCGAAGCCGTCCTTGGACTCGCAGTAGCCCTTGGGGCCCTGGCCCAGGGTCGTGTTCGCCTCGCAGTAGAGCGGAATGCCCGCGTCGTCGTTCGTGTGGTCGCCGCAGATCTTGACGCTGTAGCCGTCGACCATGCAGGGCAGGCAGTAGCCGGGCTTCCCGTAGTCGATGACCGAGCAGTAGGGCATCTCCGCCTCGGACCGCAGGCCGCCTGCGGAGGGCGACGATGCGCGACCGAAAAACCAAAAGATCGACGGACGCCGCGGGGCGCCGGCGTCCATCAGGTATTCGAAGGCGAGGTAGGGCCAGCCGCCGAACTCGCCGCAGTCCGCCTGGTCCGCCGTCGCGTTGGAGTTCTTGTCGCACTCGAGGATCTGCTCCACGGACAGGTCCGTCGCGTTCTCCCCGGACTTTATCGCGGCCTGGCCCTCGAGGTTCTGGACCGTGCTGAAGATCCAGCAGGTGCCTGCGCGCGCGGAAGGGTCGAGGGACGCGACGCGGGGAGCGCGACGCACCGAGGCTGCCCTGGTCGCGCACGGCCGTCACCGCGCCCTCGTCGCGCCAATCGACGGCGTCGGGCGCGTCGCCGGCCGGGACCGCGAGGCGCGGCGCCGCGGCGAGGTCCGGCGGCGCGCGGCCCTCGCCCATGAGGCGCTGGGCGCGGAACTCGTCCGCGGACAGGTCGCCGAACGCGTTCATCGCGTAGGTCGCCCCGTCCTCGGGGTCGTCGTTCAGCGCGGCGATGGCGGCCGTGTTCTCGACGAAGACGGCGAGGCGCGCCTCGAACTCGGCCGCGCCCTCGTAGGTGCGGCCGTGGGCCGCCATCCAGGCGCGGAAGGCGGGCTCCGAGGCCGCGGCCGTCGACGCGAGGAGCAGGGATTTAAGTAGCATAATGTATTCTCGCGAGTCGGGCTGCTGGTCTGCGGCATCGTCGGCTCCCACAAAATCAACATTGTTCTCAGTGAAGCGGCGGCAGCCACCCACACAGCCGGGCTGCTCTCGTCGACGCCGCTGTCGTCGTCGTCCGCCGCCGTCCGCCGCCGCCGCCGCGCGCGCCCGCCGGCGGCGCGGGCGTCGCCGCGGCGTCCGCGACCGCGACGGCCATGGTGTCGGCGGCCCTCGCCTGGGAGCTCGTGGTGACGGCGCTGCTCTGCGCGTCGGTGGCGACGTGCATCCTGCTCGACGCGGCGTCGATCTACAAGGTCCTGCAGAAGATCCGGCTCTACGTCTACGGCGCCCTGCTCATGGTCTTCGGGCGCGACAAGCGCTGGACGCGGCGGCCGCTCGACACCGCGACGCTCGCGGCGCTCGGTCCCACGAAGACGAAGCGGATCATCTTCATCCGCCACGGCGAGAGCGAGTGGAACCTCATCTTCAACAAGGGGCCGAAGCCCCTGCTGCCCTTCAAGGCGATTTTGGGTTTGGTGCGCGAAATCAAGATGTTCTTCGCGCTCGACATGGGCTCGGTGCTGTACGATTCGCCGTTGAACCAGGAGGGCCTCGAGCAGGCGCAGGAGCTCGCGTCGCTGCTCCGGGGCGACGCGGACTGGGGCGACGTGCCGGACCCGGCCCAGCGCGACGCCGACGCCGCGACGCTGCGGGGCGGGGCCGACGCGCCGCTCAGTAGCGTCGTCGCGAGCAGCAACCTGCGGCGCGCGCTGCAGACGTGCGCGCTCGCGCTGCAGGCGCGCGTCGGCGCGAAGCGCGCCGAGGACCGCGTCCACGTGCTCAACTGCCTCCAGGAGGTGTCGACGAACATCGACACGATCTCGCTCGTGCCGCCGGGCGCGCTGCCGCAGCTCCCGCGCGTGCCGGCCGCGCTCCAGGCGCCCGAGAGCTTCGACCTCACGATGCAGGGCGGCAACAAGAACGTGCGCGCCTACGGCCAGCAGCGCCTCGACGCCTTTGCCGAGTGGGCCTTCACGCGGCCCGAGGACTGCGTCATCGTCGCGGGCCACAGCCTCTTCTTCCAGTACTTCTTCAAGGAGTACCTCCCGAGCGACGTCGACCACGTGTCGAAGAAGTTCAAGGTCGCCAACGGCGGCATCGTCGCCTGCGTCCTCGAGAAGGGCCAGCTCTCCACGGGCCGCGAGGTCCTCGCCGTGAAGCCCGAGTCCATCGCCACGGTCCACAAGGGCTTCGACCTGAAGAAGAAGACCAAGGAGAAGAAGGCGTAGGAGGCCCGGTGGGGGGCGTTCCCTGCGGTCTAAGGCGCCTTAGGAGCCCCGGTCTCCGGCGTGCTCTCGGGCTCGGACTCGGGCAGGACGTACTCGTAGAGCTCGAGCTCCGTGTCGTAGGCGCGATGGTGCGCGGGGTTCACGTAGGGCGAGTCCTCGCGGAAGTCGTGGAGCAGCGCCTCGGGCGACGCCGCGCGCATGACCTTGTAGTGCAGGTGGCTCCGGTCGCGGCCCTCCGTGACGAAGGGCACGTAGGTGAGCTGGATCTCCGCGACGGTGTCGACGGCCGCGGCGCCGTCGGCCTCGCGCATGAGGAACGTCCGGCAGCACTTCGCGAGCGTCGCGTCCCAGGTGCTCTGCGACTCGATGTAGGTCGCCCAGAGCTTGCCCGCGCCGTCGCGGAGGTCCGCGAGCGTCGCGGGCGCGCGGAACAGCACGTTGACGAGGATCGCCGCGTAGCCGTAGGCGGCCCTGCGCGCGGCCGCCGCGGCCTCCGTCGCCGCAAAGCCGTTCTTCACGCGGAGCACGGGGAAGGCTTGCTTTAGTAGCTCCAGGTTCGCGAGGACGGCGTCCGTGGAGTCGCCCGCGACCATGGCGCGGACGACGTCCGCGGCCCGCGCGGTCCGCGGCGGCGGCTCGGCCGCGTACTCGTGGTCCGCCTGGGCAGCAAAAGAGTGATTCAACATAGCTTAAACGTGAGTGTTTCGCGCGCGCGTAGTCCGGAAAAGCATCCACGCTTCGAGACCGCTCCGAGAGATGATCGCTCGTCCAAAAATCAGCCAAAACGAGTGAAAATCGGCCGAGATAGGAGCCTTTGAAGTTGGGAATTTCGCTCTCTTTTGCTGCCCTGTGGTCCGCCTTCTCGACGACGCGCGATATCTTCTTCACGGCGCCGACGGCCACGTCCCGGCCCGGGAAGGTCTCCTCGACGGCGCGCCGGAAGTACTTGCGGACCGCGGCGCCGAGCATCGCGCAAAAGTGCGCGTAGGCGAGGTCGCACGCGTCCGCGTCGAGCGTCGACGCGCCGAGCTCTTTCGCGCCGCGTGCCTCGAGCCAGGCCCGGAAGCCGCGGCAGAGCGTCGAGTGGTCGTCCGTGCGTAGAGCGGCACCCGACGCGTCCGGCGCGGCGCCGAGGCTGGAGGCGAGCGACCGGGACGCGTAGATCCGGTCGAGCTCGCCTCGGATCTTCTCGAGGCGATGCGCCGACGCCGCGCGCGCGAGGAGGAAGGTCCAGTAGTCGGCGCCGCAGGCCGCCGTGTTCATGTTGAACCGCTCGAGGAACCACTTCTTCGCGACGGCCTTGGCGGGTTCCGAGTACTCGACGGCGCCCGTCGCCTACGGAACGCGTCGGTGGAATTTCCCGGTCGACATCTCTCGAAACACGCCGCCCGTCGCGAGGAGCGCGACGACCCAATCCGCGACCTCGTAGTACGACGCGTCGACGTCGACGTCCGCGTCCGCGGCGAAATCCCAGGCCTCCCGCACCTTGGCGCTCCGGCCCCGCACGTTCGCGGCCATCTTCTGCCGCACGTCGACGCCCGCGACGACGGGGTCCTCGAAGAAGTCCGCGTGCAGGAAGTCGAGCGTCGCCGTCGTTCCGTCCGTCGACGCGCAGATCGCGGGCCAGAGGAACGCGCCGCGCTTCGCGTAGACGCGGTCGCCGGCGGCGGGCGCCTTGGCCTGCGGCCGGTAGGCGACGAGCGCGGCGCAGAGCTCGGCGCTCGGCGCCGCGGCCTCGTCGCGCCACCGGTCGCCCGCGCCGGCCCTGGCGACGACGGCGTCGACGACGGCGCGGAGGCCGCTCTTCGCCGCGGCGCTCTGGCTGCGCACGGCGCAGAGCGCCACGAAGAGCGCCTCGCGCCGCGACGACCCGTCGCCCGAGTCCGCCGTCGCCGTTTCGATGACCTGTTCCATGTCCGCCTGCCAGGCGCTTTGGGTGAAGCCCTTCCGGGTGTCATCCTGCGCGCCCGTGACGAGGGCGACCACCGTCTCCGGCGGCACGTCCGCGGGCACGGAGGCGCCGGCGCCCATCACACCACGGCTATGGCGCCCGCACAATGCCCGGCTGCGGTGGGCTGCCTCGTCCGAAGAGCGTGCGAGGTTGCGAGTTTCGGGGGCTGCAATGCGTCCTCAACGTTGATGCGCCTCCGGCTTGGATTGCTCTGCGAGATGGTCCGTCTCTCTGCGCTATAAGCTACGCGTTCAGAACCTTACCATGCAGATTGACGATTCTCTCTGGCAGGACTGTCATGGGCTACCTTGCTGGGCGCCCTGGTCCGTCGACAGTACGACCAGCGGCCGCTGGAAGTACTTTCCGGCGCACCTGCTAGCGCCGGAGGAGTGCCCGCGGAAGCATGCATGGCTGCCGCTCGACGGAGCGGGAGACATGTGCCTTGTTGAGTGGGACGACGGCACGTCCAAGCTAAACATTCTACCTCGAGAGCTCATACTTTCGCGTTTCGACGGTGATGGACCCGAGCCGGCGCTGCCGCGGCCGTCGTTGGAGAAACGGGAACAAATAATGAAATGCGGCTATCAGGAACATTGGCTCGAGCCGATCGACGTGCCCGAGCCGTCGCCGCCCGCGCCCGCGCCGACGCCGCCCGCGCCGGCGACGGCGCCGCCGCGGCGCCCCCGCGCGCCCGCGGCGCCCGCGCCGACGCCGCGCGCGCGGGCCTCGGACGCGCCGCCGCCGTTCGTCGCCGACGGCGCGCAGCCGCTGAAGCGGCCGCGCCACCGCGAGCCGGCGCCGGCCCACGCCGCGCCGCCGCGCGCCGCCGCGCCGCCGCCGCCTCGGCCTCGGCCGCCCGTCGCGGAGCCCGCGCGCCCGGCCGCCGCGCGGCCCGCGCCGCCGCCGCCGGCCCGCGACGCGCCGCACGTCGCCGCGCCGCACGTCGCTCCGCCGCCGCCGCCGCGTCGCGCCGCGCCGCCCGCCGCCGCGCCGCGCGAGCCGCCCGCGCGGCCGCCGGTCGCCGAGCTCCGCGTCCGGGTGCCCCGCGACTTCGCGGCGCCGGGATCCGGCCCCTACGGCTCCATCACGCCCGAGGAGCTACGCGCCATGGAGCTCGTCCCGCGCGACGCGCCGTGCACCGTCGTCGACGACGCCACCGGCGACGTGCTGCTCCGCGTCGCGCCGATCGCGGCGCGGAGCGACGCGGCGCGGCTCTCCGCGCGCGTCGCCAAGTTGTTCGTCGCGCGCGCGGCGTTGGTGGATCCGACGCAGCGTTCCCACCCGGGCCGCTATTATTCTCACGGCATCGCGCGGACGGTCAACGATTCGGGGAAGCTCGCGTACTACGGCCCGTTGCGAACCCGCGCGCATTTCCGCCACGCGAAACAGTTCCACCAGGAGCTGCAGGTCCAGATCGCCAGGAAGCTGGCGGAGCTCATGGGCGAGGCCGAGCGCGCCTTTGGCCGCGACGTCACGGCTGAGCTCGACGAGGTCGCCTCGCTCCGCGCCGCCTACGACGGCGACCGGCTCCCTACGTCCGCGGCGTTTAGCATCGGCCTGAACAACGCATATCATCGCGACCGCGGCGACGTACGCGACGGTCCGCTGTCGTGGACGACGATCGTGTCCATCGACCTCGGCGCCGTGCTGGCCGACGACCCCTGCGCCTACGTTCCCGCGAGGCGGAGCGCGAAGGCGCCGTCGCGCGCGGGCGACGGCGCCTACCGGGACGAGTTCGAGCGCTTCGTCGAGGACCGCTACCGCGAGCACGTCGAAGGTCGCGGCGGCTCGACGCCGCCGATCTGGCAATTCAGCGTGAACCGCGCGGTCGCCGTCGACCTCCGGGGCCGCGGCCGCGGCGTCTTCCTCCGGCTCCAGGCCGGCCGGCATCACCACGGGACGACCCTGCGGGGCGACTCCTACGCCGCCGACCTGCTCTGCGGCTTGGCCATCTACTCCTCGGCCCCCGTCGTCGGGCCCATGAAGACGCGGCGCGCGGAGCACTACGAGGCCATCGCGAACGAGCCCGAGCTCGGCGAGACCGAGTTCGTCGCCGACGCCCCCGAGGACGACCTCCCCGCCGGCGCCGAACCGGACTCCGAGTCGGAACGCGACGCGTCGGACTCCGACTAAGGTGCCCCTTAGACGCGGCGGGCGGACGATGCGTGCGGCGGCGCGCCTACTCGTCGGAGAAGATGTCCTCGTCGGGCTCGGCGAAGCAGGAGAGGAGCGCGTCGAGCTGGATGCCCTTGGCCGACGTCTCCTTGCGTTTCTGGTTGTGCGCGTTCGGCGCGAACGTCGCGTTCGCGGCGTCGGCGGACGGGAGGAGGAGGCCGCCCGGCGGCGGGCTCTTGGCGAGGCCCGCGGCGGCGGCCGCGTCGATGCCGAGGACCTCGGCGAGGAGGTCGAGGGGCACGCGCTCGAAGGTCTGGGACAGGAGGTCGAGGAGGTAGCGGCGGACCGCCGCGGTGAAGCCCGGCACGAGGTCCGCGACGGCCTTGGCGCCGACCTTCTCGCGCGCGGCGGCCCAGAACTCGGCGAACTTGGACGCCTCGAGGAGCGCGTCGCAGGCGGCGAGCTTCGCCGCCAGGGGGCACCGCTCGACGAGCGCCTCGGGCACGACGTAGAGCAGGCTCGTGAGGTCGCCCGCGGGCCGCGCCATCATGGCCTTGGCGAGGACGAGGGCCAGCACCTCGTCGCTACACCTCGCGGGCGTGAACTGGTAGAGCTTCATGAGCGCCTTGTTCGCCAGGGCGTCGTAGGTCTTGCCGCTCACCTGGGCGGCGACGTAGGACTCGAGCACGGGCACGGACGCCTCGGCGTACTGCTCCGCGGACCCGAGGAGGGCCTCGATCTTCTCCGGCCGCGACAGCGGCGCGCAGGCGGCCTCGATCTCGACCGCGACCATGGTGTTGAGGGCGGCGGGGGCGCGACGAGCTACACCTCGAGCTCTAAAATCGCCGACAGCTCGCGAGCTGAGCCAGTGTTTGCCGGGTTGCAGCCCGTGTTTGCCCCCCAGCCCAAGCTCTCCGGCCATGGCCATCGGATTCCGCCCGTCGTCGCGTACCGCGCCAATCGCATAAGCCTCGGTACGAGCACGCATCCACGCGAGAGCTCCGGAAAAACGAAGACCATGCTGTCCCTCTGCCCCTGCGTGCGCGACGACCGCGCCGAGGTGGCGCAGCGCGCCGCCGAGCTCGTGAAGAACCCGCTGCCGGCCATGTCGGGCGGCGCGGACACGCGGAAATTCGGCGACCCCGTCGAGGGCTGGCTGCAGCGCGTCGTCGACGGCGACGAGTGCGAGGCCGTCTGGTGCTGCTTGCGCGAGCGCCACCTGTACTACTACGCGAAGCAGCCGCGGAAGGGCGCGCCGCGCAAGCCCCTGGGCTACGTGGACCTGCGCGAGGGCGCGCGGCTGCGCGACGGGGAGAAGACCGTCGCCAAGGCGAGCGGGCGCGGCCTCGAGTCGTTCCACTCCGCGACGCCGGACGCGGCGACGGACTCCGGCGCGTCGTTCTTCGGCGCGTTCTTCGGCGACGGCGACGCGCTCCAGTTCTCCGTGCGCGAGGGCACGTCGCTCCTCAACGCGACCTTCGTGTGCGACGGCGCGCCCAAGCACCGGCTCTGGCTCGCGGAGCTCGCGGCCGCCGTCGACGGCCGCGTGCACCGGTCCGCGCAGCACCGGGGCCACGCGCCGCCGCCGCCGCCGCCGCCGTCGGCGGCGCGCCGGTTGACGCGCAGCGCGTCGAGCGGCGCGGAGCGGGCCTCGAATGAAAGCTTCGGCGACGACGCGTACCACGTGGACCTGCCGACGCTCGCGGGGCCGCTCCGGAAGAAGGCCATCGGCCGCGGCGTCATCCTGTCGAACCGCAAGGGCTGGAAGGACCGCTGGTTCAAGCTCGAGGGCGGCGTGCTGCGCTACTACAAGGACGACACGTATCGGCCGGAGTCGATGAAGGGCGAGGTCTGCCTCGCGGGGTGCTCCGTGGCCCGGGGCACCGCGGACGACCGGAAGAAGGTCGACCCGAAGCGGCTCTGCGTCACGCTGCCCGAGGGCCGCTACCTCAAGCTCGCGGCGCGGAACGAGGCCGACGCCGAGGCCTGGACGGGCGCGATCTGCGACTCCATCGCGATCCTCGCCGCGCGCGCGAGGCGCGGCGGCGAACGCGCGTCGCCCGCGCCCCGGGATTCGCCGCGCAAGGCGGCGGGCCTGGGCATCGGCGAGGCGCCGCACCACCGGCGCCCGCTGATCTACGGCGCCGACCTCGAGGGCAAGTCGCTGGCGAAGCGCCGCGCGGAGCGCGACGCGGTCCTCGCCGACGGCGCCGTCGACGCCGCGGGCGCGCGCGCGATCAAGCGCGCCATGGCCGCCGCGCGGGAGCGCGCGGCCTTCCTGTTCTCGCCCGACGGCGGCGATCTGGACGCGGAGCTCGAACGAAAGCTCCTGGACGCGTTCGCGCCCGAGGTCCACGAGGCGGGCGACGTCGTCGTCTGGCAGGGCGACTGGGGCGACGCGTACTACGCCGTCGAGAGCGGCGCCGTGGAGATTCTCGTGGACGGGTCGCGGCCGGACCGCATGGCGCCGATCACGTCCGGCGGCGGCTTCGGGGAGCTCGCGCTCGCGCTCGGCACGCGGCGCGCGGCGACGGCGCGGTGCGTCGTCCGGGCCAAGGTCTGGAGCCTCACGCGGTCCCGGTACCGGTCCACGCTCGGCGCCGCGGCCCACGCCTCGCGCAAGGGCCGCGTGGAATTCCTGCGGTCCGTCGAGCTCTTCAAGATCCTCAGCGACACGGCCCTCGAGAAGCTCGCGGGCGCGTTGACCGAAAAAGTCTACGCGGGCGGCGCGGTCCTCATCAAGGAGGGCGAGGTCGGCGACGCTTTTTACGTCGTCAACGTCGGCGTCGTCGAGGTGACGACGAAGGCCGGGTTCCGGGGCGCGCTCGAGACGGGCGCGGGCTTCGGCGAGAAGGCGCTGCTCGACGACGCGCCGCGCGCGGCCACCGTGAAAGTCAAGTCGTCGAGCGCGTCCATGCTCGTGCTCAACAAGAAGCAGTTCCTGTCGATCGTCGGCCCCGCGCGCGCCGTCGTCGAGAACGCGACGCGCGCGCGGCTCCTCCGGCGCGTGAAGCTCTTCGGCGACGCGCTCAGCGACGCGAAGATCGACGGCCTCGCGCGCGTCATGAGCGAGGCGTCCGTGGACCGCGGCGCCCACGTGCTGCGCAAGGGCGACATCGGCGACGCCTTCTACGTGCTGAAGCGGGGGAGAGTCGGGGTCGTCGACGACAAGGGCGCGCTCGTCGCGGAGCTCGGCGAGGGCGCGTACTTCGGCGAGACGGCCATCCTCAAGGACACGCCGCGGAACGCGGACGTCGTCGCTTTGGAGCCCTGCGGTTTATTGAAGCTGACGCGCGACGACTTCGTGAAGCTCCTGGGCCCGCTCGAGGACGCGCTGAACGCGGAGGCGGAGCGGCGCCGCGCGGACCTCGAGCGGTCGAACAGGCTCAAGAGCGGGCTCAAGAATTTCGGCAACACGGTCGCCGCGGGCTTCGTCGCGTCGCGCGACGCGCTGCGGAGCCGCGCGCGGACGCTGAAGGCGGCGTCCGCCGGCGACGACGCGGACGCCGCGTACGACGACGGTTTGGGACCCTTCGGGCGGCCGGGCGCGGCCCACGGCGGCACGATTCGCGTGGGCTTCCGCGCGCCGGGCTGCGCCGTCGACTTTGGCAAGCTCGTGGAGCTCGACTGGCCCCGGGCCGAGGGCGCGGGCGCCGGCGGGCGCGCGCAGCTCGTCCGCGACGACTCCGGCGGGTTCTACACGCTGCGCATCGTCTCGAAGCGCAAGGTCTTCGCCAAGAGCTGGGACCAGGGCTTGTTGCGCGAGCGCGCGATCCTGACGTCGAAGATCGGCGAGAGCCCCTTCGTCGCCCGGTGCCTCGCGACGGGCTCGAATAGGGCCAAGTGCGTCGTCTTGGCGGAAGCGTTGCCCGGCGGCGACCTCTACGGCCTGCTGCACGAGCCGGGCGACGACCTCGACGCGCACCACCTCTTCGGCGGCGACACGCCGGCCGTGCGCTACTACGCCGGCTGCGCTTTACGGGGCGTCGAGCATTTGCATTCCCACGGCGTCGCGCACCGCGCGGTCGCGCCCGAGCACCTCTGGATCGACGCGCGGGGCGCGCTCAAGCTCCACGAGCTGCCCTGCGCCGTGCGCCTGGCCGCGGCGGACCGCACGAACACGCTCTGCGGCGTGCCCGAGTACGTCGCGCCCGAGGTCGTCCTCGCCGCGGGCCACGACCACGCCGTCGACCTCTGGGCGCTCGGCGTTTTGGTCTTCGAGCTCGTGTCGCGGCGCGCGCTCTTCGCGCGGAGCGGCGACACGCCCGCGCGCCTCTTCGCGCGCGTCGTCGACCCGGGCAAGACGCTCAAGTCCGTCTGGTCCGCGACGTCCAACTACGCGGCGCTCGTGACGGGCCTCGTGAAGCCGCGACCCGCGGAGCGCCTCGGCGCGAAGCACGACGGCTTCGCCGAGCTCTGGGACCACAAGTTCTTCCGCCACGTCGACCCGACCCGCGACCTCGGGCCGGACAGGGCGCCCTGGACGCCGCCGCGGTTGCAGGGCGCGAAGGACTCGCCCAACGACCCGCTCCAGCACGACGACGACGACGACGACGACGACGAGCTCCCGCTCCCGCCCCTCTCCTTCCTGCCCGGGTACTAGGAGGAGTCGAGCTGAGCATCTTGAAGGAAAGTTGCAGCATCCCTTTTATTGATCGATGACGAGGCTGGTCCTCCCGCGGCAGGCGTGCAGCGCAGCAATGCATTGCCGTGCGTTCAGCGCGATGCATCGCCGCGCGTCGCAGCGCGCACTGAGCACGCGCGGTCCAACGATCGCGGTGCACGGCGGCGCCTGGGCCATCCCCGACGACCTGCGCCAGGCGAGCCTCGACGGCGTCGGCCGCGCGACAGCTTTGGGCTGGGAGGCACTCACGAGCAACGGCAGCGCCGTCGACGCCGTCGAGGCGGCCGTGCGCTACCTGGAGGAAGATCCGGCCTTCGACGCGGGCCGCGGCGCGGTGCTCACGTCCGCGGGCACGGTAGAATTGGACGCGGTCATCATGGACGGCCGCGACCTGTCCGCGGGCGCCGTCGCGTCGCTGGGGCCCGTGCTCAACCCCGTGTCCGTGGCGCGCGCGGTCATGGAGCGCTCGGAGCACGTGCTGCTGTGCGGCGCGGGCGCGGACGCCTTCGCGCGCGAGATCGGCGTGGAAGCTTCGTCGGCCGACGATCTCGTGACGGCCGCGGCGCGCGAGGAATACGAGCAGATGAAGACCTACCCGACGACCGTCGAGACGCTCTTCAACGCGCGCGCGCAGCTCGGCCACGACACCGTCGGCGCCGTCGCCGTCGATGCGGACGGTAACGTCGCCGCTGCGACTTCCACCGGCGGCATCACCTTCAAAAGACCGGGCCGCGTCGGCGATTCGCCGATCCTCGGCAGCGGCTGCTTGGCGGACAACGCCACGGGCTGCATCTCGACGACGGGCCACGGCGAGTCCCTCATGCGTTTTACGTTCGCGAGCCGCTGGGCCGCGGCCGTCGACGGCGGCGCGGCGCCCGACTCCGCGCTCGCGGCGCAGCTGCGGGCCATGCTCGACCGCCTCGGCGGCTGCGGCGGCGCCGTCTGCGTCGACGCCACCGGCGCGCCGGGCATCGCCTTCTCCACGGAGCGCATGGCCTGGGGCTACCGGTCCGCGGGCTCCGGCGGCGTCCGCCACGGCGTCGACCGCGACGCCGGCGCCGCCGACGTGCTTGTCGTCGACCCGGCGGCCGGGGCGATTTGGGTCGACTAACCACTTTGGTTACGTCGCCACGCCCCGGGCTCTCTAGAAGAGCCCCGTGTCGAACTTCTCGGAGACGTCCACCAAATAGTCGCGGTGGGCCTCGACGTTGTACATGTAGTCGTGCAGATTCTTGCCGAGGTAGAGGAGCAGCTGGGCCTCCTCGGGCGAGCAGATGTCGCCCTCGGGCACGTCGTCGTCGCGGCAGTCCGCGCAGTACATGTTCGACCAGAAGTACTCGGCCTCGTCCGTCTCCTCGTGGAGGAGCTCGAGGTCGTCGCGCGCCTCGACGAGGGCGAGCTCGCGCGCCTCGAGCATCTCGAGGAGCGTCGTCTCGGCGCCCTTGGGCTGGAAGGTCTGCGTCGACGACCCCTCGATGCGGTGCATCGTCGTCGCGATCTCGTCGAAGTTCGCGGAGATCTCGCGGCGCATGTCCTCGAAGGGGTCCTCGCCGGGCGCGCGGCACTTGTCGACCCAGTCGAGGATGCGGCTCACGTGCTCCTCGAGCTCCGCCTCCTGCCGCGCCTCCTCCTCCTCGGCCTCGGCCTCCTCGCCGAGCTCGAAGTGGTCGTCGAGCGGGTGCGCGACGCGGCCGTCGGCCTTCACCTTCGCGTTCCCGTCGGCGACGACGAGGGCCTTGGAGGGCGACGCCCCGGCGCAGGGGTGGTCCGCGTTCTCCTGGAAGTCCTTGAGCTCGTCGAGCGGGTGCGCGTACTTTTGCATCGCGTCGCCCTTGCCGCTCGGCTTCTTCACGAGGACGCCGCCGTTCTCCTTGTCCTGCTTGCGGTGCTTGCGGCTCTTGCGCTTCCGCCGCTTGACCTCCTTCTTCGCCGCCTCGCGGAGCACGCGCTCCGCGTCCTCGCGCTCCTCGGTCATCGCCGCGTAGCGCTTCTGGAGTTTGGCCATGCGCTCGAGGAGGAGCTCGATCTTGTCCTTCTTCTCCGCGAGCTGCTCCGTGAGGTCGCCGACGGCGCGCCGCGTCTGCTCGAAGTTCGCCGGCATGCCGCCCGTGAGCATGTGGGCCGGCAGCTCCCAGGCGGGCGGCTCGTCGTCGTCGAAGTCGCGCGAGTCCGCCCGGCCCCCGCCGCGCGTCACCGTCGGCGACAGCGCCTCCTGGTACATCTCGTCCATGATGGCCAGATCATCCTCGTCGAAGAGCGGGTTCACGGGGTTCTCCAGCAGCAGCGACGACATCGTCCCGAGATCAAACGGTGATCGATGGGCTGCCAGGACCGTTTGAAAGCGAGTTTGCCCTTCCGAACGTCCCGCAAACACGAATATGATCATGCGATGAGATGCGCAATTTTGTGGGCTGCCGCCGCCGCAGCTCGGCTCTGCGGCGACGGCCAGCTCCAGTCCTCCGGCTACTGCTGCGCGGCGAGCTGCGGCGACGGCTGCGGCGCCTGCGACCGCGGCGCCGGCTGCTGCGCGGATGCGGCGACGTCGCCCTGGTGCGTCGAGAGCGCCGACGTCGCCTGCTTCGTGCCGCCCGGCGAGCCCGAAGCGCAAAACGTCACCTTCCCGCCGGAGGTGGCGCCGTCGGCCGAGGCCATGCGCGACTTCGCGGCGTACGCGGGCGTCGTCAGCGCCGAGCCGTGCGCGTTCGAGCTCGGCCGCGAGGTGTCCGTGACGCTCACCTACGGCGATAACCGCGTGCTCACGGCGCAGCCGCACCAGCGGGGCGATCTCGACCGCTTCCGCGACTTCGCGAGCGTCGCGCGGCTCTGCGAAGAGGCCGTCGGCGCGTCCGGCGTCGCGCCCGCGATCCTGTCGGTCACGGACTCCGTGGCCTACTTCCTCGAGTGGTGGCACCTCGCGGCGAACCGGGGCGGCTACGCGCGGCGCTTCGCCTACCGGAGCTTCGTCTGGTTCGGCGCGCTGCCGCCGCGGCTCGCGCGGACGGGCGCGGCGTGCCGGCGGTCGCGGTACGGCGAAGACCAGTGGCGCAAGCGCGAGCCCGCGTCGGTGCACTACGCCAAGGTCGCCGGCGCCCTCGCCGTGCTCGAGCGCGACGACGTCAGTTGTTTGCTCTACGTCGACATGGACGCGCTCTTCGACCCCGCCGCGCTGCGCTTCGTCGCGCTCGACGCGGCGACGGCCGTCTCGCGCGCGTACGCGGCGAGATCCGTCGTCTTCGCCGAGGGCGACGCGGACCGGCGCTGGCGCGTCATCGGCGACATCTTCTTCGCGCGCAACGACGCCTGGGCGAAGCGGTTCCTGGCCCTCTGGCTGAGCCACCGCTGCGGCTTCAAGGACCAGTACCCGCTCTGGCACGCGGTCCTCTCGTCCGCGGAAGAGGCGGGCTGCCTCGCCTACGGCGGCGAGATCTACGCCCAGGAGTACTGGGCCGCGCGGGACTTGGACCTGCCCTTCGACGCGACGCGCTGCGCCGGCTTCCGCCTCGACAACGGCAACGTCGACCGCGGCGCCGGGCTGAACGCGACGATGGCGACGCCGGGCTTCCCGGGCTGCCCCGCGACGCACCTCGCCTTCGCCCACAAGATCAAGCGGAACCGGCTCGCCACGCCCTGCGTCCGCGGCTTCATCTCCCACCTCACGGACAACAAGCACCAGATCCACCGCAACTACGCCGGCCTCGACGACGGCGCGAGGCACCGCGCCGCGCTCCGCGCGTCGGCGATGAAGATGTCCCTGGGTGCGATCGGCCTCGACGAGCAGGACCCCCTCGCGGACCACGCGCGGCCCGCCGGCGCCGGCTGCTGCGTCGACGGCACGTCCCGCTGCGCCCATTGGACGAGCTGTAGATGATGTTTGTGAGTGAAGGGCAACATAAACTTTGCTGCCGTACGGTTGTTTCACCCTTCTGGCCAGCGCGGACGCCCATCAGCACTGCCCAATCTGGGAATTCCACACGTGCGATGATGATGCTCGGCGACGAGTCGAAGTCGGACCCGCCGCCCGTCGATCCCGTCGCGGCGAAGATCGCCGCCTACGACCAGGGGCAGCCGCCGACGGCCAACACGGTGCCGGTCGTCGCCGCCGTCGAGGTGCCCCAGCAGGCGCCGGCGTGGCCCCAGGGCCCGCCGGCGTCGGACAAGCAGGTCGTCTGCGCCGACGCGGCGCTGCGGGGCTCCGCCGGCGTGCTCCTCATCTTTTCGCTGATCACGTTCTGCGTCGGCGCGGCCGCGGCGCACAACACGGCGGACTTGTGGCGCGGCCCGCTCGTCGTCTGGGGCACGTGCCCCCAGCTCATCTACGCCACCGTCGCCCTGACGGCGCTGGCGACGCGGTGCGAGATGGGCAAGACGTCCTACCTCTACGCCGCCGCGGGGGGGCTCATCATCCCCCTCTTCTTTTCCATCTTCTCGCTGTCGGTCGCGTCGGCGCACACGCGCGCGCTCGCGCGCCTCGACGACTGCACTTCCGGCGACGCCTTCTCCTTCGCGCTCGGCAAGGAGGCGAGCCGGAAGGTGGGCTTCAACCCCCAGTACATGTACAAGGAGTCGAGCCACCTCTGGTACCAGGGCTACTGCGACTTCGACTCCGAGTGCGACGACGCCTTCAAGCTGAAGCTGGAGCGGCGCGACTTCTATCAGGAGCGCTTCTGCATGCCCCTCAACGGCACGGCCGCGGGCCGGCGCGCGGCGGACACCCAGGGCAAGCGCGGCGTCTGCGCGGCGCGCTGCGCGGCCGCGTGCAACTGCTACAAGACGAACGCGGACTCCAAGGGCGACGACCTCGCGACCTACTCCGCCTGCTGGCAGTTCGACAACGTCGAGGGGAAATGCGGCGACATCCTGACGAGCTTCAAGCAGACCGCGGACGCGCACGCGGTCTTCGCGAGCTTTTCGCTCGTCGCGGGCATCGTCTTCATCGTCAGCGTCTACCTCGCCGCGTGCCTCCGACCCCTCGTCGGCACGCGGGTCCACTTCGCGCCGCCGCCGCCGAGCGCATCCGTCGAACTCCCTACCATGACCGGGGGAGCGCCGACGGCCGCGGCGACGGTGCCCGAGGGGAGCGTCTAACCGGCGGCGGTGGGAGTCGTTATCGAAAATCGCGGGATGGAGTGGGGGGTTCGAAAATCGCGGGAAAACTTGGGTGGGGTTCACATGCCGTTGGCGACCTTGCGGAGCGGGCGGCTCGACCGGAGCCGCGACTTGATGCCGGACGCGTCGCCGCCGACCGCCTTCGCGGGCGTCTTCGCGGCCTTGCGCGTCGACCGGCGCGCGGGGACGTCGTTCTCGTCGTTCTCGTCGTCGTCGTCGCCGAGCATGGCCCCGGTCTTCTTCTTGCCGACGACGCGCTTCTTCTTCTTCGCCGCGGGCTTGGCCTCGTCGTCGGGGACCGGCTCGGGCGCCGCCTCGGCGGCCGGCGGCGCCGCGGGGCTCGCCGGGGCGGCCTCGGCCGGCGCGGCGTCGGCCGGCGCGGCGTCGGCGTCGGTCTCCGGGGCGGCGGTCTCCGTCGCGGCGGGCGTCGCCTCCGCGTCGACGGGCGCCTCCTCCGCCGCGACGGGCGACTCGGCGACGGGGGGCGCGTTGACGAGCTTCGGGAAGTTGTTGCGGTCGGACCCCTTGTATGCCACCTGGACGCCGAGGTCCACGTCCGGCACCTCGTCGCAGGGCTCCGCCGGCGGCTGGCACCAGGGCGTGTCCTCGTTGCTGACAATCCAGGACTCGCGCCGCCGGCAGAAGGTCGCGGCCCCGTTGCCAGAGTAGAGCATGGGCGCCTCCTCCGCCTCGACGGCCTCCGCCTCCGAGAGCTCCGAGAAGGACCCCAGCGCGCTGCTCGACGCGCGCCGGGGCTGGGCCTCGAGCGACGCGATCGTGCGCTCGAGGCTCGCGACGGTGCGGAGCGCCTCGTCGGCGACGCCCCGCGCGTCGCGCGCGTCGTGCTCCGCGGCCGCGGCGTTTCCCCGCGCCTCGTCGAGGCTCGCGAGGGCGACGTCGCGGTCCCGGTTCGCCGTCGCCGCCTGGGCGAAGGCGGCCTGGGCCTCCTCCTTGCACGCGGCGACCTCGTCGCGGCACGCGGCGGCGTCGGCGTCGCGCGCGGATTTCGCGACCTCGGCCTCCATCATCGCCGCCGCCGCGGCGTCGCGCTCGACGACGGCGGCGTCGCGCGCGGTGGTCGCCGCCGCGAGGGCCGCGGCGTGGGCCCGCTCCGCGGCGAGCTGCGACGCGACCAGGTCGGCGAAGTCGCGCTCGGCCGTCGCGGCAAAGGCCGACGCCGCGGCCGTGGCCGCGGCGAGGGCGTCGTCGCGCGCGTCCTCGGCGGCGGCGAGGGCGCCGGCGCCCGCGGCCTTGGCGGCCGCGAGCTCGCCGTCGCGCCGCGCGGCCTCGGAGAGGATCTCGCCGCGGAGCCGGTCGACGACGGCTTCCAGGTCGGCCTTCTCGGCCTCGAGCGCGCCGAGCGCGCCGGTCGTGAGGGCCGCGAGCTCGCCCCGGGACTCCTCGAGGGCGGCCTCCAAATCGGCCTTGTCCGCGCGGGCCTCCTCGGCCTCGCGCGCGGCCGCCGCCGCCGCGGCCTCGACGCCCGCGAGCTCGTCCTCGCGCAGCTTCTCCGACGCCTCGAGGTCGGCGCGGAGCTTGTCGACGTTCGCCTCGAGGTCGCCGTTGGCGCGGGCCGTCTCCTCGAGCGCGGCCTTGGCCTCGGACGCCTCGAGGAGCAACGTCGTCGCGGACGCCTTCTGCGCCTCGACCTCGACCGAGAGCTCCTCGACCTGGCCCTCGAGCGCCGCCTCCGAGACCTTGCGCGCCGCGTTGTCCGCCGCGAGCGTCTCGACTTGAGATTCCAGTGCGGCCGCGGCGGTCCCGCGCGCCTCGAGGTCCGCGCGGGCCGCCGCGAGCGCTCGCTCCGCCGCGGCGACCTTGCCTTCGAGGTCGGCCTCGGCCGCGCGCGACGCCGCGAGGTCCGTGTGAGCGGAGGCCAAATCCGTCGTCAACGTCGCGACGCAGCCCTCGAGCGCTTCTTCCGAGGCCTTTGTCGCGTGCAGCTTGTCGGCGAGCGCCGCGTTCTCCGTCGCGAGCGTTTCCGCGCGTTCCTCGAGCGCGGCCTCGGACGCCTTCGCCGCGTCGCGGTCCGCGGCGATGGCCGCGACCTCCGCGAGGCGCGCCGCCTCCGCCTGCGCGAGCGCCGCCGACGAGGCCGCCGCCGCCGCGGCCTCCGCGTCCGCGCGCGCGGCCGCGGCCGCGGCCGCGCCGTCGGCCGCGCGCGTCGCCGCCGCGGCCGCCGCGGCCGCGACGGCGGCGAACGCGGCGTGCGCCGCGGCGGCGCCGTCGACGCTCATGGCGTGGCGCGCGCAGAGGCAGGCGAGGTGGCGCCGCGCGGCGCTCCGGGCGTCGTCCGCGCGGTCCGCGTCCGCGTCTGCGACGCGCCGCTCCGCGGCCGCGAGGTCGCGCTCGAGCTTCGCGAGCGTCTCCGCGTCGGGCGCGCGCGGCGGCGCGACGTGGACGCGGTGCGCGGCGACGTTGTCGATGCGGCCCGCGCGGTCCGCGTAGCGCAGCGTCGACAGCGACTCGTCGCGGGATTTCGGGGAAGGCCCGACGCACGCGACGAGGACCGTCGCCGCGGAGCCGCCGAGCGAGTCCTGGAGGAGCCGCGTGAGCTTGCTGTCGCGGAAGGGCACGTGCTTCTCGCCGCCGCTCAGCGCCGTGATGACCTGGCCCAGGGCCAGCAGGCTCTGGTTGATGGACTGCGCCTCGAGGCGCCGCGCGCCGCCGGCGCCCTCGATGCCCGTCCGCCCCGCGGACTCGGAGCCGGCGAGGTCCACGAGCAAAAAGCGGCCCACCCGCGTCGTCGCCGACCCGCCCTCGCGGACGGCGACCTTGAGCTCGAAGACCGCGTGGGACCGGCTGCTCTGGTCGTTCATCGACGTCGCCGCCGACTGGCGGCGCTCCGCGCCGACGGCGAGGCAGTCGCGCGCGTCCTGGGCCGACTCGAGCGGGATCTCCGTGAGCCCGGCGACGAGCGTCGACCCGTCGCGGGCCGTGCGCACCTGGAGCTGCTTCTCGACGTCGTCGCCGAAGAGGTCGCGGACCTGCTCGTTGTAGATCTCGAGGTACGTGCACGTCACGCGCGCCTCGCGGCCGGCGCCCAGCGCGGCGACGCGCGCGAAGACGTCGTCGACGCAGCGGGGCATCAGGCCCTCGGCCTCGTCGTCGCCGCCCTGCACCGTGAACGTCTTCCCGGAGCCCGTCTGCCCGTACGCGAGCACCGTCGCGTTCCGACCGCCGACGACGCGCTCGACGAGGTCCGCGGTCGTCGCCGCGTAGACCTCGCCCTGCGTCGCCGCGGCGTCGAGGGCCCGGGCGAACTCGAAGTTCGTCGACTCGCTGTCGTCCTTGACGCCCTCGACGGTCACGCAGCGGTCGAAGGCGTCGGCGCCCGCGGCGTAGGTGCGGCAGACGGCCTCGTCGCCCTCGTTGGCGGCCAGCGGGCGCACGCGCACGACGACCTTGATGTTCTGGCCCGTGGCCATAGTTGGGGCGTAGGAGGGCGTCGGCGCGACGCGGTGCGGCGCAGTGCGGCCCGCAACACGGCAGTCGACACGCCCAGATCAACGACGGAAGCGCAAGAACGAGGCAAGAATGACTTCATTGTGAGCGGCGGTAGCAAGATGGTGGACGCAGCCCGTCGCTTCTACGCTGCCTGATGTCGACCGCGTCGCCGTCGGCGAAGCTCTTTTCGTAGACGTGCAACTGCCTTCTACTCTTGCGCGTCGAGCTGGTGCACGAAAACCGGCCGCGGCAAAATGGCGCCCTACACGATGACCATGGTGGTGCCCTCCGACAAGGTGGAGGGCGACGCGCTGGTGCCGCCGGCTGAGCGCACGGGCGCGCGCCGCGCGCAGGGGCCGTACCTTGCCCTGGGGATCCTGCTCTTGAGCGGCTATATCCTCGCGACGCGGAACCTCGAGGAGCGATAGCGGCGGCGGCGCGCGCTTCCGCGGCGGCGGCGCACGCGTCCGCGGCGGCGGCGCGCGCTTCGACGGCGCGCTCATCCCCGTCGCTTGGCGGCGCAGCGGGAGCAGTGATGGTCGCGCGCGCGATCCGACTAGAAATTCGATTCTTGCCTTTCGCGGCGCGCGCGGCTTCGCGGGGTCTGTGACTGCCGGTTCGGGCAGTCGGCGAGGCCTGTTTCGTGCCTCGGAAAACGCACGCCGACGCCATCGCCGCGACCGCATGGGGCCGGTTTAGTGCACCGGCCGCTGCGCAGCCGTCCGCTCTTCCTGAGCTTCAATAAGGCTTCAACGACGGCCTGTGCTCGAGCGTGGCAATGAGAGCAGATTGAGAGCCTCATCCAGCACCAGCACCAACTCGACGCGCCCACGACGCGACGCCATGGCCGAGCACTGGAAGCAGCAAGGCCTGTTGCTCCTCTCGCAGAGCGCGGCGTCGGAGAGCCAGCGGACTCTGATTCGCGAGGCCATTGAAAACGCCGCGGCCCTCTTCGCCGCGCCGCCCGAAGGCGCGCGAGAGACGCGGGCGCAGCGGAAGCGGCGGCGCGGGTCGCCGCTGGACCGCCTGACCTCGACCGGCGCGACGGAGCACGCGTTCACCTTCCTCAACCCGGCGGAGCTCGGGCGTCTCGCGCGCTGCTCCAAGTCCACGTCGCGCGAAGCGATGGGCGAACGGCTCTGGTCGCGGATCCGGGACTCGTGCTTCCCCGAAACCGACGGCACCGTGCGCGTGCCGGGGACCGCCTACGAAACGTGTCGTCGCATGCGCAATCTCTGGACCGGGCACCACGAGTCGTGGCGACACACCGCCGAGCCGGGCCACGTCTTCCTCGGACCGCGGTACCCGGGAGTCGAGGCGTACCTCGCGCTGATCAAGTTCAATCACTCGTCGAAGGGCGTCTTCGTCGTGGCGGCCGAACTGGAGCAGCACCATCTCGGCGATCGATTCTTGATCAAGCTGGCCGAGGAGGCCGAAGCCGCGTTCCTGCCGCTCAGGATCGACGCCGACGGCGACGCGAGGGGGGAGGAGGCAGGAGCGGGGAACTACGTCACCCCCGAAGACAAGACGGAGCATCTCTTCGTGTCGATCGCGTTGGTCCGGAAATCCGATGAAAGATTCATGCATATTTGCACGGAGATGGTCACCATCGACGCCGACGACGACGGCGTGTACTTCGGGCTGGGCGCCAGCACCGTGATCTCGTGCGTCACGCCGTTCTACGTGGGCCACAGCCTCGGGACGCTCGAGGCCATCGGCGAAGACATCGAGACCTTCGGCTTCGAGCATCAGGTCCACTTCGAGAACTGCACCGCCCCCGAGGTCGGAGTTCCCGGCAAGAGCCGCCGCTTGCTGTCGAGCCTCGGCAACTTCACCTTGCACATCTGGACCCCCGGGGAGAGCCACGCGCGCCTCCCGTGCTGGCACGTGCTCCAGGGCTGGCACGCGAGTAAGGACTGGTGCTAACGGCCTCGTCGTAGGAGGGTGTAGTTACAGATGCCAGTACGCATGCGCTCTCACGCGCGGCGCTCGCTCTTGACGGCGCCGGGGTCCGCCTTGAACTTGGCGAACTTGGAGGTCCGGGACTTCTTCCGCGGCGGCGGCGCCGGCGGCGCCGGCGCGTCGTCTTCGTCGCTCTCGTCCCCGGACTGGATCTCGATGATCTCGTTGTGGCGTTCGATGGAGTCGAAGGCGCCGCCCAGGTGCGCCACCGCGATGCCGTTGATGAGGACGCGGCGGCCCGGGCGGGGCATGACGCGCACGACGCGGAGCTTCTTGTCGGCGCCGGCGACCATGAGGAGGTAGAGCATGACGCCAAACACATTGGAGAAGGCCTGCGCGAAGATTTCGACTTGCATCTCCGCGACGGCGGCGCCGCGGCGGCTCGCGAGGCCCGCGCCGAGACGCTTCGAGTTGCGGCTCAGCGTCTCCGTGCGCGCGCTGCCGACCTCCTTGACGCGGACCTCCGTATCCGTGGACCCGGCCGCCAGGACGACGCCCTCGTAGTCGACGTCGGAGCCCTGGGCCGCGCGCACGAGCACGTGGTCAAAGGGCACGAGCGGCGGCGGGTCGCTGCTGCGCGCGAGGTCGTCGTCGTAGAATTGGTTCGCCGCCATCGCGCCGTCGTGCGCCGCGCGGCGAGCCTGGACGAATGTGAGCCATTCTTTCGCCGTCTTGATGGGTGACCTCGAGCTCCGAAATAAGTGGCCGTATTCGTCGTCGAAATAAAAGCCCTGCTGCCTTTGAAAGTCGTCCTCGGAGCAGCGGTCCGCGCGCTCGCGCGGGAAGCGCTCGCAGGTGACGAGCTCTTCGATGACGGCGTGCTCGACGTAGCCCGCGAGCCCCGCGGTGCCGCACAGCTGGCGCGAGCACGCCGCGAAGAAGGACGACGCCTCGCCCGCGAGCTTGAAGCCCTCGCCGCGGAGCGCCGCGTCGAGCGCGGCCGCGTCGCCGACGGCGCGCGGCGCGCCCGCACCCGCCAGCGGCGAGAGCCGCGACGAGAACAAGTACGAGGGCGGCTCCGTGACCGCGAAGCCCCCGCGGAGCGACTTGCGCAGCTCGCGGGACGCGACGCGCGCGGCCTCGATCTGGTGCCACTGCCAGTCCTGCCAGGCCTTGGGGTTCGTCTTGGCGATCTGGAGTCCCTCGATGGCGGCGTAGCGGAAGGAGAAGGTCGCGAGGACGTTGTCCTGGTCGTAGTCGCTGCGGCACGCACGTTTTGACTCTTTGATCTCGACTTTATCGTCGAAGGCGGCCTCTTGGCCGAAAACGCGCTTTTTCTCCGCGTTGCCGAGCGTCGCCGCGAGCGACGTGTCGGGCGGCGGCGCGAATGCTGACGTGTCCCCCTTGGAGACGGAGTAACGTGCACCGAACACTTGCCGCACGATGATGTCAATCCTGCCCGCCTGGGACGAGCGAGCTTCCGCCAGCCCCTCGCGGGAGCTCTCGGGCCGCAGCGGCGCGAAGCGCATGCGGCGAACGCCGCGTTGCTCGCCGGCGATGAGCTGCTGCCCTTCGAGAACCCTTTCTCTTTGGGCACGCATCAACAATTTACTTATCGGGACGCCGTCGACGTACGTCGAGAATCGGAGCCTGTTTCTCCGATTGGGATCCTCAGGCAGTTCGTTCGTCAGCAAGATCTCGAAGTAGTCCCCCGTCGTCGTCGCGATGAGGCGCTGGTGCTGGTTATCGCAATTCCGCACGCTCGCGACTTCGCGCTCCGGAAGCGTCCACGCCAACCAGTCCCAGTCGCGAGGCCCGTCCTTATCCTCGAGCTCGGGCACGCGGCACCCGTCGACGAGCACCGAGGCCGACGCGATCGATTCCTCCGCGCTTTCGCCGCTCATAGCACTTGCTTTAGACTCGCTCGTAGCGGAGCGCCGAGATTTCGGCGACGCCGCGAGGCCTCGGCGTGGGGCGTGAAGAGGCGCGGGAGCTCGTGTCGTCGCGCTCTCTGTATAATATCGCTCTTGCCACGACGCCGCCCGACTCTCGAGGACTCGCCGAGTTTCGCCTCAGAGCGGCCGGTCGACGCTGTCGACGCCTCGACTTACGCCTCGGTCGGCGATGGTAGGGGACGCCTATTGGGGGCGTCTCGCGAGCTCTGCCGGGCACGTATCTTACTTGGCGCGTTCTCGGAAGTTCCCTCGAGAGGTCACCGGGACATCGTCTTGACGCCCGCGGAGGTTTTGCCCCGCGCCGCGACCGTCGGGAAGGAGCCGTGGATGGGGATCGCGTCGCGGACGCACGCGTCGTCGTCGCCGCCCGTGGCCTCGTAGTCGATCAGGCAGGCCTCCGTCGTGTCGTCGACGAGCTTGGCGATGCCCGCCGCGACGCCGCCGCCGTTCGCGCCGTTGCGCGCGAGGAAGCGCCACACGTCCGGGTCCTCCGATGCGACGGCGCGGCGGAAGTTCGACTCCGCGACCGCGAGGCGCCCGTTCCAGCGCTTCGCGACGCCGCCGCCGAGCACGCGCGCGACCGTGTCGTCCGTCAGCTGGAACCGCTCCAGGGCCTGGCGCGCGTAGGCCGTGAGCGCGTCGAAGGCCGCGTCGTCGTCGTCGAGGCCGTGGACCTCCTTGATCGTGTCGATGCCGTGCTCGCGCACGAGGATCGCGCAGCGCGCCAAAGCCCAGTGCCAGATCTCGCGCGTGATAATGCCGGCGGAGGATGGTTTGGCCAGATGCAGGTCGCCGGGCACGACCGCGTGGGCGTCGCGGATCGTCGCGAAGGCCAGCGTCGTGTGCATGCCGTTGACCAAATTTAGCTTGCGATCGCTGAGGAAGCGCGCGGCCGCGCTCGACCGCGGCGCGAGGATCTCCGCGCCGAACTTCGACCCGAAGGGCGGCGCCGACGCGCGGTTGACCGCGGCGTCGAGGGGCACGATGGCGCCCGGCCAGGCCTCCGCGGTGACGGCGACGCCGTCGGCGGTCACGGCGCGATCCGTCGACACGCGGTCGACGACGCAGTCGACGACCGTGGCCGTGCCCTCCAAGGCCTGCGTGAGGGCCGCGACGGCGTCGTGGTCGTTCTCGCAGGCGTAGAGGATGGGTTTGTGTGTTGTGTGTTTGAGGAGCTTCGTCATCACGGGTCCGAGCGACGGGCCGAGCGAACACGACAGCGTCGTCGCCTTTGCGACGAGCGCGTCGAGGGTGGCGTCGTCGTCGGAGAGGACGAGATTTCCTCCGCCGGCGCGGGCGCCGTCGCCGACGGCCGTGAGTCTGCAGATCTCCACGCCGTTGACGCGCACCGGGAATTCTGAGCCCTTCGCGAGCGCGGCCCACGCGGGATCCTTGGGCGTGTCGACGACGGCGAAGTTCACGCCGGACGCGGCGACGGCGGGCACGACGAGCGACAACCCGAGCTTGCCGCCGCCCACGTGGACGTGAAAGGGCGTCACGGGCTTCGTCGGCGGCGCGAGCGCCGCCGCCGAGGCGACGAACAGGGCGAGAAGGCGACGCATGAATGGACGACGGGTACGGGCGGACGAGATCTGACGATTACGGGGCGTGTGAGCGGTCGTGGGACGACTGGCTCGCAGAAGCGCCGGCGGAGCTGCTGCTTCCGCTCGTGAGTTCTGATTCTTCAACTCGGGGCGCGTCGGATCGAAGCCTGCAACTTGAAGTCCGATGTCCTCGACAGACAACTCCACACAAAACACAGTTATATCATCCCCCGTCGCCTGGCGGCGTCCGGCTCGTCGCCGCGGTCGATGTAGTCCGAGCCCGTCTTCTGGAGATGGACGACCTCGCGGGCGGACGAGGGGGGCGTCGCGGCCGGCGCCTCGGCGCCCTCCGCGTCGCGCGCCTCGGACGCGTCGGGACCGTCTGGTCCGCCCTCGAAGGGCGGCAGGTCACCGGTTTTCGCCTTGCGGGGGGCGTCGGGACCGTCTAGTCCGCCGTCGAGGGGCGGCAGGTCGCCGGCTTTCGCCTTGCGGTCTGGTCCGCCGTCGAAGGGCGGCAAGTCACCGGTTTTCGCCTTGCGGGGGGCGTCGGGACCGTCCGATCCGCCGTCGAGGGGCGGCAGATCACCGGTTTTCGCCTTGCGGAACCCTTGGTTCGGCGTCTCCGGGCTTTTGAGCCCGAGACTCAGCTCCGACGCCGTCAAGACGAGCGGCGGCGGCTTCTTGGTAGCGTTGGGCACAAAGCCCGTCAGGAACGCGTCCAGGGTCCGCGCCGAGGGCACCGTCGCGGTCTTGTAGGCGTCCCGCGGCGACGGCGGCGCGCCCGCCGCGCGCTCGTAGTCGGCCCAGAGCTTCTCGAGGGCCTCCGCGGCCTCGCGGACGCGGTGCCGGTGCAGCCGCTCCTCGAGGTCCAGGTTTTCGTCTCCTAATTCATGCCCCTCCACGGCCACGACCCGCGCCGCGTCGGCCTTCTCGACGACCTCGATGGCCAGCAGGCCGCCGGCGACGATGAAGAAGCACAGCGCCATGCAGCCCAACACGACGACCGCGCCCGGGATCGCCGAATTGATCGAATTCAAGACCGCCCGGGCCCGGTCGTCGTTCTGCACGAAGCCAATCAACGCAAAGACGACGACGGCGATGTACTCCTCGAGGAACGTGTCCCGGGGGATCTCCGGCAGCGACTGGATGAGCGCGCCCGTCCAGCCCAGCAGCCGCTGGTACCACGCGGGGCGGAAGACGACCGCGCGCGAGAAGGCGACGATGGCGCCCGATGCCCAGAGCGACTGGGCGCCGCCCCGGGCCCGGTGCGCGTCGTCGAGGTCCCGGGTCTCGCCGGCGGTGCCCAGGAACGCGCGGAACTCGCTGGCGGCCGCGCGGAGCGCGCCCGACTCCTCCTGGTCGACGAACTGCTCGAGCACGGCGCCGCCGAGCGACGGTCGCGTCGAGTCCTTCGCCGGCGCGCCGTCCGCCGACGGCGCCTCCTCCTTCTCTTCACAGGCGGCGGACGCGAAGGCCGCGCGGTGGTCCCGGGCCTCGCCGAGACGCCGCGGCACGTCCGCGCCGACGGCACCGAACGCGTCCACGCGGTCGAGGTCCACGAGCACCGACGGCTCGACGCGCAGCGGTGTGCGGTAGGCGACGCGCTTGTTCGCCGGATTTTCCAGGAACAGGAGCTTGTCGCGGACGGCCAGGGGCACCATGACCTGCGTGATCAAGATAATCAACGGCTCGATGGTCACGTAGCAGAACACCAAGAACTGCATCGTGTCGAGGAACCACTCGCGCTTGAGCTCCGAGCCCGTCTCCCCCCGGTCGTCCAAAGCCTGGGCGAACTGGAGCACGAAGTAGACCGGGTAGAGAAAGGCCGCGAGCCACGCGGCGACGCCCGCGGCCTTCGCCGGCAGGGACACGGCCGTCACACTCACTTCTTCTCCGCCGAGCTTCTCGCCCCAGGTCTCGACGATGCCGCGCTCGACGAGCGTCAGCGCGTCGCACCGGAGCAGCTCGAAGAAGAGGCAGCACCGGTCGTAGGGCTCGGGCAGGCCGTCGAAGATGCCGTCCGCGCGCGCGGCCAAACCGACGTTGCCGACGAGCCGCCGGTAGGCCCGGTCGGCGAAGCGCGCGACCTCCCGCCGTCGCCACGCGTGGGCGGCGAAGCCCTTGACGTCCGTCCGCGGGAGCCCCCACTTGCGCCCGAGGTCCCGCCGGAGCCGCCGGAGCGCGCGCCGCGACCGCCGGTCGCCCAGCGCGTCGAAGGCGTGCTCGAGCTCGACGCCGCGCGCGTGCAGCGCGCGCATGACGGGCACGAGGCACTCCTGGCAGCCCTTGCGCAAGACCGCGTCCGCCGTGGGCCGCAGCGCGTCCGCGGGCCGCGACGGCGCGAGGCCCAAATTCTGGCGGAGCCGCGCGACGGCCGCGCGCGCGTCGTCGACGTCGCCCGCCTCTTCCGCCGGCGCGGGCTCGACCTTGCCCCGGGACTTCTGCAGCGGCGCCATGACGTAGCGTACAAATACATAATCGAAGAGCTTCATGACCGGGAGCGTCAGCACGACGACCAAAAGCTCGAGGAAGAGCGACCGGCCGCTCAGCCCGTCGGGCACCCTGAGCTCGCAGCGGTGGCCGTCCTCCTTGGTCACGACGTCGCGCCACTCGCAGCCGCGCCGCGGCGAGGAGCGCCCGGACATGAAAGCCCAGGCCTCGTCGTACATGAGGCTCCGGTCGAGGCACGCGTCGCGTTCGTCGACGTCCTCGCAGTAGCCCAGCGGGTACTCGATCCAGAAGGCCATGGCCTCGGCAGCCAGGATCATGACCATGTTGAAGAGCACGGCGACGGCGCGCGCGGGCCGGCTCAGGTTCGCGTCGAAGACGCTAAAGAGCGAGATGATGCTGTGGTTCTCGTAGATGAGCCGCGCGCCAAACCGAGGCGCGTCGTGCAACCCGAGCACGAAGTCCGGCAGCGACGCCCGCGCGATGCCGGCCGAGACGTTGATGGCCGTCTGCTTCCTGAGCTTCGCGTCGGAGGCCGCGGAGGACGTCGTCGTGTGCCGCAGCGGCGTCCGCGCGGGCAGCGCCGCCGCGCGCGCCGCGTCGCGCCGATCGAGATAGCGGCCGATCACCATCGCGATCACACAGAGCCCGACGATGACGCCGAGCGTCGTCAGGATGACGGGATTGTCCCGGAGCGTGCCGAGCGTGATGGGCGCGCTGAGCGCGTCGAGGTAGTATTCGAGGTTCGTCGTGCTATAGTCCGCGCCGGCCTTCGATTCGCAGAGACACGTCGCGTTGCCGTCCGTGCTCTCCACGAACACGCAGTCGTCGTAGCCCCAGTCGTCGCCGCCCGCGTCGAAGGACGCGCAGGCGCTCCCGTTGCCGGCGCCGGGCAGCGTCAGCGTGAAAGACGTCGCCTTCTTCCCCTCGAGGCGCCGCCCGTCGCCGCAGCGGTCGTCGAAGAGCACGCGGACGACGGCCGAGTCGACGGGCGTCGCCGCGGATTTCCGCACGTTCGTCGAAAACGACACGAGGCTGAGGTCGTAGTCGTCGCAGGGCGGGGCCTCGAGCGCGAGCGCGGCGCGCGGCGCGTCAGCGTCGAGGAGCGCGGGGAAGCGCGTCGACGCCGCGCCGCGCCGCGACGACACGGCGACGCGCGGCGACGTCGCGACGTCGGCGAACTGGCCCGCGGCCGCGCCGTCGACGAGGGCCGCGGCGAGCGCGTCGACGGCCGCGGCGAACGCGTCCGCGGACGCGACGTCGTCGAGGCCCGTCGCCAGGTTCGACAGCGCCCCGGCGACGGCGCCCGCGGTCTCGTCGCGGCGCGCGCCCTCGCCCAGACCGGCGAGGCGGCAATCCGCGGCGACGGCCGCGGCGACGTCGAGCGCCGTCCGCGCTCCGCCGTCCGAGAGCCGCGGCGCCGTGAGGCCCTCCAGGGTCGCGGCCTGCTGCGCGACGGCGTCGCGCGAATGCGGGTCCTGGAGGTCCCTGGCGCCCGCGAGGGCGACGAGCAGCGACTCGCGGTACGCGTCCGTCGCCGCGGCGTCGTCGGGCGACAGGCCGCAGGCGTCGCCGGCCCAGCCCGCGGCGCACGCGCAGGCCGCGTAGCTCGCACGCGCCTCGTCCGCGGCGTCGCCGTTCGCGTCGTAGAAGGCGCAGGCGCCGCGGGACTCGCTCGCGCCGCAGTCGCCGCCGCAGGGCGCGGACGCGTCGCCGCCGTCGACGAGCACCTCGTTCGTCGCGGCGATGTTGAGCGACGCGTAGACCGCCTGGACGTCGCTCGCGCCAAAGGCCGCGTCGATGGCCTCGAGGGACGCGTTCCGCAGCGCCGACGCGTTCTTTTGCGACGGCGCGACGGCCACGAGCGCCTCCGCGGACGCCGTCGCGCCGTAGGCGTCGGCCACGTCGACGGCGCACGTCCGTTCGCCCGCAGGTAACAACGTCTCGTAGTGCGGGCTCGACGTGCCGAACGCGAGCGTCGTCGCGCGCTGGAAGTAGGAGTAGGTCAGGGGCGCGTCGTCGTCGGCCCAGTACATGGCGGCGAAGAGAAAGACGGTGTCCATGGTCGCGCCCGCCGGCGGCGCGACGTCTAAACCGCCGGACGTCGGCGCGGCGTTGGCGACGACGGCGACGGACGCGAAGGCGACGAGGTCGTCGTCGTCAAAAGCCGCGAGGCGGAAGCCGTAGGCGCCGCCGGGCGTCAGGGACCCCGCGGCGAGGACGAGGGGCACGGAGAGCGCGTCGCCCTCGGCCTCGACGACGAGGGGCGCGAGCGCCGCGGCGTCGAGCGACCCGTCCTCGAGCGCGCCGGACTCGAGGCTCCACGCGAAGGTCGTGCCCGGCGACGCGCCGGAGACGGTCGTCGCGATCTTGAGCCGCGACGACGGGTCGACCTTGCCCGCCGGGGCCGCGGCCGCGAGCGTCGGCGGCGATTTCGCGAGCGCGCCCGCGACGAAGCACGAAGCCGTCGCGTTTCGGCCGTCGGCCGCGGCGACGAGCACCGCGTAGGTCGCGACGACGCCCGCGGCGGGCGCGTTTACGGCCAACGACGACGCGCCGTCGCCGCAGGGCAGGCCGTCGCAGGTCCAGGCGAAGCGCAGCGTCGTCGTCTCGTCGTCGGGGTCGCGGCTCCGCGACGCGTCGAGCGTTACGGCTTCGCCCGCGGCCGCGGACCGGTCGCCGCCGTCGACTGCCGCGACGACCCCAGACCGCCGCACCTCGACCGTCGCGGTGGCGGTGTTGGAGTTGCCGCGGTCGTCGGTCGCCGTGACGACGAACGCGTAGGTCGAGCCGGCGGCGAGCGTCGACGGCGGCAGCGAAAAGTAGCGCGGGTCGCGCGACGTCGATTCGAAGGGCCCCTCCCAGGCGTAGGTCGCGATGGACTCGCCGCCGCAGCCGGCGCTCGGCGCCGCGACGGCGAAGAGCGATAGGGCCTGCCAGCGGCGGATGGACGCCTCGGCGCCGCCCTCGACCTCGACCGTCGGCGGGGCCTCGGCGACGGCGTTGACGACGAGCGCCGCGCGCGCCGTCACGTTGAGGAAGCTCGAGGCGACGACGGCGACGGCGTAGGAGTCGCCGGCATCGAGATTTGGGACCGCGAGCACGCTCCGGTCGCCCGCGAATGTGCCGTCGACGAACCACTCGAACGCCAAGCCCCGGCCGCCGCCGCCGGACGTCGCGGACGCGTCCAAAGTCAGGCCGTCGCACGCCGCCGCGGTCACTGGGCTCGCCGGTAGCGCCAGGCGCACCTCGGGCGGGTCGTCGGGGGCGGCGACGGTCGCGCGGGTCGACCAGGCATTGGAACCGCAGGGTTCCCCCGCCTTGGGCCCGATCGCGTCCACCAACAGCGCGACGGCGTCGCCGGGGACGACGGCCGACGTCGACGGCAAGACCATCTCGAACTGAGAGTCCGACAGAAAGACGCAGGTCGTGTCGTCGAGGCGTCGCGTCGAATCCCAACCGAAGACCTCGACGGCGTCGGCGCACGGGAACGTCGCGCCGCCGTAGTCGCCGCGGTCGCTCGCGGCGTCGAGCTCGACGACGACGACGGCGCCCGAGTCGCCGAACTTGGCGCTCGCGACCTGGGGCGCCGCGGCGCAGGACGTATTGGTGCCGCAGCAGGCCTCCGCCAAATAGAGGCGCCCACCTTCGTCGGCGTCGGCGAGGCAGGCCCAGCTGAGTTCCTCGCTGTCGCACTGGCGTCCCGCCCAGTCGTCGCCGGGGATGACGACGCCCCGGAGGAACTCGGCGCCGTGGCAGAGGCACGCGCCGGAGGAACTCGGAGACGGCGTTTCATATTGCAGTGGCCGGTCAGCCGGCGTCGGCCACGGCGTCGGCGCCGGCGTCGGCCAGGGCGTCGGATGCCAGGGCGTCGGCCAGGGCGTCGGCGCGGGCGTCGGCGACGCGACGGGCGCCGGCGTCGCCGTAAACAACTGGTAGATCGCGTCGGCCGCGAGCTCGTAGTCGTAGACGCGGAGGTCGTCGACGCTGCCGATGAACGGCGCGCCGGCGGACGCCGAGTCCGTGGGAGGACGGTTGCCCACGTAGAGCGGGTACGTGGCGCCCGTGTCGAGGGGCGTCGTCGACTCCATCAGGACGGCCGCGTCGTAGTAGACCGTCACGAGCGACGCCGCCGTGCCCCCGGCGCCGTCGAACGTCGCGCAGTAGTGGTGCCAGCCGGAGCGGTGCGCGGCGTCCGTCGCTTCGAGGTTCGGCTCGCCGGACGTCAGCGCGACGAAGTCGCCGGTGGTCGTGCCCACGCCGAGACCGAACTCGGCGTTCACGGTGTGGGTCCCGTAGGTGAACAGCGCGCCGCCGTTGAACTCCGCGACGTCCGCCCACAGGCACACGGTCCGCGCGGCGGTCCCGCCGATCGTCGCCGTCGCCGCGGCGGGGAAGATCACCGAGTTGTCGCCGACGCCGTCGAAGTAGAGCGCGCCGCTGCCGTCCGGGCCGATCGTGACCGTCGCATCGGTGACCGTGCCGTCGAGGCCGCCGTCCGCGGATCTGCCCGACGACTCGGCCGCGTCGCCGTTGTTGAAATCGACGACTAAAATCTGCGCGCTGGCAGCGCTCGCGAGGAGCAGCAAGGAGAGCGCGATCATCGATCGCGGCAGCTAAGATGACCAACGCTTCCGAAGTGCCCGCATGGATCGCAGCAGAGAGAGCAACGATGACATGCTTTTGGGCAGCCAGTTCGCAGCTTTTGCACAGCCTTCAAGATTAGCATCAATAACAATACTTCGAGCCCACGTTGAATTCATTCATCGAATGTTTGCGCGGCATTCCCAGCCTGCGGCGCAACGATGAGGGTCTGGGCTGCCCGCTAAAGAATCCGCCTGCTAGCTGCACACCGGGCTGCTCGTGAGAATCCGCCCACCGGCTCGGCAAGAATGGGCGGCGCGTCGTCCGTGCACCTCTTCGGGTCGTCGTCGGCCGACGACGACGTGCTCCTCAAGTACCTCTCGAAGCACGACGACGCGCGGCCCCTGCTCGAGGGCTTCCTGCGCGAGGCCGCGCGGCTCGACCACCCGGACCCGCTCCGGCACGTGGCGGAGTCGATCGTGAAGAAGCGACCCGCTTCTCCGAAGAAGAAGCCGCAGTCCAGCGTCGGGCGCGTCATCGCGCAGTACGCCGCGGCCGCGGCGGACGGCGGCGACGTGCACGACGCCGTGCCGCTGTCCGTGCGCGTCGAGGCCGTCGAGGCCGTGCAGAAGGCCGTCGTCAAGAAGCAGATCAAGAAGAGCTCCCTCGAGGCGCAGCTCGCGCAGCTCTCGGAGCGGCGCGCGGCGCACGAGAAGAACATGACGCTCGCGCACAAGCGGCTCCTCGACGAGACCGCCGCGGGCCTCGCGGCGGACGTCGAGACCGCCAGCGCCAATCTGGAGCGATTGCAGGCGCGCTACAAGCGGCTCCGCCTCGACACCATCGAGCGCTACACGCCGTCGCTCCTCGAGAGCGTCGACGAGCACGACCGCGTCTTCGCGGAGACGTGCGCGTCCGACCTCGCGGGCGCCCAGGCGGAGATCCTGGCCCTCGCGGCGAAAGCGCCGCCGCCGCCGGCGCCGCTGGCGCAGGCGCCGCCCTTCGCGGGCGCGGAGCCGCGGTACCTCGCGACGCTCCTCGCGATCTTGGAACGCGCGGCGAACGCGCGGCCGGCGCTCCGCGCCGTCGCGGACGCGGCCAACGCCGCGGCGGGCGGCGGCGGCCGCGTCGTCGAGTGCGCGCCCAAGGGCATCTCGCGGTGCCTCGAGAAGGTCGAGGAGGGCTACGACGGGTCGTTTCTACGGCTGCTCGACGCCGCGCGGGTCACGCTCGTCTTCGAGGACGTGGCCGGCGTGCTCGACGCGTTGCGGTTCCTCGTCGACGACGGGCAGCGCGCGTCCAGGTGCACGGTGCTGCGGGTCAAGGACCGGCTCACGGAGGCCTGGGACGCGGAGGTGTCCGGCGGGAACCGGGATTTACTGTTGAGCGTCGCGCTCGAGGGTTTGGACGACGGCGGGCCGCCCCTGATCTGCGAGATCCAGATCCACCTCCGGCCCCTGCACGAGCTCAAGCGGGATCTGCACACGCTCTACGAGGCCGTGCGGGTCCTCGACGCGCGCGAGGACCACACCGCGGCGAGCGAGGGCGACCTCAACGACTACGTGCTCGAGCAGGCGGAGCGCGGCATCATCCGCAAGTTGCACTCCAACATCTCGAACCTCGTGGCGGAGAACGCGCCCGAGCGCATCGCGGCGCTCCTGACGCGGGACCCCTGCCCGCTCATCGACGTCTGCCTCGGCGGGCCCACGGCGCCGCGGCCGCTGAAGACGGGGCGCTTCGCGGGCTGGTCGCTGGCGAAGCTCATGGTCAACGACGGCGCGGTCCACTGCCGGCGGCTCCGCGTGCTGAACCTCTTCGACAACGGGCTCGTCGGCGAGGTGCCCAAGGAGCTCGGCGCGCTGCGGGAACTCCGCATCCTCACGCTCCAGCGCAACTCGCTCTCCGGCTCCATTCCGCGGGAGCTCGCGGCGTGCGAGAAGCTCGAGGTCGTCAACGTGTCCTGCAACGACTTTGAAGGAGCCGTGACGGACGTCTTCGGCGCCATGGCCCAGCTGAAGATCTTGTACATCAACAACAACCGGCTCGCGGGCCCGCCGGGCCGCGTCGGCGGCCCGCTCATGGAGCGGATCGACGGCCGCGCGAACGCGTTCTCCGACGACGACGTCGCGCTTTGGCGCGCGCTGCCCGACACCCTCCATCTGCGGATCACGGCCGACGACCCGTCCTGGAGATCGGGCATGCCGCGGAACGCCGTGATGGAGTCGCACGCGCGCCTCGACGAGGACGACCAGGATGATAGTCCGAGACCTGAGTAGACCACTCGTGAGCAAGACCCTAATTAGAAGTCCAATCTTTTACTCGGGCATCTCCATGCCCTCGGCGTCGTCGACGGCGGCGGCCTTGGGCTCCGCGCGGTCGGCCCGCGCCAGTCGGAGCTTCTCCGCGGCGACGTCGCGCGCGGCCCGGAGCCGCTCCCGCGCGGCGTCGCACTGCGCGCGGAGCGCCTTCGCGCCTTCCGCCCTCTTCGCGCGGATCGCGTCGAGCCGCGCCGCGGCGTCGGCGTCGGCGTCGTCGCCGCCGTCGCCGTCGTCGTCGACGTCCGCGCGCGGGGACTGGCCCGTGAGGAAGGCCGCGTCCGTGACTCGGACCCGGTCGGACGCCGCGTTGAGCGCGCGCGTCTTGAACGTCCGGCCCCGGAGCCGCGACGCCTCGAAGACGTTCTCGACGCGGTCCGCGACCTTGGTCGCGAGGTGCTTGTCGAGGCGGCGCTCGATGGCGAGCATCTTGCTCGCGTCGATGGCGTCGGAGAGGGCCTCCGCGGCCTCGTTCTCGTCGAACGCCGCGCACGCCGCGGCCGCGGCCTCGAGGTCGTCCTGCGACGGCATCTCGAGGCCGCCGGCGCCGTGGCTCGCCGACGCGTCGGCGCGGGCGTCGGCGAACTGGGGCGGCAGCCGCGCGGCGGCGCCGGCCGCCGCCGACGACTTCTTCTCCGCCTCGTTCCACGCCAAGACCTCGTCGATGGCCTTCCAGGGGTTTTCGGCGTCGAAGGGCTCGTCGTCGTCGCGGGTCACGGGCGACGGCGGCGGCTTCGACGCCTTCGCCTCCGGCGCGCCGCGCCGCGGCGACGGGCTCCGCCGGCTCGGCGACTGGCTGTTGCGGCCCGTGACGGCGTCGAGCCGCGCGGCGAGCTCGTCGGTGGTCCGCGCGGCGGCGATGGCGACGCCCGCCGTGCCCTTCTTCGGGCTGCCCGTTTTCTGCGTCATCGCGTCGAGGCGCGCGGCGAGGTCCCCGGGCGTCCGCGCGGGCTGCCGCAGCCCGATCTGCGGCATGGACGCGCTGCCGCTGCGCTTCAGCGGCGCGTCGCCGCCGCCTTTCTTCGGTCGCTCGCGCCGCTTCGGCTTCGACGACTCCGCCTTCTCCTCCTTGGCGAGGCGCTCCCGCGCGGCGAGCAGCCACGACGGTGCCGCGCCATTGTCGGGCTTGGGGCGAGGCATTGGAGGACGCGGGGGGTTCGCGCCCGGACGCGCCCCGGACGCGCCCGGACGCCCGGCGGACACGCCGGACGCCCGGACGGGCCCCGGACGCGCCCCGGACGCGCCCAGCAGCGCTCGAGGCGTCCAGAGTACTCGCTGCGATTTTCCCGATGTGTCGCGGTGAAGCATATTTAGAGCGCGCGCGCGCGTGCTCAGCGCCAGTCATGGGACCACGGCCCATGCTTCGCGGGCCGGCGGGAGGGCTGGTGGCGGAAAAGGGCGGCGGTAACGTGGATGGTGATGTAGGCAAAGGCGGTAAGGGCTTCCAGGGTCCCACGAAAGCCAGGCCGACTGTGGAACGCGCGGTGGTCGGTGAGCGCGGCGAAGACGCGCTCCACACTGCTCCGGCAGAAGTCGAGCTTGTCGTTCTCGTCGCGTTGGGCGTCGGTGATCGACCCGCCGGGCGGGTTGCGGTGCCCCGCGAGGATGTGCTCCGCCGTCTGGTAGATCTTGTCCCCGAGGCCGTACTCGTAGGGCTCGAACACGTGCTGGCCGAGGCGCGTGCCCTGGTTGAAGATATCGTTGTCGTTCGCGGTGCCGAGGTGCGGCCCGCTGAAGTAGACGATCTGCATGGAAAAGGTGACGGCGACCTCGAACTTGAAGACGCAGTTCTTGTACTTGGGCTGGTAGATGAGCCTCTCCTGGCGCTTGTCGTCGGGCGTCGCGACGTAGAGCGGGACTGTGTCCCAGATGGTCGTGACGCCTACCGGGAAGTACGGGTGGTGGTTAAAAGGGTCGAGCCTGTCGCTCCAGACGACCTCCCGGAGACACACCGCGAGCGCGAGCGCGACCGGCATGACGCTCTCCCTAAACGACCGGTGGCTGAGGCCCGTCTCCATCCCTCGGGCCCGAAGGACCGAGGGGCACTGCTCCTGGCGCGGGTAACAGTGAATGTAAACAAAAACGAAATAGAAGTGGATGACGGTCTGAGTATACCTCCGGCCGTGCCGGCAGATGAACCAGGACGGCCGCCAATTCACGGGCTCCAGGAACTGGCAGTACTGGTTCCATACGTACGCGAGATGCCCGCTCGGGTAGCCTGTGGCCGCCTGGCACGTGCCCCCGCACGTCATGTCGTCGAAGACTGTCGGCGGGACGGCCCAGGTGCTGTCGCGTTTCTGCTTCTTGGGCGGCGGCATGACCTGCGAGGGGCGCTGGGCTGCGGGGCGTCGTCTGGCGCGACGCGGCGTCGGGCGACGGGCGTCGGGCGAGACGCACCTCGAGAAGCCGAAGCGAGGTGCGATAAACGACGCGCGGCGCCCCCCAGCTGCGAGCGAGCGACGTCGCGGACTTTAGCAAACGGCCACGGGCTGCCCCGCGGCATCGAAAAATGCAACATGCTCAGTTGCCGCCCACGAAACGCCAGAGCCTCCGCGCGGACCATGTGGGACGGCAGCCGCATCGTGCTCGACAAGGAGCAAGTAAATGGAATAATGATGGCAATTGAGGACGCCCAAGAGAGGCTCAACGAAGCCCGCTGCCCGCCGAACCAGCAGGCGTTCCTCGACATGCAAGCTGCTGCGGCCGAGGCGGACAATACGGGCCTCAACCACGAGATGTTCCTCAAGAACATATGGCAGGCGATGAAGCTGGCGGAGGACAACTACCACGTCATCTCGCTGGCGCGCATCTACGCGCAGGCGGCCGGCGGCGAGGCGACAAAAGCTGAACGAGACGCCGCGGTCGACTCCATCCTCAACGAGTACAGCGCGCTGGACTACTGGGACCGCAGCTGTTCGTCCAGCGACGAGGGCACGGCCTGCCCCGCCGCCGCCGCCTCCGCCGCCTCCTCGTCCAGCGACGACTCGGACTCGGGGGGCACGTTACTCGACTGCGTCTCGCCGCGCTCCGAGGACCGCGACGCCCGCGAGTTCGACTCGCGCGACTCCGTCGCGGTCGAGCGCGACCACTTCGCGTCGCTGGACTACTAGGCGCGAAGTTAAGTCGCGGCGTCAGCCGCGTGGGCGACGAGGCTGGTCGTTCTGGGGTCGCGCACTCGGTGCCCGGCATGGCTCGCCGCGGCTGCCCCGGGGGCGGCCCGGCCGCCTGGGCTCCTGGCGATCGGGCCTGATTGTCGCCAACCAGCGCCCTAGTTAGGCTAAACGAGGGCAAGCAAGGCCGACGAGACAGCGAGCAAGCAAACGGCGAGACACACCGCGAGCGACATGAGCACCCCGACGAGCAACCTCCAGTTCCCCATCCCCGGCCCTTCCGCCGCCCTCGACCCCCGGCCGACACGCGGCTCCCCAAACTCCCACATCAATCCTGCACTCTCGTTGGTTACCGCCGTTATCCTTTTCCTCAAGTCCTTCCGCTATTATGTCAAGGGCGTCCTCGTGAACTGGAACGCCGTACAGGCTGCCGTCGAGGATGGTGTTCGCATGGAGGCAGAGTTCTACCTCGCGCATGACAACGCGACGGCGGAACAGAAGGTATGGGCGACGGGCATCCGCAACAAAGAAATAACTTATAGCAAAGGATGGGTGAGGAAGCAAGCCTCCAAGCATGTCTATGCTATAGGGACCCCCAACAGCAACAAGCGCTACAGCGAGGTCGTGACCAACCTGCTGAACTGCGGCTTCGACTACTTCAAGCACGTCGTCACGCCCGCGGCCGCGTCCGGCCGCTCGGTGCGCGCATCCGATTCCCCGTCCCCCGCGCGTAGGTACTTCGCCGAGGACCGCCGCGACGTGTACGTGATGCTGCACCTCGTGTACGACCTCCCACTCCCAGAGCACACCGGCGTGCTCCGCCACCGGGAGCTCGTGGCCGTCAAGCTCTCGACGTTCGACGTGTCCGCGCTCGACGAGCCGCGCGTCGAGCGTCAGGCCCGGTGCTCCGAGGTGCTCGGCGGGGCCTTCCAGAACGTGCTGCTCGTCGTCGAGCGGGAGGGCCCGTCGCCGGAGCGCGCGGCCCACCTCACGCACCAGCTCACCGGGGGCACGCCCGACAGCGACAACGCGTTCGACGGCGGCTACGACGACGACGAGACGATCGACAGCGACGACATCGTGTGTTTAGGCGAGCGGCCCGCGGCGCAGCACGGCGTCCGCGACGACGACGACTGGGACGACTTCGGCCTCGGGCAGCTCTACGAGACGCCGTCGCTCAAGCCGAAGAAGGACACGCCGCGCCCGCGCCCGCGCGCGCACCCGGGCTCGGACCCCATCTCGCGCGTGTCGCACAACGTCCGACGCCAGCGCCTCGACGCCGCGGCCAAGGCCGGGGGCGTCAAGGTCGAGGGCGTCAAGGTCGAGGGCGTCAAGGTCGAGCCGCCGCTCGAGCCCGGCGCGTCCGGGGCACCGCGCCGTGTGCTCCTCGCCGAGTTCCCCGACGAGGACCGCGAGGACGTGTTGCAGGCGCTGCGCGACACCGGCGGCAACGTCGAGAACTCGCGGGCGCTCATCCTCGAGTGGCAGCGCCAAGAGCGCGTGCGCCAAGAGCGCGTGCGCGAAGAGCGCGTGACGCAGGTCGAGCGGTCGCGGCCGGCGCCCAGCGCGCCCCGCGGCAACGGCGGCGGCCTCGGCACGCTGCGGTCTCTCAATTGGTGCCCGTCGAAGCAGATGCTCGGCCGCGTCGTTAAGATTTGCGCGGACGGCGGCGTGATCGTCAGCCGCGACTACGCGGAGGAGCAGCTCATCCTGAGCAATTGGATCGAACGCGACGCCATCGATAGCATCCTCGCGCAGCATCATGCGGCGTCTGGTGATGATTTCGCGCAGGCGGTCGACGCGTTCGACGCGTCCCGGGCGTCGGGCGCCTGCGCCACCAAGGCCAAGGCCGAGATGCTGTCCTGTTTAATGCACTCGCAGGGCCAGGCGCCCTTCCTCTCCATCGAGACGCGCAAGGTCATGGACCGCCGCCTCAAGCAGGTCAAGCAGTATCACATCGACAACGCGGAGAAGCCGTACCAGAAGACGCTGGTGCAGCCCGACGACGCGCGCTTCGCCGGCTCCGCGCTGGCGCCGGCGGCGGCGAGCGCGAAGGCGCCGAAGAAGCCCGCGGCGGCGAAGAAGCCCGCCGCCGCGAAGCCCGCGGCGGCGAAGGCCGCGCCCAAAGCGAAGAAGCCCGCGGCCGCGCCGCGCGTCGCCCACGTCGCCCCCACGCGCGTCAGCGCGCGCGTCGTCGCAAAGCGGACGACGCGCCCCGCGGGGTCCACGCCCGAGAAGAATTTGCGCGCGCGCGTCGAGCCGCCGCCGCCGCCGCCGCCGCCGGAGGACGACGAAGAACTCGTCGACGAGCTCCCCCGCAAGCGCCGCGGCCGGGCCAAGTGAAGGCCGCGCGTACCGCTACGCGCGCAGGCCGCCCGAGGGCCGCCCGAGACCTCGTCTTGAACCGGCTCGAAGACGTGACCGAAGAAACGCGGCCGCCTGTGTGAAGCGCGCGGCCCGCTAGATCCCGCCCGAACCAACCCCTCCCCGCATTCCCCCCGCCGCTCTCCGGTACCGCGCACGCCGCCGCCCCATCCTTTCCCCGGGCCGTACTAACTGAGCGCCTTGCTTGCACTGCGTCTTACGACGCGCGAGCCGCGGCGCGCGGCCCCGAGCTCCCACGGCGTTTTTAAGATTCTGCAGACGACCTTCAGACGCCTCTGCTGGACGCCCCCAGGACGCCCGCCGGACGCCCGGACGCGCCCAGGACGCGCCCAGGACGCGCCCGGACGCCGGCCGGACACCCCGGACGCCCGGACGCGAACCCCCCGCGTCCTCCATTGCACGACCGGTGGCCGATGGGCAGCTTCGAAAACTTCAAAAACAAGTTCAAAGTGGGGCAGCATGGGCGTCCGTTCGGCCGCGCTGGTCGCTGCGGCCGCCGCGGCGCCCGCGGGCAACATGGTCGTCTTGAAACAGGTCTGCTTCCACCCGAAGACGGACGGCGGCGCCTGCGCCGTCGGCGCGACGATCCACGGCGCCCAGGACGTCGCATCGCAGCTCTGCGGCGAGCTCACGACCTGCCACACGCCGGCGGCCTTCGCGACCTGCCCGGACCCGTCGGTGCCCCGGTTCCTCGAGTCCGCGGTGACGGGCGCCTGCGCGGCGGCGAGCGCCGGCGCCTACCCCGTCGCCGGCGCGGCGCGCGTCGGCCGCGCGGCCGCGCTGACGCTGACGTCGAACATCGGCCACGACCTCTACAACGGCATCCTCGACGTCTTCGCCCTGAGCGAGCGGGCGCCGCTGGATTTGCTAATTGCGGACGTCAACTGGTTCGGCGGCCGTGCGAGCTTCGACCGCGCCGTCGCGGACCCGAAAAGTTCGTGGACGCTCACGGTGACGGACGCGCTCTTCAACGGCACGACGCCGACGCCGCTCCATTTCGTCGACAACGCGGCCATGCCCGGCGGCGGCGGCACGACGACGGTGCAACGGCCGCTCTGCGTCGACGAGCTCTTCGTGCGGGCGCAGTCGCGGCTCGCGGAGAACGTCGGCTGGGACGCGCTGCGGGCCGTGCCCGCGCTGCGGCGGCGCGTCCTCGAGCGCGTCCTCGGCGGCGCGCCGGCGCGGAAAAATGAAAGGACGGTCACGGTCTACACGCGCGGCGACGCGAACCGGCGGCGCTTCAAGAGCCGCGACGTCGGCGCCGCGACGCGGAGGCTCGGCGCGACGGCCGTCGTCCAGCGCATGGCCCGGGGCGACCCGCGGGCCCAGATCGAGCTCTTCGCCGGGTCCGACGTCTTCGTCGCGCCCTTCGGGTCGAACACGGCGAACGCGGTCTTCATGCGGCCGGGCTCCACGTTCGTGGAGGTGACGCCGCTCTGCGCGTCGACGTGCGAGGAGGGCTGCCACCCCTACTCGCGCACGGGGCCCGCGGGCGCGGCGTCCATGGCCGACAACTACGCCGGCGTCTCGCGGGCGAACGCGTGCCTGAGCCTCATGGCCGACGGCCCGCCGCTCCACCACGCGTCGGGCGTGAACTACCACATCGTCGCCATGTGCTCGGGCACGCTCCGCTGCGACAACGGGACCATGGCGGACCCGCGCACGGGCCGGCCGGCGAAGATCCCGCGCAAGGCCTGGAAGGCGAACTTCAACGACGACCTCGACCTCGACCGCGCGCTGCCGCGGCTCCTCGCCATCCTCGACGGGTCGGACAACGCCACGCGGGTCGCGCCCTTCGGCTTCTCCTGCCCGAGGCTCGTAAGCTGATGGTAGGGGTCCGGCGGCGCGCGCGTCTGCGTCCGCGCGAGGGTGTCAACCCGAAAGGCCTACTGGTCCTCCAGATGGCCGCCTGGACTGCTCAGATTGACAGGCTCCGGGCCCGGGAGGGCCTCATTCGAGCGCGCCGCGGAGGTCGGCGATGATGTCGTCGACGCTCTCGAGCCCGATGCTCAGCCGCACGACGTCGTCGCCCGCGCCCGCCGCGACGCGCTGCTCGTCGGCGAGCTGGCGGTGCGTCGTGGATGCTGGGTGCAGGATGAGCGAGCGCGTGTCGCCGATGTTCGCGAGGTGCGACAGCAGGCCGCAGCGCTCGACGACGCGCACGCCGGCGTCGTAGCCGCCCTCGACGCCGAAGGTGAAGACGGAGCCGGCGCCGCGCGGCAGGTACTTGGCGGCGAGGCCGCGGTAGCGCGACGAGGGCAGCCCCGCGTACGACACCCACGCGACCTTCGGGTGCGACTCGAGGAACGCGGCGACCGCGGCCGCGGAGGCGACGTGCCGCTCCATGCGCACCGCGAGCGTCTCGATGCCCTGCGCCGTCAGCCAGGCGTTCATCGGCGCCATCGTCGGGCCGAGGTCGCGCAGCGAGACCGCGTGGGAGAAGGTCGTGAAGGCGAGGTCGCCGAAGCTTTCGTGGAACTTGAGGCCGTGGTACGCCGGCTCGGGCTCGGCGAGGCTCGGGAACTTGCCCGGCGTCGCCGACCAGTCGAAGGTGCCCGCGTCGACGACGCAGCCGCCGAGCGCGTTGCCGTGGCCCGACAGGAACTTGGTCGTCGAGTGGACGACGAGCGATGCGCCCCAGTCGACGGGGCGGCAGAGGTAGGGCGTCGCCATCGTGTTGTCGACGATGAACGGCACGCCCGCGTCGGCCGCCGCCGCGCCGAGCGGCTCGAGGTCGGAGACGACGCCGCCCGGGTTCGCGAGCGACTCGACCCAGAGCGCCTTCGTCTTCTCCGGGTCCTCGGCGAGCGCGGCGCGCACGGCGGCGTGGTCGTCGGCGTCGACGAAGTCGCACGCCCAGCCGAACTTGCGGATGGTCTTGCCGAGCTGCGTGATCGAGCCGCCGTAGAGCTTGTTCGACGCGACGAGGCGGTCGCCCGGCGCCATGAGCGCGAACAACGCGACGACCTGCGCCGCGTGGCCCGACGCGGTGCACGTGCCGCCGCGGCCGCCCTCGAGCGCGGCGACCCGCTCCTCGAGCACGGCCGTCGTCGGGTTGGACAGCCGGCCGTAGATGTTGCCGAAGGTCTGGAGGTTGAACAAGGACGCCGCGTGGTCCGCGTCGTCGAAGACGAACGACGTGTTCTGGTAGATGGGAGTCACGCGCGCGCCCGTCGTCGGGTCGACGCGCGCGCCCGCGTGCACCGCGCGCGTCTCGAAGCCGGCGTCGGCCGACACGAAGCCGTCCGCGGCCGCGCCGCCGCCGCCGCCGCGCTCGACGCGCCGGCTCGAGATCACGCCGGAGTTGAAGCCGTGCCACCCGAGCTCGCGGTAGAGCCGCGCGAATTCGATCTTGGGGCAGCGGTCCTGGACGACCCGCAGGCCCGCGGCCTCCGCGGCGGCGGCCGCGCCGTCGTGGCGCACGCCGAGCTGGAGCCAGAGCACCTTCGCGCCGTGCGCGACGGCGTCCGCGGCGACGGCGGGCGCCGCGTCGGCGTTGCGGAAGACGTCGACCATGTCGAAGGCCGCGCCGCCGAGCGCGCCCTCCGCCGCGGCGTCGAGCGACGCGTACGCGGTTTCGCCGAGGATCTCCTCGCCCGCCGCCGCCGCCTTGGGGTTGATCGGCACGCAGCGGTAGCCCTTGTGCTGCAGGTACTTCATCGCGAAGTAGCTCGGCCGCTTCCAGTCCGCGGAGGCGCCGACGACGGCGATGGTCTCGACCGAGCCGAGGACCCCGCGCAGGTAGTCGTCGGAGTAGCGCAGCGGCGGCGGCGGCGGCGCGGGCGGTGCGGTGCTCAGCGCCGCCGCCCGCACGCCGCGAGTGGGGGAGCTGCCGGCGCGCGCCCGGGCCAGCAGCGACGAGGTGTAGCCGCGCGGCATCAGCAGTCGTGGCAGAGCGCCGCGCGCCGCGTGCATCATCAGTCCTTGGAGTCGAAGAGGGTGCGCAGCGACGCTATGCCGTTGCTGCACTTCGTGTGACTGTCGTCGCGCGCCGTAGTGCCTTGTGTGACGGTCGACCTGCGCCGACGACGTTCGACGGGAAGCAGCCCACCGGGATGACACTCGATCGAGGGCTGCTAGATAGGGCTGCTCTAAGGATAGTGAGGTCATCGAAGCACTGCAAGCAGAGCGAAAAGCATAAAAAAATATGGCGCGATGATGGCCGCCATCCCGTGAGCTGCCCGAACACGCCGACCATGCTGGGACGCTTCGTCTTCGTGTTCGCCGCGGCGGCGTCGCGCGAGCTCAAGCACCGGAGCGGCCGCGCCGTGCACAAGCAGCACACGGCGACGCCGCCCCGGTCCGACGCGCCCGTGCCGGCGCCCGGCGAGTGCGGGCCCATGCCGTCGAACGCCACGAGCCGGACCCTGACGGACCTCCTCGAGCGCTACGCCGACGTCCAGGCCGAGCAGCGCGCGAAGCCCAAGGTCAGCGGCAAGTCGATCACGGTCATTGCGACGCGCCACGGCCTCGGGAACCGCATCAACAACGTCGTCGGCGGCTTCGCGCTCGCGCTGGCGACGAACCGGGCCCTCGTGGTCCACTGGCCGCGGACGGACTGCCGGCGGAAGCGCGAGGACTGCGACCCGACGTCCATCGACGACCTCTTCGACCCGCCGCCCGGCGTGTCCTGGGGCCGCATCAAGAACTGGCCCAAGGCGACGGCGACGATGTGCAGCCACGGGCCCTTCGTGATCTCCAACAACCGCTTCAGCGACGTCGAGGCCGTGCTCGACATGAACCTGAGCGAGGAGCGCTTCAACGGGCCCGACAAGCCCAAGAACTGGTGCGCGATCTCCGACCGGTCCTGGGCCCACGCCGTGAGCTGCAACCCGCTCCTGCGCTGCGCCGCGCCGACGCCCTGGTTCTTCTACGGGCTCCTGCAGCGCTGGCTCCTGCGGCCGAAGCGGGCCGTCTTGGAACGAGTCAAGCACACGCTCGGCCGCGGCAAGACCTGCGCGGTCGGGGTCCATCTACGCAAGGCGGACCTGAGCTCGACGAAGTGGGCCACGGAAGAGTTGCTCGCGGAGGCGTACGCGACGGCGCTGGAGCGCCGCGGGCGCGCGCGCGGCGACCCGACGTTCGGCATCTACATCGCGTCCGACGGCGAGTCGCGAAAGACTCGCTTACGCCTCGAGCAGATCGCCCGCGACGTCGACGCGCCGCTCCTCGCGCGCGCCGTGACGACGCGGCCCACGCGGGGCAGCATCCGGGGCAACCAGGACGCGCTCGCGGAGAACTACGTGCTCGCGTCGTGCGACGAGATCCTGCCGCGGGGCAGCGGCGCGTCGACGTTCCACGACCTCGCCGTCGCGCGCGCGGCCTTCGACCGGGGCTGGAACCAGTCGAGGGTGGACGCGTTCACCTACCACCCGGACAAGTCCGACCACAGCCTCGTGCCCGCGCGCTGCCCGAAGCGCAAGGGCGCCGAGCTGTCCTGCCCCTGCGCCAAGGGGGCGACGTCCTGGCGCGACCTCGACGCGCCCTGGCCCGGGCCGGCGGTCGTCTCGTATTCGTAATTCACGCGTGGTTGTCGGATAAGGCCGGTGTTGCAGAGATGTTGCAGGCATTCGCCAACCTCCACTTCGCGCGCGGCCAGCGACCACTCAGAGCAATCGGTGTTGCTCGATCCTCGCGCGTGCTCTGCTGCTATGATGATGCGTCGCGCCGTGCTCCTGGCCTTCCTCGCATCCCAGGCCGCCGCGCGGCTCGCGCCGCAGCCGTCGGCGGCGCGCACGGTCGCCCTGCGCGCCGATGGCTCCAATTTCAAACAGGCCGCCGTCGCCCGCGGCGGCGCGTCGGCCAAGTCGTCGGTGCCGGCGTCGACGCTGAACCTCGCGAAGAACATCGTCGGCTCGGGCGTGCTCGCGCTGCCCGCGGGCGTCGCGGCCTACAGCTCCGCCAGGGGCGCGTCCGCGCCCGCGTGCCTGCTCATCGCCGCGCTCGGCGCCGTGTCCGCGTACTGCTTCGCGCTCGTGGGCCGCGCCTGCGCGGCGACGGGCACGTCGACCTACCGCGGCGCCTGGGAGAAGACCGTGGGCCCGGGCACGGGCGGCCTCATCACGGGCATCTGCAGCTTCAAGACGCTCGTGGGCTGCGTCTCGTACTGCATCATCATTGGCGACACGGGCACGGCGCTGGCGAAGAAGCTCGGCGCGCCGGCGCTCCTCGCGCGCCGCGACGTCCTGCTTTCGACGGTGGGGGCCGCCGTGCTCTTCCCCCTGTCCATGCTCCGCGACCTCAAGTCGCTCGCGCCGACGTCGATGCTCGGGCTCGCGGGCATGCTCTACACGGCTTTAGTGGTCGTGCTGCGCGGCCTCGACGGCTCCTACGCGGGCGACGGCAAGATGCTGGCGGCGCTCGTCGCCGAGGGCAAGCCGACGCCGGCCTTCGGGACGGGCAGCTCGCCCGGCGGCGCGCTGTTGCTCGTGTCCATGCTCGCGACGTCGTTCATCGCGCACTACAACGCGGCGAACTTCTACGTCGAGCTCGAGAACCCGACGCTCGCGCGCTACGGCACCGTCGCCGGCGCCGGCTTCTCCATCGCCGTCGCCTTCTTCTGCGCCGTCGCGACCTTCGGCCACCGGACGTTCGGCTCCGCCGCGCAGGGCTTCATCCTCAACTCCTTCGCCGACGCCGACGCCCTCGCGAACGTCGCCAAGTCCCTCGTCGGCGTCGCCGTCGCCTTCACCTACCCCCTCCTCTTCAAGGGCGCGCGCGACGGCCTCTTCGAGCTCCTCGGTTCGTCCGACGACGACAAGGAGAACATGCGCACGCCCGTGACCGCGGCGCTCGTGGCCGTCACGGTCCTCGCGGGCGTCACGATCCGCGACCTCGGCTTCGTCGTCGCGCGCGTTTCTTCGGCGTCGTTCGTTTCGTTCGCGCTTTCGGCCGGTCGCGCGCGTTCCTTCACTCCCGTCCGTTCATAGGTTCGGCGGCGCGATCCTCGGCTCGGCCATCATCTACATCCTCCCGACGATCATCATGCTCGCCGCCGACGCCAAGGGCGTCATGGCCCTCTCGCCCGCGGAGAAGCTCGCCTGCCGCGGCGTCAACCTCATGGGCTACGTCCTCGCCGTGCTCGGCGGCGCCGCCTCGGTCCTCGCGCGCATGGGCAAGCTCTAGAATGAGACGCACGGAATCGCGCGTTTAAAAGGTACTCAGTCACAGTGGCTCACTTTAAACATGTTACGCGGCGAGCGCGCCTCGCGCCGTTCCAAACGGCGCGGGCGCCAGGAAATTCTAATCGACGGGGATGAGCAGCGGCAGGCGCTCAGCGTGCTCGTAGTCCATTTTCCAGGGCAGGGCGTGGGGGTTGTCGTAGGACGTGTCGTTGAGGAAGACCCAGTGCGTCGCGAGGTCGAGGCGCACTTTCCTCATGCCCGCGATGTCCGCGTGCACGAACCGCCAGCGGTGCCGCTTCGCGTCCGCGACGTTGACCAAAATCATGCTCACGAGCTCGAGCGGCAACACAGCTGCGACGCGGCTCGCCGTCGTCGCCGCTCGTTGCCGCCGCTCGGACCGCGGCCGCGGCGTCGGTGGCGGCGATTCCATGCACTCCTTGCCGAGGAGGGCCCGCTTCGTGCACGGCCACTGCGGGACGCCGTGGTGGCGCATGAGGATCATGGTGCTTTCGGAAAAAACCGTTCGTAGATTTGCGCGCGCTGATCTGGTCGCCGCTCGTTTGCCGCGAGATCGACGCGGACGCAAGAGCTACTTCACACACGTGTACAACTACGGACGGAGAGCTGCTCTGCGAAGTTTGGTGGTGTGGTGTTGCGTAGCAGCGCGAGCAGCCCACGAAGTATTTATTCGTATGCTTGCCCACGCGCTGGTTTGTGAACGAACTTCGACAGCGAGGCGGCGATGCCGTCAACGAGCATTAGTTCACTGTCGATGCTGCCCGCCCAACATCGTGCTTCCAAGCGCATTCCGCATACCAGCCGAACGCGCCGCCGAACCCAAAGCCAGCGTAGCACACCACAGCAAAAGCCAGCATAGCAAAGGCGACCGCCAGCACCACAACCAACCATGTCCGCCTTCCTCAAAACACCCACGCGCCGAAGCAAGCCCAAGCCCGTCGTCTTCGCGGACAACTTTTGGTCGTCGTGGCAGTACGAGCACAGCCCGCGGCGACGAGAACCGACCACACCGGTTCCGGAACCGACGACGCCCGTCATCGCGCGAAAACCCTGGAGTTCCAACCCCAAATTCGAGAACGTCTTCCTCTTCTCCGCGGACGCGTAGACGAGGTAGACTCACGCGTTAGGACAGGCTCGGCGGCTTCGTCCAGCCCGCCTGCTCGAGGCGCGTCGTCGTCGTCGCCCGGGAGGCGTCGTCCTCCCCGGCGCGGGACCGGGCGGCGAACCAGCCGTTGAAGTCGAGCGTGTCCTCGGGCAGCAGGCCCCGGAGCGCGTCCGCGTGGAACGCGAAGTCGCCGCGGAGCCGCGCGAGCGCGGACGCCGGCAGGTCCTCGAGGTCGTCCTCGTGGGCGTCCAGCAGCCGCGCCAGCCGCGCCGCGTCGAGGAACACGTCGTCGAGCGCGCCGTGGACCGCGTCCTCGTCGAGCAGCAGCGCGTCCCGGAGGTCCAGGATAAACGCGCGGTGCGCGGCCTTGACCTCCGCGAAGTCCGACGCCGCCCCGAGGCGATCGACGAAGCGGCGCCAGGTCGGCTCGACGCCGTCGCGCTGGAGCCACGTCGCCACGCCCCGGCAGACCGCGCTGAGCTCCGAGTGCAGCGCGCTCAACGCCGCGAGCGCCTTCCGCTTCTCGGCCTCCCGGGACCGCGCGCGCCGCCCCGCGTCCGCGAGGCACCGCCAGACCGCGTCCAGGTCGTCGGCGGCCTTGCGCGCGGCCAGGAGCCGGCTGAAGGCCGCCTGGTAGTCGGGCGCGGCGTCGTCGAAGAGCAACGCGTCCAACGGCCACTTGGGGCGCACGACCGCGCGGAGCGCCTGCTGCCAGCCCGTCGACGTCTCCGCGGCGGACCGGTCGAAGTGCGCCGCCTTCAACGCGATGGAGTTCTTCGAGACCTTGAGCGACGCGAGCGCGCCCGCGAGCGCGTCGCCCGCGCGTTCTCCGGCGCCCGGCGTCCACGCGAACCGAAACACCTTGACGGGCGCCGCGTCCTGGGGCGCCGTGAGCCCGCAGACCGCGCGGCCGCCGGACCGCAGCACCGAGCCCACGTCCAGGACGACCGTCGCGCGGCCGAGCCCCGCGCGCTGCCGCGCGTAGTCGACGTCGGACGCGCCGTCCTTGTAGTCCGCCGCGGTCGCCGCGTAGCAGGCCGCCCGTAACTCCCAGCGGCCGTCGACGGCGTCGTTGCGGTCGTGGGCGACGTCCAGCGCCAGCGCGGAAGCTTCCGGCGCGCGCTTGAGGCGCCGCCGCGTGACGACGTCGCCGCCGAGGCTCACGACCAAATCGAGCGCGCCGTCGTCGTCGGCCCTGGCGATGCCGACTGAAACCCCCCCCGACCGGCCCCGGTCCCGGAAGCGGCAGGCGAAGACGACGGCGCCGCCGTCCGCGCCGTCCGCGCGGCCGCACGCGGCCTCGAGGCGCCAGGGCCGCCGCGCGACGCGCCGCGGCGTCAGCGCCTCGACGCACGCGTCGGGCCCGCCGCCGCTCAGGCCCTTGGCGAAGCACCCCCGGAGCGGCGCCCGGTCGTCGTCGTCCGAGTCGCCGTCGGACGCGTCGGACGGCTCGTCGGCCGCGGGCGCGCCGGCGCCGTCGCCGCCGAGCGCGAGCTCCAGGCCGTCGGCCGTCGCCTTCAGCGCCGCGCCCTTCCGTAACGCGAAGCGCGCGTCGACGTCGGGCTTGTGGAAGGTCCACTCGAAGGCCTCTGGGTCCGCGATGACCGTCGCCGTCGTCTCCGTGGCTTTGGCGAACGCGTAGTCCTCGCGGGCCTTGGCGGCGTTCGCGACGGCCTCCAATGCGAAGCGCACGGCGGACCCGTCGCCGAGGTCGACGGCGGGCCGCGGCGGCCGGTCGCCGAAGCCGAGGTGCGGCGCCGGGTCGCCGGGCGGCGTCCAGGGCGGGCACGCGGGCACGCGCTCGGGCGGGTAGCCCGCGTTGCGCCGCCGCGCGCGCGCGGCCAATATGGTCTCCCAGAACGTGACCGCGTCGCACATGCCCGCGCCGGAGACGCCGCCGGCGCGCTCGTAGGCCTTCCAGGCCATGACCTCGAGGTCCGTGCGGTCGTCCTCGTCGCCGCGGAGCTCCTCGGCCGCGGCCTCGAGGCACCGCTGGACGACGAGCGCGCCGGACCGGCCGTGGGGCCGCTCCCGCAACGCGACGCGGCTCAGCTCGAGGGCCCGCGCCCAGAGCGGGCCGCAGCGCAGCAGCGCGACGCCGCCGTAGGCCGCGACGGCGCGGCCTAAATCGCCGTCGCCGACGCAGACGTCGAGCAGCGCCTCCGCGAAGACCTTCTCCGAGTCGTCGACGAGGCGCTCGAGGCCCGCCTTGACGGCGCCGTCGCGCGCCGCGGCCTCGGCGGCGCTCTCGGGCGCCGCGGGCGCCTTGGCCGCGGCGACGAGCGCCTTCCAGCGGCCCGCGAGCGCGACGTAGCCGTCCTCGTCCGGGCCGTAGCACGCCGGCTCGGGGTCCGCGCCCTCGTCCGTCTGGCACTCCTTCTCGCGCTTGCCGTTGCCTAAAGAGATGACGCAATGTCTCGTGATAATAAGCGCAGAAAGAGGCGCGGGCCTGGCACCGAACTTGCTCGTGTAGGCCTGGAACCGCGGCGTCGACTCGAGCTCGACGACGGCGCGCTCGAGGAAGCGCTTCCGGTTGCTCGCGGCGTCCGCGCGGCGCGACCGGCGCCGGTCCGCGATGCGGAGCACGCGGACCGCGCCGCCGACGAAGAGCATGCGCTCCGCGAGCCTTTTCCCCACGAGGAACCGCGGCACGAGGCTCGCCCGGACCTCGAAGCAGCCGATGGCGTCGGCCTCGCCGCTCATGACGTCGCGCACGAAGTCCGGCGCCTTCTTGCCCCCGACGACGCTCGCGGCGACGAAGAAGTCGCCGACCAAATCGCCGTCGACGCACCAGCCGCACGCCGCGCGGAGGAAGACGGCCTCGGCGGCGCCGCAGAGCACGCGCAACGCCCGGATGACGCTCGGGTCGCCCGCGGCGCCCGCGCGGCGCCGCAGCGCGTCCGCGAGGCGCCCGCCGGAGCCGCCGCCGTCGATCGCCTCGCGCACGGCCTCGCCGACGGCCTCGAGCGCGGCCGCGTGGTGGCCCACGAGGAAGCGCAGGCGCGTCGCGCCCTCGAAGCTGAAGTCCAAACCGCCGACGGCGCGGTCCGCGTCCGCGACGTCGTCCGCGTAGCCGTCGAGCCACGCCTCGGCCGCGTCGCCGATCGCGAGCAGCGTCGCGCACCGCTTCAGCGACGCGGCCTCCTCGGCCGCGCGCCGCGCGAAGCGGTAGTGCGCGCCGGGCGCGACGGCGGCCTCGATGGCCGCCACGGCCGACGGCTCGAGGCCCGAGCCGGCGGCGACGCGGTAGACGACCTTGCCGCCCTCCTCCTTCTCGACGATGGTGTCGCCGACGTAGCCGAGGCACGCGAGGCAGAACTCGCCGCCGAACTGCGTGAGGTGCACGGGGACGCGGCCCGGCGGGAAGTCGCTCGCCTGCGGCGCCATGTCGAGCGTGTGCGACGGCGAGCTGCTCAAGGCGCCATCGGAGAGCCTGAGCTCGAAATTCAAGATTGCTGCATCGTGAATAGGGGCGGACAGTGAAGCCCGGGCGCTTCGGGGCCGCTTCGGCTGGGTCCGGTTCCCTGGATGGGTCGGGAGCAGTGCGCCGAGATGTTGGGTTAGTGCAAGGACGTAATTTGGGTATGTTGCGTGAGGCCCGGCCTCACGCGTCTCCGCCAAGTTTCGTGGCTGCACTAACTCAGGAACCCCCCGCACCGCGAATGCATGGTGCCGACAGCACTGGTGGCGGCCCTCGACAAAGCGCTTCGGGACGTCGCGGGCCGACGCCAGGCGCCTCCCGGCGGCGCGGAATCACGTCGCCGCGCGTTCGGAACCGTTCCTGCGTGCCCTGCGGCGCTGCTCTGAACCGCAGAGCCTTCGGCGCTGCTCGTGCGCGCCTGGAGCGCCCGCTCTGGTGAGGCTTCGGTGAGGCACCGGAACTAGATCGCTTCGCTGGGCGCTGCTGGGCGTCGCGCCGACGTGTCGAGTGTTCAGTGCACTCCCAGGTCGACCTACGAGGCGCGGGAACACGCGCTGCGCCTACCGCTCGTGGCGTCTGCGCTGGCACAGGCGCGAGACGGGATTGGCGTTTCTCGCCTGGAAACGAGGCGATGGGCCACAACGCGTCCTCGCGGGCTACAGGCGTCGGACGGCTGCGCGATGGGTTCCGACGACATGTATATCGACTCGAGTGCGCCCACGCCAGCCCAAAGTCGCCGGAGCGCCTCGTACACGCGACCGCGTTTTGCCCGCGCGGGAGGAAAATCGAGACTTTGCGAGGTCGTAGCTCCGCGAGATCGACGTCGATTTACGCGAACCCAGACTCTCTAAGTATCAGTTAGAAGTCGGCTATCCATCGCAAGTGACCGCAAGGTCGAACTCGACGGTCCACCGCCGGTCGACTTTCACTGTCCGCCCCTATCGTGAAGCGCCCGCATCGGCAACGGTGCTCGCGCGATGCACCATTCGGGGTTGATCGACCGCGTCGCCTCTAAGCGTAGGCTTAAAAAGACAATCAGGCAATCAAAACGCGGTGCTCTTGCCGAGGGGCTGCGCGAAGGCGACGGGGAGCGCCGCCGGGCGCGCGGGCAGCGGCGGCGGCGCGGCGGCGCGCGGGGGCAGCGGCGGCGGCGCGTCGAGCGGGATGGACTGGAACTGCGGGTTGAGGTCGTAGGCGCCCTCGGGCGGCGAGCGCTCGCGGCCGACGGCGAGGAGGCCCAGCGAGCCGACGCGCCAGATGCCGCCCGGCTTCCGGCCCTGCATGCCGACGGTGTCGAAGAGGAGCCGCGGCTTCGCCGTCGCGGGGACGGCCCACGCGGCCGGGACGCAGCGCACGGCGCCCGCGGCCGGCGGCTCGGGCCCCGTCGTGACGCCGACGCCGAGCGCGACGAAGCCCGCGGGCGGCACGGCCGTCCAGATGTAGAGGTGCGTGCGCCCGCTCGTGATCTCCCACAGGCGTCGGAAGTTGTCGGCCTTTGGGAAGAGCGTGTCGCGCACGGCCTTGAGGTCGACGTTGCGGAAGCGCTTGCCCGAGAGCGTCAGCGACTTGGCGTGCGTCGGCGACTTGAGCGATCCGTGCGCGAAGGCGCCGAGGGGCACGCTCAGCGACTGCGCGCCGAGGAGCCCGCCGGACGACACCTCCGGCGACGTCCAGACGCTGGCTTCCGACCGCGAGCCGCGGACGCTCGCGAGCTGGCCCCGCGCGTCCCAGAGCGTCACGAGCTTCGCGGGCGCGCCGACGGCGAAGCTGCAGTCGCACACGTCCGACGCGCTCGCCTTCGGCGGCGCGGCCGGCGGCGCGCGGACGAGCGCCGCGAACGCCTCGACGAACTCGGCCTTGGATATCGACCGGTCGCCGTCCGCGTCGACGTGCACCGCGACGGCGAGGCACGTGGCGGGCGTCGCGCGCGAGAGGAGCCAGCGCAGGCCGACGGCGAGTTCGCCCGTCGTGAGCGTCCCGTTGCCGTCCGTGTCGAACGCCTCGAAGCAATCGCTCGGCGACATGCCGCGGCGCTGGAGCTCGGCGGCGGCGCGGAGCAGCGTCGCGCGCGCGTCTTCGCCGGAACCTCCCGACGACGACGTTTCTTTCCCGAACAGCGGCGCCAGCGGCGTGCCGATCCAGGGCCGCCGCGACCGACGCTTGCAGCCCCGCACGGCCTCGAACCACGCGATCTTCGCCGCGTCGTCGCCGTCGCCGAGACTGCGACGAAGCGTCTCTACCGCCCCGGGCGACGGATCCAACTCGGCGTCCACGAAGCGCACGACTCGCGCGGCGCGGCGCTCGGCGACGCCCGAGGGCAGCGTCCATTTCGGTCCCAGCTCGCACGCGGAAAGGGCCAGGTCGCCGTCGAAGGCGTCGCTGAGCGCTTTGGACCCCCAGAGCCTCAGGGCGGGGCTGCCGCCCGCGTGCGCGTGGGCGCGAAGGGCCTCGGCCTCGGCCAACGTGACGACGACGTAGCGACGCCCCCCCTCGGAAGGGCACGCGACCGCGATCTCCGCGGCGCCTCGAAGAGCCGAGGGGTCGTCGACGGCTATAGACGCGGAGTCGACGTCGAGGAGCCGCGCCAAATCGCCGTCGTCCGCGTGAACCAAGCAGCGGTCGACCGACGCTCGATCGGCGGCCGTGATCGAGGCCTGCTGCGGCGCGTAGAGCGATAGCTCGAGGACGACGACGACATTTTTAATCCGGCGGCGCGATCCGGCGCGCGCGTGGAAATTCGACGTCAGCCACAGGTCCTGGGGCAGGTTCGGCGGAGCACAGCCGTCGACGTGGAGGTCGCGCCAAGGTCGGAACACGTCGCCCTGGGCGAGCGGGTCCAGGCTTTCGGCCGGAAGCTCGAGCATCGACAAAAGCCACGGCTTGGCCTCCTCGTCGTCTCGATCGAACGCGCCGGGCATGGGCTCCTCCACCTCCTGCTCCTGCTCCTGCTCTTGCTCCTGCTCCTGCTCTTGCTCTTGCTCCTGTTCCTCTTCGGCCTCGGCTTCCTCTTCTTGCTCGTCCTCGAGCGCGGCCGTCGCGTCGTCTCCGCCGCCGCCGCCGTCGGCCCGCGCTCGCGCGATCGCCAGAGCGACGACCTGCTCGTCGCGGTCCTCGCGCAGCCAGACCGCCTTTCGACTCGCGACGGTGCGCTCCAGCGCGTCGATGGCGTCGGCCGGCGGATCGGTCGTGTTCGGGACGCTCACGTCGACGGCCTCGACGAAGACCTCCACGGCGGCCATGTCGGGCGTCGCCTTTCCGGAGTTGATAAACAGATTTGCGAACGCCTTCTTCCGCCAGACGTTGGAGACAGTCTGCTGGCAAAGCAGTCGACCTTGGGCAACTTCGGTCGCAAAGCCGTTCGCGTAGAGATAGGCGGCGACGTCTCCGAGCGTCGGCTGCGACGAAGACGTCGGTATTTGATGGACGACCTCCGGAGTCAGAGCAAACATGAGAGTCTGGCCCTTCCCGACGCCGCGCATGCGGTACGACGCTTGCGCGAGGTCGCGGAAGCTCATGTCCTTGGAGATCGTGACGACGGCCTTGCACGAGGGAGGCTGCTTGATGTCCATTCCAGTGGTATGCGCTTGATCGTAGAATGTAAACTGCGACGATAGCTCTACTCCGGAGGACGCGAGCGGCAACGGCCGGTCGACGCCGCGCTTCAGGGCCATCTTCCGCCCTGCGCGGTCAAGGTAGACGACGGCGGCGAATTTCGTAGGCAATCGCCCGAGAAGAGCCGCTGCGACGCCGCGATTGTCAAGGCCAGTCACGAGAGCGCCGGAGTCGATGAGTGCGTGGGCCCCTGCTGCCACGACGAAATCCAGCACTCCGCTGGGCGACCAGTCGCCGCTGAGCGGCGAGAGCCGGGCGACTGAGGGGTCAGTGAGAGTTTGAAGGATGCGCGCATCATCGCCCGCGGCATACGCAGCCTCGCCGAGTTCCTCCGGGAGCAGGTCGTTCGGCGTGCCGGAGAACCCGACGCGCTTTTCGAAGAGGATCGAGCCCCCGAGAGCCTGGCCCGAGGCGCTCAGTTTGCTCGGGCGACCGACGAGAGCCGCCGGGAACGCGTGCTGGTCGAGGTAGCGCTGGGCCGCGAGGGGTGCGAACTGGAGCAGCCGCGAGAGCGCGTCGACCTGCGCCTCGTCGTGCAGATCGAGAGCGCCGAGCGGCCAAATCCTGCCCCAAATGTCGCGCTCGTCGTCGCTCCGAGGCTCCGCGAGGAGAGGCAGCGCTCGCTTGACGGGCGATCCGCGGACGGCGCCGCCGGCGGATTCGATGAGAGCCACGTAGGAAATCGACGCCTCGCGCTTCGCCGCCGGCCCGTGCTGTTGCGCGTACTCGTCGCGAAGCCCGCGGAGGACTTTGACGACAGATGCGCGACGCAAGCCCTCGTAGCGCGACGCCAGAATGGTCAGACCGATCGCAACCTCGGGATTCGAGTACTCGGACGCCTCGGAGGGCACGTCCTTGCCCTGGAACGGGATCGCGAGGTTCTTGCGCCCTTTCGACTCCTTCTCGCGGAGCTCATCGGGAGCAAGAGTACCGTATGAAACGCGGTTCACCTTCCCAAGGACCCACGGCAAGTACGTCTGGAGCCAATTCCTCGCCAGGTTCGCATACTTGAGGCCGATGTCGTCGCATCGAGCGACGGCGGCGACGGCCGAAGCTGCAGGAACGTGAGCGCCGACGTAGGCGCGAGCGTCGGAAGATGAGAGAGCTGCGTCTCCACCGACGACGCCCTCGCGTCTGAGAAATGCGACGGCGATGTCCGCGAGAGGACCCAGGAGCTCGGCCGAGTAGAACTTTTTGTCGATGAGCACGAGGTGCGGCGTGAGCTGCAAGCACTTTGCGGAGGTCCCTCGCGCAACCGCCTCCTTGAGACGCCCTCGAGCCCCGACGTCGTCGTCGTCCGAATCGGCAACACCCGACGGCGCGCCAGCGGCCCGAAGCACCGCGTCGAGCAAGAACCACGCGAGCCTCCAGCGCGAGCCCGTCGTGTCAACGTCGGTCCGAGAGGACGTCGTGAAGTCGAGCGGCTCCTCGGAGCCCAAAGGCCAATTCAGCTCAGACTTGAGAGGATGCAGGAGAAGGTCGACCTCGTCCAGGAGCGCGACGCCGCGCCGGAACAACCCGTACGCCTGGACGAAATGCTCAGCTTCGCGTAGTCGACCTTCTTTCTGGCGCTCGAGTCGCTTCTCGCGCTCCGAGGCTGCGCCCGTCAGCGAATCCAGCAAAGAAGTGCCACCCCTAGCGCTGACCTTGGCACGCTTCGCCGCCAGCGCAGCTTCGTGCTCTATTTCCGTAAATTTCAAAACAAAGGCCTTCACGTCAGACGGCGCGGCGACGACGATCCCTCCGACGTCGCGCGCGAAGCGCAGGCGATCGACGAGGTCCGCGTCAACGGTCGTCGTCCTCGAGAAGCTGAAGGTAAAGACGGGCTTGAGCGCGACGGGCGACGAAAAGGTGGTACGCAAGACCGCGCGCGTCATCTCCACGAGAGGCCGAGGGCTGACGGACGTTAGCAGCTTTTCGCCATCCGCAAGGCAAAGGGCAAGCAGTGGTGCGACGACTGTTGTCTTGCCTTGTCCCATCAGCATTTGGTGAACGAGGCCTGAACCCTTGGCGATAGCGCTTCGGAAGGTCTTGACCAGCTCCAGCTGCTGCTCTCGGAGCACCAAAGAAGAGGAAAGTTCGAAGACGAGGTAGCGGGGATCTGTCGATACAGCCGAGGGCGATCGGTCGAGCGTCACGCGCTTCGCAACGAGCGCCTCGACGCACGCGTCGGCCGCGAGCGCGATCTCGACTTGGGATCCTCCACGGATCGAGTCCGCCAGAACCTCAGCCTTGGACGCAGCGAAGCGCCGCGCAACTAATCTGCCGAAGAGCACGCACGCACTCGCCGCCGCGTCCAAGACGGCGTCGGCGTCGCAGCCGGCGCTGAGCTCGCGAAGGTCCTCAGAGCCTCGAGACGACAGGAGCGCTCTCGTGCATCGAGCAAAGTCCAGATGGGCAACAGATCGAGCCAGTCGCCGCCGGACGAGCGTGCGTCGATCAGAGCGGTTCGCGAGATCAACGGTGAGAGCGATTGCTGCATCGACGTCACGCGCATCAGCATCTGAGGCGGCAGCGAGGTCGTCGATGAGCTGCTTCGCGCCCCGCGCTGCGTCGGTTTCGAGGAAGGCAAGCTTGGACTTCGTCGTCTTTCGACGCGCCACGTCCGCGGCGTACGCCAGATCGTGCTCGAGCCTCTCTAGCGTCCGCCGCGCAGTGAGCTTCGACGAGAGGTCCGGGCGCTTGAGGTCGAATGGAGCGCCCCTCGGTTGGGAAGCCGCCGCTCTCTGCTCCACGACGTGCGACTCTCGAAGCGCATGACCGACCGCTGTCGCGTCCAGCACGTCTGCGAAGCCGTCGCGGAAGGAGAAGGTCTGGCGGTTCGCCGGAGAAGCCGCCGCGGGCGACACGCGTGCCACGATAGAAGGCGGATGGAAAGTCGCGCGAGGGTCTGGCGTAGGAGGCGGAGCCGGCGCGGAAGCAAGTTGCTGTTTCAACGAGTCGTAGACGATCCGAACAATTTTCTCGTTCGCAGAGGCAATGTAGAGAGACGTGTTCGACGTCGACTCTCCGGACGCGATGGCTTGGCCTTTCAGCATTGCAGACTGCGTCACGCCCTTCAGCTTGCCCATCAAGCTCAAGCCCGCCTTCTCCTTCGCCGCCGCGGCGACGGCATCCTCGTAGCGCGGCAGCCGCTGGCCGAGGGCCCGCGCGACGTCGGGGTTCTGCTCGAGCACCAGTAACATCGACAAGACGGATGTGTCGGCGGAGCGGAAGTCGCTGGACGCGAGGAGCATCGAGGCCGCCAGTCGAGCATCGCAGCCGTCGACGCCGCGGTGGCCCACGAGGAGCTCGAGCAAGAGCACGAAATCGCGAACGACGCGGCAAGGCCTCGCGCTCGAGAACCTCTTGAAAAAGAAGGACGCAGGAATCCGCGTCGAAGGTGTGAGAGCGCCGACCTGGACGACCTCGGAGGCCCAATGGTGGCCGTCGAAGATTCCAAGGACGTCAGAAGCCGGCGCCTTGGGTTCTAAACGCACCTCAGTCAAGATGGGACTAGCCACTGGCACTTTGGACGCGGCCCAGACGTCGAAGCGCCAGTTCTCAATGGACGCGCCCGAAGCCGCGGCCGCCGCGAGCGCGCCGCGGTTCGCGAGCACGGCGTCCCGAGGCGCGTGGACGAACGCCGCGACGGCCGACTCCTCGCGGGAGTTCAGCGCGAAGCGCGCGTCCGTCGCGTCGGTCCGTCGGGCGTAGCTCCGCCAGGCTCGCGTCAGGGAAGCGTTGGCCCGCCTCGGCTCGCCGTCGAAGAACAGCGCGGCGGCGTCCATGTGCGACGCGCGCAGAGCCAGCGCGAGACGAACCCTAAAAGCGTCGGCGTCGGGCGACGCGTCGTCGGCCGTCGCCTCCTCGAGGGCGGAGATCCACTGCGCCTCGTCGGGCTCAAGCGGGGCGTCCGAGCTCGCCGCCGGGCACGCTTCGCAGGCTCTGAATAGCTCGCCGAGGCCGCGCGCGGATCTCCACGAAATAAGAGCGAGCGTCGCCGCGAGCGTCGGAGATGTGACCCACTCGGAGGAGCCGTGCACTGGGAAAACGAACGTCTTCCCGCCGTGGACGTTCGCGAGCCACGCCGCGTCGTTGCGTTCCGCGACCAGCGAGCCCCCGGCGACGGCGGGCTTGGCGAGCGCGGACGCGACGACGAGGTACTCGATCTGCTCGAACCTCGACGAGGCCTTGAGGACGAGGCCCGGGAGCGGCGCCGCGAGCGCCGCGACGCGCGGCGGGAGGGGATCCAAGTTGAGGCAGTAGCCGTGCGAATCGTTCGACGCGAACTCGTAGGGCCGCGCCGTGGCGTCGAACGTGAGCTCTAGGCGCGGTAGTTCCACGCGCTTGATGGAGCCGTCGCTGCCGGCCCAGACCAGGACGTGCCCGAGGACGTCGAGCCGACGGAGCCGCGCCGCGAGCGCCGCGCCGGGCGACCCGGGGCTAAAGCCGCGCAAATCCACGAGCCGCAGTCCGCTTCGAGAGACGACGCCGTCGCTGACGAGGACGGCGTCGCCGTCGCCCGACCGCGGCTCTCCCGCGAGAACCACGGGTTTCGCGTCGTCCGCGCTGTCGCGGGGATGGTACCAGAAGCGATGCGTCGCCAGTAGTGCCGCGGGAAGCAGACCGCGAAGGGCGTACGACGGAACGAGCCTCTGCGCGCCCTCGGGCTTCGATCGAGAGACGACCAGCGTCGGCGCCCCCACTCCGACGAAAGCGCCGCGGCGGTCGACGACGCCCGGCGTCGACGTCGCGGGCTTGGGCCGCTCGTCGCCGGACTCCTCGTCGCCCTCGTCGTCGTCGACGTCGTCGGGGAGGGGCAGCCCGTCGTCGAGCGAGACCTCGGCGTCGCTCGAGAAGACGGAAGACCAGCCGGAGCGCCTCCCGTGCACGCAACGCGCGAGTACGGTGATGCTCGGCGGCGATCGATTGACGACGCCGCGGCACGGTGTCGACGAATCGATGCTCCCCGAAAGTACGGCACATCCGGAACTCTCTGAGATGACCCCGCCCCAGCGGGCGCCCGACCCGTCCTTGGCGAGCGCCTGAGAGATCCACAACGAAGTGGGGATGCGAACGCTCGTCGCAAGGAGCGCCGCTTTTTCCGTGGACGACAAGGCCGGCGAGGGCGCCCACAACGCGACGTCGGAACGAAGCCCGACGCAACGCCGGAGGCGCCGCTGGGTCGACGACTGGATCTCCGCGCACTGCACCTCGCGCGTCGCCTCGTCGCCGAAGCACTCCGCAAAGTCGGAGCGCGCGACAAACTCGTCCTCGAGGATCTTTAATTTCTGAGATCTAACCACGCATTCGCACGTCTGCAGGTCGACTTCGACGTGGCTCCGAGATGCGAGGCCGTCGATGCTGCGGGAGAGCCAGGAGCAGTAGTCAGCCCCCGGTTCGTCGGTCTGCTTCGGAGGAGCAGCCCGCGGAGAAAATCGTCCAGCCCCGCGCTTCACAGACGCCCAGCTCGGGTCGCCGGCAGCACATTCGACCCACTCGCGCGCCTGACCAGGCGCCACTGTCGAAGTCAGAACGGCAACGGCGGCCTCGAAGCAGTCGCTCGCTCGACCGGCGCGAGCGAGAGTAAGGACCAGCGGTCGCAGCTCGGAGAACGTCCCAAAGAGCTCCGCGTTTGAGACGCACAAGGAAGCGCTCGCCTTGACAACCCCCCTTGGGTCTCTAGGAGGATTGAAAGCCCAGTTTTGGGAGATGAAAAGCTGAGATGCGACGAGCATCGAGCATCGAGCGACGTCCGGAAGAGAGGCGGGCCTTGCGATGAGGGCTTGCACAGATCTCACCGAGCAGCTCTCGAAGAGGTAGGCCTTGTCGTCGGCGTTAGCGCGTCGAATCCACCGATCGAGCATCGGGGGCGCGTCGTCGCAGAGGATGAGTCGCAGCGACTCGCGCAATTCGAAGACGCTCGCCTGGGAGCGCTCAGGCGCTAGAGACCCCCGCACAGAGACCGTCGCGTCAAGGACCAGTGCCGCGTAAGCGTCGATTCGAGAGAGGAGCCGGAATGCGTAGAGTATGGCCGCGGCGTGGCCACCGCCTCCTAGTCCCCGAGCCGAACCTGGGTCGAGTTCTTCAAGACGCTTGCGAAAACTACCGACGGCCGCTGTGAGCGCCTTAGGGGCTCGGTGCAACTCGTTCAATAGCAAGCCGTGCGTCGTTTTCATACCCTCGGGAGCTGGAGCCGTTTTTGGAGCATCGCCGCGATTCGGACGCGCCGGGGCGAACCACGCGTCCGTGGACTCCGGCGGCGTCCACTCGCCGGGCTCGAACAGCGCGGCGTCTAGGACGTCCTGCAGGGCCTTGCAACCCAGGGCAGCGAATCGAGCAGGCGAGGAGAAGAACTGAAGGAGCAAGGGGATGCGAAGGTACGGCGCCGTGAGGTACGAAAGGACGAGCTCCGAGTCGGCAGCGCCGAGTGCGCCGTCGAACGTCGGCATTTTGTCGACGTAGAGCACGTCCGTCTCGTTCTTCACGACCTCGCCGCACAGGAGCGACGGATTGGCAGCCGAGGGCGGAGACGCGAGCGTGTTTCTACTGAATATGCCACCAAACCAGCCGCTGTTCTTGGAAAGCTTCGAGGGATCCAGTGCCGCTCCGCTCGACGTCTTGACGGAGATCGACCCCTTCGTCCCCGTCCAGACCTGGGCCAGCTGCCCGGGCCGCCAGAGCTTCTTTTTCGGCGGCGGCGCGATGGCCTCAGCGAGCGTCGGCCCGACGAGCATGCGCCAGGCTAGGTGCGCGTCGCGGAGCGCGGCGAGGCCCGGCGCGGCGTCGACGACGTCGCGGTCGGCTCCGACGAAATACGCGGGCGCGAGCGCCTCGTCGTCGATGGGGAAGCCGAGCTCGTGCGCGATCTCCTCGACGAGTTGCCGATCGTTCTCGGAGAGGCGCTTGATCTCCTCCGTCCACTCGAAGACCTGGGGCAGGACCTCGAGCGAGCGCAGGTAGTCCAGGGTCGCAGAGCGCGCCAGGCAAGCAGCCGGATCGAGGAACAGGGCGGTCTTCGTCACCGTCGAGAGTATGCTACCAAGGACCGAAGCCCCTGCCGCGAAGCCTGACGACGGACGGTCGGCTGCTCCAGCGTAGCGGCGGCAGAAGGCGTCGTCGCGGCACGTGCCCGCCTCGGCAGTCGTCAAACGAGCGGCAGCATCTGCGACGCACAAAAACACGCCGGCCGTCGCGATTCGATTGGCGTCAGCGTCGCGCGTCGGTGCGCACTTTGGGGAGAGGCTCGCCGAAGCGTATTGACGAGAGATGAGCGCGATGAGCCTGAGGACCTCGATGCGCTCGGAGTCCGAGAGCGATGTCGACGTCCAGCAGGAAGCATTCGAAGCGTCGAGCGGCGCGGGCACCCGCAGGCACCGCAGCGCGGCGTGCTCGACCAACGATATGCGTAGCCAACGGCCTTTCTCGTCGCGCCGGTCGTTGGCGAGGAGCGTCCCCGCGTCGGCGCAGGCGCGCAGACAAGCCAGGACCTCGCGGGCGGTCTTCGCCTCCGTAACGGCCCCGAGGTCCGCCGGGCGCACGACTTTCGCGGCCGCCGCGCCGCCGGCCAGCGCGTCCTCGTCGACGAACTCGCCGAAGGACTCGAGCAGCGGAAAACGCGTCGGCGCGGGCTGTCCACCGGTGACGTCGACGGGGTCCTCCTTCGGCGGCGCGTCCGCGAACTCGCGGAGCGCCTCGGCCGTCGCCGCCGCGCGGTCGAGGACGTCGTCGGCGACGGGCTCCGCCGTCGCAAAGGCCGCGAGGCCTCGCGACGCGGCGAAGAGCGCCCGCCGAAGGACGCGGTCGAGCGGGATTTTGCGGGCTTCGCCGAGGCCCCACCGAGCGAGCGTCGCGCGCGCGTCGACGGTCGCCGCGAACGCCTCCCCCTCGCCGAGCGATGCCGCGAGCGCGAAGCGGAGGCACGCGAGCAGCGCGGCGGCGCCCGACGCGTCCTCGTCGTCCTCGTCGTTCTCGTCCGCCGCGTCTTCGTCGACGGTCGTCCCTCTGGCGCGCGCGAGAAGCGCTCCAGCGGTCTCCAGCGTCCCCGACGCCGCGGTCGCGGCCGCGCCGAGTATTTGGTCGCCGAGGCTCGCGGGCGCCAGGGCGTCGAGCGCCCGCGCGCAGGCGGCCGCTTGACGGCCGGGCGCGTAGACCGGCGCCCAGCCGCCGCCCGCGACGGGCCGCTTGCCGCCGACGGACGGGAGCACCGCCCCGAACGCAGCCCGCGCCGCGGCGACGTCGTCCTTTGGCGCCGCCGCGAGCGCGATCCACGTCGCGACGGACGTCGCCCGGTCCGGCGCGCAGCCCTCGGCGACCGCGAGCGCCGCGCGCTCCGTCGCGGCGTCCGCGCCGCAGCGGTACGCGTGCCACGCGAGGCCCTCCGCGCCGACGCCGGCGAGCGCGACGTCGTAGCCGGCCGCGCCGCGCCGCGCGGCCGCGTAGCCGCAGGCGACGGGCGCGACGAAGGCCTCGCCGGGGCGCAGCGCCGCCGCGCGCGCGGCGAGCGCGGGCCCGAGGGCCTCGCCGAGGCGCGCCCAGCCCGCGAGCGGCTCGACGAGGCGCCGGAGCGCGTCGCGCCGCGCGGGCGACGCGCCCTCGACGCTCTCGCAGGCGGCGACGACCGCCGCGAGGCCCTCGGCGCGCCGGCCGCCGGGCAGCGGGAAGCGCTCGCGGTGGCTCGGCGCGAGCGCGTCGCGCCATGCGGCCGAGAGCGCCAACGTCGCGGGCGCCAGCGCCACCTCGTCGCGCGCGCCGCCGCCGCCGAAGAGCGCCGCCGCCGCCGACTCGCCGACGACGCTCGCCGCCGCGGACGCCGCGGCCTGCGTCGTCTGCTCCGCGGCCGCGGTCGCCACGGCGCTCGTGGCGGCGCCCGTCGACTTGGCCAGAGCGTCGGTCCCGGCCGACACGCCGGCGCTGACGACGTCGCTGCCGGCCTGCGCGAGCTGCTTGCTCTTGTTCCAGAGCGACTGCATGGTGCGCGTGGACGCGCGGAGCCCGACGCGGCCGCGCGCTCTCCGCAGACGCTCTCGGGTTGTGCCCGGCTCAGCGGCAGCGAGTTCAACAAGCCGAACTTGAGGCGGTCGGTTTGGCTGCCCGATCGGGATGGACGTCTCCCCCTGGGCCCACGCCATCGACGTCTTCGCGGACCTCGACGCGGTCCGCGCGCAGGAGAAGGCGCACGCGGAGAAGTGCGCCGCGACGGAGAGCCGGCGGCTGCTGCCCTACATCTGCAAGGAGTTCCATCTGAAGATCGACGAGGACGGCGCCGACGACGCGTCGCAATTCGCCGCCCTGCGCCGCGCGCTCCGCCGCCTCGGCCGCGACCGGGAGCCGGCGCACGCCGCCGCGCTCGAGAGCGAGCAATCGCTGCGGCACGCGCTGGTCGCGTGGCTCCGCGCGCGCGGCGTCGGGGCCGACGCGGCGGTCCGCGCGTCGCTCGCGCCCGGCGAGGCGTCGTGGGACGAGGCGCTGGCCGCGCTCGCGAAACCAGACGCCGCCGGCGACCACCGCACGCTCCTCGCGGCCGCGGGCCTCTTCGAGGTCCGGATTATAGTACTGAGCACCGCGGCGTCGCGGCCGCTGTCGTACGAAGCGACGCGGGAGACTGACCGCGACGAGATCGTCCTGGGCTACTTCGGCGGCTACCTCGCCCTCGCCGACGCGCCGCCGGCGGCGCCGGACCGGGCGCTCGACATCTACGCGCGCTTCGCGGACGACAAACGGAGCTACGCCCTCCTCGAGGACGGCGGCGCGCGGCCGCCGGGCGCGCTCCTCCTGGACCGCGTCGCCCTCACGCCGGCCGACGAGCGCCACTGCTCCGGCGCGTGCGTGCCCGACTTCTACGTCACGACGGAGACCGCGCGGCGGTCCACGGGCGCCGCGGGGCCGGACATGGGCACCTACGTCGGCCGCATCGAGGACCGCGTCCCCGACGTCCAGTACCTGACGACGCCCGCGGCCTGCTACAAGTACGGCTGCTACACGCTCCCCGCGAAACCCGACGGCGAGCTCCTCCCCCTCGACGCCGCGTCGACGTAAAAACACCATCCGGTGCTGCGTTCCCTTCAACAACTAGTCCAACCTCGATGCTTGACGCGTCGTTTCACCAAACTGGGCAGCACAGCGGCGACGATGGAGCGCCACAGTTGTGACTACAGCCGCTTCGACGCGATCGACGTCGACGCGTCGCCGGCGAGCGCCTACGACGGCGGCTTCAAGGCGGACCTGACCTGGCACAACAGCCGGACGACGTCCTTCGTCTTCATCGCCGTCGAGGACGGCACGGTCGAGGCCGACGTCTCCGTGACCTTCGAGGCGCACATGCTGCGCGTCGAGCTGGCGAAGCAGGGCGACGCGAAGCAGGACGTCGCCCTCGAGCTCGGCCACCCGGCGGTGCTGCCGGGCCGCTGCCAGTGGAGCGTGACGAGCCACACCTTCGGCGAGGACGCGAAGCCGTGCGTGAGCGTCATCCTCGAGAAGGCCGTCGCCGAGCCCTGGGACGAGGTCAGCTTCGGCGCGCGCGTCCAGCGCGTCGGCGGCGCAAAGCGCGACGACCGCGCGCGCAAGGTCGCGCTCAGCGACGCGGCCATCGCGTGCCACGCCTGCGGCGCGCCGACGAAGCCGCGCTGCCGCGTCGTCTGCGTCTGCACCGAGGCCGTCTTCTGCTGCAACGGCTGCTCGCGCGACGACGCGACGCACAATTGCCCCGGGCCCGTCAACGTCGCCGGCGAGCCCCCGGGATCGCTCGCGTGGGACCTCGCGGCGCACCCGCGCGCGCCGCGGACGCCCGCGAGCCGCGACTACGAGCGCGAGGGCGGGGCCCTGTTGCGGCGCCACGTCTTCGATCGGCTGAAAGCCGGCGCCGACGGCGGCCCGCGCTGGCGCCTCGTCAACGACGTCGCGGAGCTCCGGCGCTGCGCGGCCGCGGGCAACGCGGCGGCCGCGTTCCGCGCGGCGTCGCTCATGCTCCTGACCAAGGAGGACCCGCCGGCGGCGACGGCGCTGCTCGAGGCCGCGGCCGAGGCGGGCTGCGCGCCGGCCATGGTGCCTTTGGCGCTCCGGCTCCTGGACCAGGGCGGCGACGCGCGCGAGGCCGAGTCGTGGCTCTGGCGCGGCTCGCGCCTCGGCTGCGACGTCGCCGCGCGCGCCCTCGACGAGCGCTGCCAGCTCAGCGCCGACGTGCGCAGCGTCCTCGCCGCCGCGCGCGACGGCGCCTTCCGCGCGGCGCCGCCGCCGAAGTCGCGCGACGCGCCCATGCGGACGATGCTCGCGGACAAGGCCGCGCTCGGCTCCCTCGTGCTCTGCCTCCGCAAGCACGCGCTGCCGACGTGCCTGCTCGACAAGCTGCCCGGGCGGCCCGCGGCCCTGGCCTGCGCGGCCGCGGTCCGCGACTTCGAGACCCTGGCGGAGAACGCCGCGGACGAGCGCCGCGTCCGCGTCATCGTCGCCTACGGCCGCGCGCTCTCGGCCGCGGAGCACGACCGGGAGGTGCCCCGGGAGCCGCGGCCCGTCGCGAGCCGCGCCTACCTGCGGCCCGTGCTCCGGCCGGGCCGCGACGACGGCGCCGTCGACGACGACGCCGCGGCCGCGTGGGTCGAGGCCGTCGATTCCACGGCCTGGGACTGGCGCACGACCTGCGCCCACGAGCGCAAGAAGACGTCGACGCCCCACTGCGCGGCGTGCCTCCGCGACGCGCGCGCGCGCCTCGACGCCGTCGCGGCTCGGACCTACGCGCTCTCCGTCGACGCGCACCGCGAGGTCCACGACGCGGCCTACGCCCTCGCCGACGGCGCCGTCGCGCACGAGCCCTTTGCGCGCTACGCCATGGGCGAGGTCGACTCCGTGCTCGCGCTCCTCGCGGCCGCGCCCGAGGCGGACGCGTTGCTGCACCCGCTCTTCATCGCGAGCGACCCGAACCTGCTCTGGCCCGCGCTCTACTTCTACGGCAGCCTGGCGAACGCCCTCCGCGCGTTCCGGCCCGACGCGCCGGCGTCGGTGCCGCCGCACCGGCCTCTGGTCTGCGGCGTCGCGGACGGCGAGCCGCTGATCCTCGCGTGCGGCGCGTGCGGCGGCCTCTGCCGCCGCGCGCTGCGCTGCGGCAAGTGCAAGGTCCGCGCCTACTGCGCCGCCGACTGCCAGAAGCGCGACTGGCGCGCCCACAAGGCCGAGTGCTGCCGCTACTGCGACGCGCGCGACTTCGCGGCCGCGGCCGCCAAGGCGAAGCTCGAGAAGAAGCGCGCCAAGGCCGCGAAGGCCGCTGCGCCGCCGGACTGGGGGGAGTAATGTGGTGTGAGTTTTGTTGTTTGTGGGGCGCGGCGAGCTAGTTAAATTACGCGTCGATGTACCACGTCCGCGCGTCGAGCCCCGCGTCGCAGTCGCCGAGGCTCGCCACGGTGCTCGCCAGAGCCAGCAAGCACATTCCGGAACGGTGCTGAAATGTCCGGTCCGGCGTGTAGATCCACTCGTGCGTCTCGCCTTGGCTGCACTTCTCCTCGCTCATCGTGATGGCCCCCTCCTTGACGACGACGCACTTCTCGTCGACCGTGCCGAGCGTGTCGCCGAAGATGAGTTGGCCCTTGCCCGTGAGGAGAAATAGCTGGGACCCGTGCTCGTTGTGGCAGGGGTAGAGGTCCGGGCCGTGGCTCGGGTTCGACGCGTAGTTATCGAGGCAGCCCTTGGCCGCGCGGAACGCTCCGAAGTGACGCAGGTCTTCGAAGTCCGGTGGTTTCAACTCTGGGTAGACGGTCTTCAGGTACCACTGGAAGTCGTGCACTCCGATTCTCTTCCTCAGCGCGACGCGCTCCGAGAGGTCGCCGATCGGGTTCGAGGGCGGCAAACGCGGGAAAAGCTTCGAGACCAACGTCGTCGAATACGGCGAATCCATCCAGACCATGGCCGCGCGCAATTTGTTGCGGTGGATCTCGTCGCCGGGAACCTTATACCTGCGTGGGCGCGTAGGTCATACGTCCGTAGGTTCGGGACGAGGCTACGTAGACACTGCCTCGCACGCCTGCCCCTGCCAGTGCTTCGGACTACGAAAGACGTGAAAGACCTCGGAGCACGGAATGAGATCCAGTCGGCCCCCGGACATCCAGGCCCTCAGCGAGATCTCCGTCTCCTCGCCGCCGTAGATCCTCATCGAAACATCGTAGTCGCCGAGCTCGTGAAACGTCGAGCGCATCACCGCAAAGAGTCCGCCGGCCATGATCGGCGTCGCCGTCGGCTCGACCTTGTCGACGTTCCTGGACAAGTGCACCTGTCCGAGGCCCCACGAGAAGCCGAGCGTGCCGATGCGATGTCCCAAATCGTAGTCGAAGGAATCCGCGTCGATGCTCGGGACTATTGGAATCCCAAACCCGCGGTACGTGTCGCGCGCGTACGCCAGCAGCGGCTCGAGCCAGCCCGGCGACGTTTCGATGTGCGAGTCGAGGAAGACGAGCACGTCGCCCGTCGCGGCCTTCGCGCCCGCGGCCCGTGCGTAGATCAGGCCGGTCTGCCGCGGCATTTCTAACAGCACGATCTTCGGGCCGAAGACGGCAAGCTGGCCCCTCAAGTTCTCGCCCGTCGAGTTGAACATGCCGGAGCCGCCATCCTCGACCATCACGACCTCATGGAGCAGCTTCGGCGGCGTCCGATGCATGACGGACGCGACGGACCGGAGCAACGTGCTCAACGGCTCGTCGTAGAAGACCATGATCACGGACGCCGCGGGCAGCGCGCCGTAGTCCTTCGCCTTGCACCGCGCGTCGCGGTAGTCCTTGACGGCGCGGTCGAGGGGCAGCGCCGCGCTCCGCCGTTTGTTGAAACACGTGTGCGCGTGCGCCTCGGTCTTCTGCGCGGCGGTTTCGTCCTTCGCGCTCACGTACGGCTCGACGGGCAGGTGCTGCGACCCGTCGGCGTCGCGGCCGATGAGGCGGCCGTGGAGGTGGTCGGCATCGGGCGTCCCCCGCGTGCCCCACGTCGACGGGTTCCCCCGGGGCTCGGGCGCGAGCGCCTCGCCGCGGATCGACGGGTTCCCCCGCGGCTTGGGCGCGAGCGCCTCGCCGCGGATCGACGGCCGGTCGTCGTCGTCGTCGTCGTCGTCGTCGAACGGAAAGGGCTCCTCAACGAAGTGGCGCAGGCCTTGCTCGAGCATGATTTCCTCCTTGACGACGAATTTTCTGACGCCGCGGACGCGGCGGCGCACGCCGACCCGCTGCTGGCGCGTCGAGACGGCGAGGAGGAGCATAGCGATGATGCCCATCCACACAAGGATCACGGCGACCGGGCTCTCGCGTTTCCATCGCTTCCTCCGCTCCGGGGCGTCGTCATTCATTGGAAGCGTCGTCGGCGACGCCGCGCCACGGCGCATGCTGGGGCCGCAGCGCTTCGACGGTACGAGAGCGAGCTACACACGCGACTCGTCGCCGATCCTCCACAAAGTCTCCACAAGGTCGATCCACTACGCCTCGCAGATGTGCTGCTCAGAGACACCTAGGTAACTTACCCATCCCTTACGCCCGTGAGGAGAGGCGGACCTCGTCCACGAGGTCGGAAAAGGCGGTCGCGCCCTCCGCGTCCAAGTAGCTGAGCATGGCGTCTCGGGCCCGCGCGCGGCGCTCGGCTCGCCTCGGGTCCTCGGGCGCCGTGGTGTTTGCAGCGGAGACCCATAAGTCTCCATCGACACAGCTCTCTTGGAGAGCAGTGAGCGCTATATGTCGTTCCTCGCTCGCACAGTAGTCCCAGACATCCAACACGCCCTGCGTCTTTTCGGTCCGTTCGACCAAAGAAACATCCGCGCCGAGCCCGTAATCGTCATCCGATCCCATCGCCCCTTGCAGAAACCCGTGAATCTCGTTGCACGTGACCTTCCACGTGACGTCGAGCATGCCGTGGCCTCCGTGGCGCAGGGTCTCGAGCTTGAACTTGGCGCTTTCCCAATCCAGCATAAGAGTGCACCTGTGGCGTCGGGGATTTTGGTGCGCGTGAGCGAGCTCTCGCTTTTCACGCTGGGATTTACGCGCCGAACTCAAGCTGACAATATGGCCGGTCCGGGTCGGGGTGCGGGTACTCGAACCGGCCGATCGACAGGTTCCCCTCACAATCGTCATCGAACGCGACGAGCCCGCGTTTGCGACCGACTTGCCGCCACTCTTCCGGTAACGTCGTCAACGCTTGAGCCAGATCTGCGACGCTAAAATGGTCGCCATGCAGAAGTGCACCCTCGTTCGACCCGTCTTTCGGCCCGCGCCAGGTATTGCGACGAGCCGTAAAGGTGCGCTCGACAGGGCGAAGCGCGAACTCGCCCTTTCCGTATGTTTCCTCGCTCTTGCGCCAATGTTCATCCGTGTCCCACCGCATGTTGCGCACATCCCCGCCCAGGCAGATGTGTTTCAGCGGGTTAAACGTCGATCGTATCGTCAACGTTCGGCACCCGACGAGCGCGGGAAACGCGCTCTCGAACGGGAACAGCGTGTGGAACTCGAATGTCGGCGGCGATCCGAAGTCATCGGAGTAGCCCACGATTTCATATGCCTCGGGGGAGTCGACGAGGGAGCTCAGGCATTTGGCGACGTCGGTCAGCCCCGCCGACTTCGCGAGAGCCACGTACGCGGCTGTGCTCAACGCGCCCGCCCGCAGCGGCGGGTCTCCGACGATTGCCGGCGTCGCGGCGCCTGCCAGGAACGCGTCGTCGCGGACCGTCTCTGCGCGTCGAGCGGCGTCGCTCGGCAAGTCGAAGGCCATCGCAAAGATGTCCCGATGGAGCTCTTGCGGGATGCGGCGTCGCTGAAGCAGGACGCCGAGCGTCGCCGTCGCCGCCCGAACGCAGGGCATCTCGAGGGCTTTCAGACTTCGGCGCAGATTAAGAGCTCGGCGCGCGTGGTCGTCGCCCAGAATGCTGCGTGGCTCGTCAAAGAGCGGCTCCATCTGCGCAGTCGCGCGCACAGCCCGATCAGTCTCCCCCCGCCCGGCTTTGTGATCGCCAAAGGCAAAATGGCCTCCGGACGGGGTGCCACCAAGGCCACCACCAAGACTAATCGGGAGCAAAGAGACCTTACTCACGTCGTCAGCAAGTACGCCAGGCTCGTCTGGACGACGCGGGAGTCGCCCGGCGGCGCGTGGGCCGGCGGCCGGTAGCCGAAGCGCGGCGGCGCGTGCCGCGGCGGCGCGGCGCGCGTGCTCTCGAAGCGGGAGTCCTCGTCGAGGAAGCCGTCGTCGAGCTCGAGCTCCTCGGGGATGGCGTCGGCGCGGCGGCGCCGGGGCACGTCGTCGCGGCGGCGCCGGGGCTGCGACGACAAGTCCTCGCGGCGATGGCGGCGGCGCGGCTCGTCGGAGCCGTCGGACGGCGTCGACGCCGCGCTCCGGGACCCGTCGGACGGCGGCGTCGGCGGGCTCCGGCGGCGCCCCTCGGGCGGCGTCGGCGGGCTCTTGCGGGGCCGCTGCTTCGCCTTCAAGAGGCCGTCGAGGCGGCGGAGCGACTTCTCGACGTCGCGGACCTCGACGGAGACGACGCTCGCGTTCACGTCGCGGAGCTTGCTCCTGGGCGCCTTCTGCCGGCCCGGGAGCTGCGGCGACCGCGCGCAGGGCACGGGCCGGCGGCCCGGCAGCGGCGGCGACCGCTCGCAGGGCATGGGCGCGGGCGGGCAGGCCTCGAGGCGCGGGGGCCTGTCGGACGCGGCGCTCGGCGCCGCGGACGCGCCGCCCGCGCGGCGGCGCCGCAGCTCCGACCGGTGCTGGAGCCGCTGGCGCTCGGCGTACTCGGCCTTGCGCTTCCGGAGGAGCTCGCGCTCGCGGGCCTTGCCGTCCTGCTTCGCGCCCGCGCCCCAGCGCGGGCCCGGCCCCGGCGGCCGCCGCGTGCTCGGCCCGCTCGCGAGCGTCGCCTGCGTCGTCCGCGAGCAGCCCGTCGACGGGCCGGCGAGCTGGGCGGCGTGGCGCGCGCCGTAGCCGTAGCCCGCGATGGCGACGGGCCGCGCGTTGAGCGGCGCGGGCCGCGCGCCGGGCCGGTCCCGGCGAACCGCGGGCGCCTGGGCCAGGTCCAGCGACGCGTAGAGCGCCGACGGCGCGTGGTCCAGGGTCCGCGCCCAGGCCCCCGGCGTCGCGTCGGGCGGCGCCGCGGGCGTCGCGGGCCCCTCGAGGAGGCTCCGCGAGTCGGGCGACGACGCGATCTCCGCCCGCCAGGCCTCCATGCGCTGCTTCGTCGTCATCTGCTCGCGCTTGCCGTGCTCGATGCGCGCCCGGAGCCGCGCCGCCGCCGCGTCGGCGACGGCGGACCACGTCGTCGCGGGCGTGCCCTCGAAGCCGGGCGCCGCGAGGTCGCCGCACGACGACCGGAAGCGGTCGTCGAAGACGCTCTCGCAGCGCTCGCTCCAGCAGTGCGCCTCGGGGATCGGCGGCGGCGCCGCGGCGGGCGGCGCCGGCTCCCGGAGCGACCGCGGCTCCCGGAGCGGCGGCGGCGGCGCCGCGGCCGCGACGGCCGGCGCGACGGCGGCGCGGCTCGCGGCCTCGGCGCCGCGGCGGCGGGCCTCGTCGTCGCGGCGCTCGGCCTCGCGCTTCCGCGCGGCGACGGCGCGCGCGCGCGACGCGGCCGCGCGCCGCTCGTCGACGTCCCACTGGCTCTCCGGCGACCGCCGCGCCTTGCGGGCGGACTTCTCCTTGCGCGCGCTGAACTGCTCGCGCAGGTAGGTGACGTACTCGAGCTTCTTCACGCGCCGCGCCGCGAGGTCGTTCTCGCCGCGCTCGCGCTCGCACTTCGCCCGCGCCGCCGCGGCGTGCTGCCGCGCCTTGCGCCGCCGCGCCGCGTCGGCGCGCACCTTCTTCTCCCGCTGCCACGCCAACAGGCGATCCGAGTTGTAGTGCTCCTCCGGCGCCGTCGGCGCCGACGCGTAGGGCATCGTCGAGCGTTCGCAGAGGCACTTCAGGCGTCCATCGATCGGGCTGCCCGTCGAACTGCCAAACCGAAAAAAATCTTCAAGATGAGGCCATAATTGCCACAAGTCATCTCACGAGCTCGCCGCCGCTCGCGGCCGCGGCAGCTCGCGCCACCCGAATCCGATGCCGCCGCGCTCGTCGCGCAAGCGCACCGCTTCGGCGGCGTCGTCGTCCGCGTCGGAGCCCAAAAAATCGCGGAAAAGCCGCGTCGAGGACGACGAGCCCGAGGAGGAGGAGGAGGAAGCGCAGGAGGAGCAGGAGCAGGAGGACGACGACGAGGAGGAGGAGGCCCTCGAGGAGCTCGCGGCGGCCGTCACCGCGGAGCCGGCGCCGCGGCGGTCGTCGTCGCGCGGCGCGCCGTCCGCGGCGGCGGCCGCCGCCGCGCGCGCGGAGCA